AGAATGTTTCACAGGATATATGCGGATGATAATCACAGACAAAATGCATGTTATGTCGTCTGCTATATGGTAATTTAACTTAAAATATGTGACGTAAAATATGGCCTTGCGCCAAAAATCATACCAAAAAAACTACCGATCGTACCTAAATAACGTTGGTACCAAGCCATAGGGGAAATCGTGATGAATGTAAAACTATTAAATTCAGGACCGATAATAGGAACACATTCGTCTGAAAGCATGCGAAAATTAAGAGTTGTGGTGTAATTATTTCGGGAAAATTCAGATTTAGTCCCATTTCTGGAGTCAAAATCTGAAATTTCGGATCCGCCCTAAATTTGTTAATGGCACTAAGCCAATTTTTAACATATCTCCTTTTTATACACCTAGGTAACCAAGGACTTTCATTGCGAATTAGAGGCCGTTATTGAAAATCCAAATCTGCACTTTTGCCGATTTTACATGTGCGCCATTTTGTTCTCTCGGACAAAGACAAAGCGTGATCACAGTCATCAAATACAGTGACAACGACATGCTTTAGGGCACCAACAAATCTCAGTTGTAATGTTAACAATGTTAAGAAATATATGAGTGTAATTATGTATTGTGAAATATATCTTTTGCATGGGAAAAAAAGGCAACAACGATGACTGCAGTGAACGCGTTTCTGCTCGCTTCCGGACAGGCTGCGCAGTACAAGCCGTAGCACTGATGGTTTCGCGCATAGGCTAGAGGGCCGTCCCTCTATTATATGGTCTCTGGTATCGGTCAGAAAGGCGGCAAATGGTGCTGTGGTGGACGTTGAAGTGGCGTGCAACAAAAGACTGCGACTCCCTTCTTTGGATACGTCCTATGGCGATGTTCCGATCGGCAGCGCTGAGTCCCGGCATTTTCGAACTTGAAAATGTTGACAATTGAATGACAAATTATTGGCTTGTACTTGCCTTTTTATAGCCCCTAACACGAGTTACGAATGCCATAACTTGCACGTGCATTTTGCTTTACTGTTTTCCTCCATGACATTTTTTAACAAGTGTGAAAACAATGCCATTAAAGGGGCACTGATCTAACCCAATTCCCCGGACTGGTTGTTGCCTTTGTTATTGTTTTTTCCCCCGTGAGTACCCGGATGATACGCAACGCAACTGAGCGTGACCAGAGACTGGGCTACCGTCTGCAAGGACAGCTAAATACACTTGGAGGCCGGAGGCAATATTTGTTTTACGAATTTTTGCATAAACACTGATTGGTTAACTGTGATCTATAAGGATTTCGACAAAGGGGGCATGTAAATTAATTTCTTCAGCCTAAACAAACAGACAAAAAGAAAGGCGGAGCTCAGCGGATTTGGAAATACCCCAGATGGTTATACATGTAGTTTAATACTACAAAAAAATATCTATGCAGTGAAAGCATTTTCGGATTTCGGATTGCGTCGATAATACGACTACTACTCCCTTGTTGTCATCCACGTTTTCTGGTATAACCCTACACTTGTGTATTTGTCGTCATTCACTTGATGCTCAGTTAATGAATTTATTACAGGTACAATTAGTTGTAGCACCACTTAGATTACCTGACAAAGGTTCCCATTTTGCATTTATTGTGTCTGGGGTAATTATTCAATCTAAATCAAGGTTTGAAGTTAGGTGAAATGTGTGTTATGTAATATGCACGTGGCAGACCAGCAAGAGGTGAATGATCAATTGATTTACTTTTTTTTGTAAATCAACGGATCGTTCCAAGTCATCAAAGGATTAACAGAAAATACGTTGATTGATTAATTACTGTTATCTTGCACAGTGGATATGTCAAAAGTGAGTGTTTACATGTCTAGGTTTACTAAAACAAAGGGAATACACTCATTTCATGGCGTGAAGTGCCGATGTAAAAACAACATACTTTGTTCAAAGGGTTAACTGATAATACGTTCATTGATTGATCATTGTTATCTATCACTCAATGGATTTTTTAGGAACCGTGGACGTTATGAAAATAGTTGTCACGTGGGCTTTCTCAGCCGACCCTTAGACTTGACACCTATGTGAACGCCTGACACAATCCAAGTGATCAGTTGAGTAACGAACACGGGTTATAATATCCCGAAACGATATATATCTTTTAAAATATTTGATTGTTACAGAGACACGTGACATCGAATAAGTTTCTTTGTACAGCTGAAGGACGAGTGGGATATTGTTCCTTTGTGTGGATATTCACGGATACATTCCTCGAACTAGGAAGCTCCTAAAATTTATACACATACATTTGGAAGGTTGCAATTATGGTATTTGCATTTTGTTTTCCTTCATTTGAACCGATTCGTTCTTGTTTCTCAACGTCTTGGTTGGGAAATTCTTCAATGCACGATAGACGTTGTTTTCACAGGTCTTTTCCTTTGTAAGCGTGTATATATTACCGTCAATTTGTAAATGTGATTCTCTCAGGCAATTTATAAAATGTGTAAATATTTCAGTCATTTTGACTAAAACATCTGTCCAGATTGATTAAGATGATCAAAAGGGCCTACAAACATCACAACAGATTATTATGTAGGATTAGAAGCCAAACAACATAGAAATGTACTTTTCAACGTATCATTTTCAGTCTCTTGGTGGTGACATTAAACATAATAATGTTTGGAATTCGTTAACATAATAATACAAATGGAAATGTTTTTTAGTCACTTTTAATAAATTTGAAAATGTTACACATTTTGACAGTAAAAAAATATACACACTATAAAAAAGCAATGCTCAGGTGAAATATTTACTTTGTGTTGCAAGTCAAAATAGTGTAAACGAAAATCGCAAAATTACCAAGCAAGTGACTTCGTCACCATTACCGATGCTACCCACAAATATACCTACATTTCCTTATTATCTCGAAAACTGTATTTCATTTTGTTGATCAATGTGACCATACGCCCTTATTACTACCCATGAAAGTGACTGATGCGCTTACGAATTGCGCAGCAGAGGTCGCGAACTAGTCTAGATTTTTGCTATACATCCGGGTACTCACTGGGAAACAATAACAAAGGCAACAACCAGTCCCGGGGAATTGCGTTAGATCAGTGCCCCTTTTAGAAAATTGTCAATGGCTGCGTTTTGACGCACCATTCGTCGAATATCAGACCACCAACATTTTCCAATAACATATATCCAATTTATATACCGGATGTTTTATGTAGTCAGGTTCAATGAACTACATACTACCTGTGCGTTTCTTTTTTTGAAGAGTGTACTGGTTTGAACATGCAAAAAGAAAAAACACTGCGCGCTCACACTATATTTCCAAAAGTCTTTGCCTGAGAACCATTTATTTTAGCCTGTTAATGCCAAGCGCCAGCAGGGTAACAAATAACATATTTTAGTGTCTTTATATGACCCGGTGAGGGGATCAAACCACCGACTTCCCAGTCTCTTGTCTACCACTTTATCCATTACACCACATAGTCAAAGGCAATATGATGTGTGTGGGTGCTAAAAATGCTAAATTAGATGACATGAAATTAGACAAGCGACCAATTACGACATGGGGAAAAACACTAGGTTTCACGAGTTTTAGTCTATACTACAAATTGTACAAATTTGGATATGGTTATAACATGTAGACATGCCAAAACGTTTTAAAGCTGTTTTACCCACTGGTGAATGTAAAAGATAAGTTTATTCAGAAATGGCATGGTTCACTGTCAACTTCTTGAAAATCCAAGTACTTCACTAAATATTAAATTCAACTTTATCACTGAGCGTTGATAAGTTATCTCTCATATGTAAATTTACTCAAGTTAAGGAAAGTTATTTCACTATTTTGTACGTTCTAGCATATATGATCTTTTTTCATTGAAAATAGCAGATATGAATGTACTTTATGGGAGCAAAGACTTTAAAAATGTATATATTATGTAAAATTAGCTTAACTGAAGAAGAATATCACGTTATATGTTTGTCCAATTTACATTGTCTAAGAGCCAATATATACACGACTGTTCTACCTGAACCCGAATGTAAATAAATGTTTTTTTATTAGGCCATAAAAAAATGAAAGAATTGGTTCTCAATCAATGGCTTTTGAAAATAGTGCGGGAGGGTGGTGGGTTTTCTTTTTGGGGGGTTGTTCAGACTGGTATGTTACCAAATAAAAAGTTGTGTGCAATCAACCTGGGAAAGGGCCTCCCAACATAAGTGTATTCTAAGTGGAGTAAAATAAAGTATGCGACTGCCAGTGTGTGCATAATATACTAGTATAGCAAAGAATGAGCTTGGACTTTATTTGACAATGCTAAGACAGGCTATCGGACAATAGAAGTGTTCATTGTGTATCTTGACCTCCGTGGTCTAATGGTAGAGCGTCCGCCCGGAGAGCGGATGGTCCGGGGTTCCATCCCCGGCCGCGTCATACCAAAAGACGTTAAACGATGGTACTTGTTGTTGTCCTGTCTGGCGCTAGGCGTTAAGGGTCTAAAACAAGGACTGGTCGGCTCGGAGTCAGTATACTGTGTCTGAGTGGGGTATTCATGTTAAACTGCGGCATGGTATCTCAGTGTGCTAGCACTATAAATCGGCATCAGTCCGGACTAGTACACAACACACACGCACGCACGCACGCACGCACGCACGCACGCACGCACACACACACACACACACACACACACACACATGCTCTCTCCATCCTAGCATTCATTCACCTGATGAAGGAGTAATTAATTAAATGGATACTCCGAGCGTTGTGTTCCTCATAATATAAAGAAGTTGACATCCATAATTTTTCTCTCTTATCATGAAAATTTCATAATATTTTCAAACTTTTGGTAAATGTTTTCATTGACAGATTATATTTCCAGTTGGTCAAAATGTTACCTTAATATCATAAATCGAGATATATCGCGTTCTGTTTTAGAGACACTCTACCATAACACATTTGAAGTAGTATAAGATTCAGAGTTACTCCCCCTCGTGGGCCAAGCTCCCATGCAGCGCGAGAAACTTTCGTTATCATCCCGGTATCATGGTATAGAGAGCCCCGCAAACTGGCTATCACTGTGAGGAGATTGGTTTCAATCATGCTGTCGAATGTTGTCAAGCGAAGCGTCAGCCAGTTCGGTGTTTTCGTGAGGCAGATGAGCAAAGTGAATAATTCCTTGTCGGCGACACAGGATGGACAGAAAAATAGAATACTATGGATTGACCTGGAGGTGTGTTGAAGTCCAGGTTCTGGGATAAAATAGTTGTCATCAAACCGAAAGTAGGCCCTACACTAAAAAAAAGAAAACTTCCATGAAGCGGTACACACCATTTAATCACTTGAACTCGATGTTAGCGTGCACAGCGTAATATATTCGTATAGAAAATAAATCAAACCCATATGTATAGAGGGGTGATTTTTTACACTTGCTCATCCACAACAGTATGTGCTATGGATTTCGGGATATATACGGGGTTGTGCATTATTGGAAAATAGCTCAAATAAGTTTTAGAATTGTAATTTGGGGAAGAAATGACAGACAGATAGTTGGCTATGACAGAAATGAATAAGGCTGTGTATTGACCTGGATTTTGTAACGCAATATATTGCCATACTTTAACCTGTATTGCGATACGTATTGAAAGATATTGCCAATTTACATTTTCATGAGTTAATCAGTTATAACTTATACCCTGTATTTATGTCAGATACCATCAAGCTACTTCCCAGCGCTTGATATCTTTGTTATATTGTACTGTTGGTATGGAGAGGTCCGCGGGCGGGCTATCGCTGTGAGGAGCTTGATAGTCACGATGCGTACACACTAATTGATAAAAAGATCGTCAGAGGCAAGTTGTACTTAAGGTTAGGGTTAGGTTCCCGATTAGTGGCTATTAGATTACCCCAAACTTCACCTTAGCCCTTGGGTCTCCTTTATGATTACCGTATTCGACGTAATAAGCGCCCCGCTCTAATAAGCGCCCACGGCGGTATTTGCTAATATATTGGCTAGTGAACAATCCCAATCAGCACCCCTTCCGATTGATCAATGTTCACAAGACTTATTAATTCGCGTACAATACGCACTCGTGTGTTATTTGCACCCTTGATTATGGAGATTAAATTCTAGAAAAATATATCTTTCGTACATAAACATTTCAGGCTGTCAGCATAAACCACGAAATGTATCTTTCAACTCATTTTTTTTTCACCAAAATAATATTCTAATAAGAGCCCCCTATTTCTAGTTTTGAGAGCGCCCTGGGCGCTTATTACGTCGATTACGGTTTTTAGGGTTAGGTACCCGTTTAGTGGCTATGATTGATTCTATAGCTGCTCCTAATATTCTTCACACAAAAACGTCGAGAGAAAAAAAGGATGAAATGGTTGAGTGTCGAATATTTTGGCTATTGGAAACTGTCCTGGAACATTCACACAAGCCTCTTTCACCTGCTACATTTATTCAGTACTGATTCAAAAGCAAACTCACCCTTGTGTCGTCACTAGTCATGCTCATGCCTCCCTCGTTCCGCACAATTATCCACATTATCCTTACAGTGTTCCCTACCGCACTTTACTGTCACAAACACCACCTGACAAATTATTAAATCCCATGTCATTCATGCATACCCGTGAGTTCGACATCTGATGCCTGATGCCAAGAGCCGTTTTCAGTTCTTGCCATATTGACTCATTCCTCACCACTCAATATCTTGTAGATTACGGAATGGGACGAGTATGCCAAATGGCATTGGGATCACTCGTGTACGTAGACTAAAGTCACAGGACACCATACCTACCCGTAACATTCGGAAGTGTCCATCACCTATTCAACCCTTTTCATTCAGTTCCGTAACGGAGTAGGCATGACAATGTAAATTTGAACTTAGTAAAATTTATAAATATTGATCTGCGAGTTTGTTATTATGGAATAGTAGTTACATCGTCCTGTAAGTAGCTATAATTAACCAGTACATCCCAGTGTAAATGGACATGGAGGTGTACACTTAGGACATATGCCTTCTACAGGGTAATAAATTTACATCACCACCAGGAGATGGGTTGACTTAATTGTTTGTTTGCATTGCTCTAAATGTATTGTCTCACTTGCTGTAGTTAGTATTTTGCAACCATCCCAGACGTTGGGACAACATTGGTAAGTTATTATTTACGTTGGGCCAATGATATTTTTTGGACTTACGTTGATAGCCAACGTTGGCCGAAAGTGGATGGCCAATGTTGGCCCAATGTTAGATTAACGTCTGTTTTATTCATTCACCTCCCAGGCAGCCTGAAATGTTTGTACCAATCTAGTTAAGACATCAGGTAACAAGCAATACATTCTGCAAGCTGAATTCACTTTAAACTCTATCCATGAAACACAAGTCCATGAAATGCACTAGCTTGGTTCAGGGTAATGTTATTAGTTACATGTACAATTAGGTTATTTAATATTTATTTTCCAAAACATCTTTCAAGGCTATGTGCAAATTGTTCACAAATGTTTCTATGCAATTAAAAGGTGTTTTTTTTTATATTTTCCCAATAGTTAGCAACTTATCCATCCACAATAAGCCTTGCACAAATTGAAACATTTACATTTTCTTGGCCTCACCCCATACATTCACCATTGAGAGCAAGACTGAGACAAGCAGAATAGTCTATGCATCTGATGTCCTGTGATCCATTTCCTTGATCCATTAGTCATGTTTTCTGTCCAAAATGTATGCCTCAGATACATGTACTGTGGATATTGTAGAAACTGCAAATCTCTATATTTATATTTAACTGCACATATTAAATTATTTATAAATGCCTACTGACAAAGACTGAGAAAGAACTACTTTTCTATAAATAAAAGCTTACGCAGTGATGCGACCATCAAATCAGTGATTGAATCTGATTTGATACCTCTGATTGACCAATCAGGATGGAGTAATTTCTAACTCATGGCAGAATGTAGCTTCTTGATGCTGTTGGACCAGGCAAATTTACATATTCTCCAAAGGCGTGTTTAGATTGGCCTTTATCATATCAGAGAAAAAGCAATATCTGTAAATCTGATTGTGTGTTTGCATTGTTTCTGAATTGAAAAAAACATAACTTCTGCATTCCCTGCTAGAGTGGGAGTGCCCAGGAGTGTTAAGGGTTCCACTGACTAGATAATGCACGTGATTAAGAGAATGTTTGTTTTTCAGATGACAGGGTTGAATGTAAAAACAGATCAGATCCTAGAGATTGCCTGTCTTGTCACGGATGCACAGCTCAACATTGTTGCAGAGGTGGGATACAAATACTGAAACATGTGGGATACAAATACTGAAACATGAAGTAAATGCATGTGAAATGAATGACACATGTACATACGTCTTGTAAAATTCCTTTGTGTGTGTGTAAGCAGCAGTAATTTAGTTCAATATGATTTCATTCAGTTCTAAAGTTGATGTAGATTGAAAATCACATTTGTAGTAAATATTCCAAGTGTTCAGTATCGCAGAACATCATCAGAATGATTCAATATTACCATAAGACACTAATATTGGTGAAAGTTTGTTTGTTTTGTTTGTTTTGTTTGTTTGTTGTTTAACGCCGCACTCAGCAATATTCCAGCTATATGACGGCAGTCTGTAAATTATCGAGTCTGTACCAGACAATCCAGTGATTGATATCTTGAGCATTGATCCACGCAATTGAAATACGATGACATACATCAGCGAGCCTGACCACCCGATCCCGTTACTCGCCTCTTACGACAAGCATAGTCGCCTTTTACAGCAAGGATGGGTTGCTGAAGACCTATTCTACCCCGAATCTTCATGGGTCTGGTGAAAGTAGTTTCGGTAATTTTAACAATACATGATGATTGTTCCACTTTATCCAGTCGTTTAATGCAGCATCTACCTTGAGGTCATTTCAACGTATTGTTGCAAAGCATTAATGTATATATAATTACTGTAAATCGCTGTGTATAAAGCGACCCCACGTATAAGACAACCCCCCCCTGTATACGCCTTTAAAATCGGCCTCAAATCCTATACTCCCTGTATAAGGCGACCTGGAATGAAGCACATCACAAGTGCGCACACAAACCTTATATTAGCAATAAAAATATGTTTACCCTTATTGTTTTTTCTACGATGATTGGTCACGTGTGTAACTCCAGCACAGGTCGCCATTTTGTGTTTACACAGCACGACACCAAATTAGTAATGTAGATACAATTAAAGTTGATATCTTCAGTTTTTCATTACATCACAGACACTTTTATGTTATTCTTCCTACATATATTGCCTGTTTTCCACTTAAACTTTCTTCACTAAAAACAGCTCAGGACTCTGGGCGTGATCCTAAATTCCTCCTAGCTCATAGGTTATTCTATAAATAAGTCATAATGGTATTTATAGTTAGTTGACAACATGGTGATGTAAGGAACTAGTTTCCTAGATAACAGTATTCATGGTATTGCAATGATTGCTTGAACTGTTGTTGTTCAGGGCCCGAGCCTGGTCATCCATCATCCTGACTCTGCCCTGGATGCCATGGACGACTGGTGCACACAGCATCATGGGAAGGTATTAACTCCTGACCACAAGTGCAACACATATAAAAATACACTAAAGATTTTAGCTTGTAAAGCAAATATGTCAGCTCTGTCCTTGGGGTTAGATACCAGTGCTGCGTCAAGGCCACTACTGGACCATGAGAGGAATCATGTGGGAACGTCACTTTTTAAGGGACTCGATTTGACTATGTAGGTTTATAAAAAAATGGCCTTAATGTGCTCATTATTGTGACTTGTTGTTTGAACAACATTTTTTCAGTTGGTAAAAAAAACTAGCATTGATCTAACTCAAGCACTTACTGGGTGGTCGGATAGCCCAGTGGTTGAAGCGTTGACTTGAATACAGGTTCAATTCCCTACTTGGGTATAATGTGTTAGGCTCTATATTGCTACCAGCAGCACAAATCTGTTTTCACTCTCACTGACGCAACCAATCATACAAAACCCCCACTATAAATAAGCCTCTGTTTCAGTCTGGTTTGACAGAAGCTGTGAAGAAGAGTAAGATCACGTTGCCTAACGCTGAAGAGGAAGTTCTGCAGTTTGCCACAACGCACACGCTCCCTGGGGTGTGTCCTTTAGGGGGCAACTCTGTACATGCTGACAAGGTGTTTCTGACCAAGTACATGCCACGGCTTGCCAACCACCTGCACTATCGCATCATAGATGTGAGCACAGTGAAGGAACTCTGCAGGTAGCAGCACCATCCTGTAACGTATAACATCCAGTGGTGGGCGTTATGGGGAAAGTGTCCCCTGTGTTGGGTGTTATGGGGAAAGTGTCCCCTGTGGTGGGTGTTATGGTGAAAGTGTCCCCTGTAGTGGTTGTTGCAGCACTATCTTGTTACGTGTGGCATCCTGTGGTGGGCGTTATGGGGAAAGTGTCCCCTGTGGTGGGTGTTATGGGGAAAGTGTCCCCTGTGGTGGGTGTTATGGGGAAAGTGTCCCCTGTGTTAGGTGTTGTGGCGAAAGTGTCCCCTGTGGTGGGTGTTAGCTACATATGACAGAGTGAAACACTGTTTAACTACATTCAAACTTTTGACTTGTGGCTAGTGAATAACAAGCAATTTGTTTGGATGATGGCTTCTCAGTTTACAGTTTGCTGATGCAAGCACCTTTATCAAAGCAACATCTGCCCAGCAACATTGTATACAAGGAAGTTGTCCTCCATACAAATTGCTCGTAATAACCTCACCCAACTTCTACTATGTACTAGAGTATTATTGTGAGTCAACTAAAGTGGGGTCCCATGGCCACAACAATCTGAGTATGACAGTTGTTGTGAGTCGGTGTTGAAACAGAATGGGGCAGTTATCAGTCTGAAGCACCGGGTTTGACTCCACATGTACATGTGAGGTCTCTTCTTGGTGTTCCCCATCCCGATATGGCTGGAATATTGCTATATCAAGTAACACTCCGCAGAAACGAACTCACTCATGTTATGGACTGTTGCCATGTCTGAATGTGATGGGGGGCGGTCGGGTAGCCTAGTGGTTAAAGCGTTCGCTCGTCACGCCGAAGACCCGGGTTCGATTCCCGACATGGGTACAATGTGTGAAGCCCATTTCTGGTGTCCCTTGCCGTGATATTGCTAGAATATTGCTAAAAGCGGCGTAAAACCGTACTCACTCACTCACTCTGAATGTGATGGCCATCTATGACATATCAACTCAGTCCTCCACCCAACAAGGGTAGCCGTGAGTGAGTGAGTGTTGTTTTACACTGCTTTTAGCAGTATTCCAGCAATATTATGGCGTGAGACACCAGAAATGGGCTTCACACTTTGTACCCATGTTGGGAATCGAACCGGGGTTTTCGTCGTGATGAGCGAACACTTTAACCACTAGGCTACCTGTTGGCCATCTGTGACATGTCCACTTACTCCTCCCTCCAGGTTGGGTAGCAGGTCCCTGTTGTGTAGCTGTTGTGTGGTTGTAGTGCTGACCATGGTTTTAATGACTTGCATAATGTAAAGAGAAATATGTTTGCAGGAGGTGGTACCCTGAGAAATATGAAGCAGCACCCAGGAAGAAGCTTTGCCACAGGTTTGTAAACATCTGTCATGACTATTCTGTGTTCTTCCCTGGCTTTCTATCAGGAGAGACAGTTTGTTTGATACATGTTGATGGATGGGGGACATTTGGTTTGATTCTCTGGTAATGTTTATGTCACATAAGTGGTGAAAACCATTGATGATTGTTTGGCCTCATCAAGTGGTTAGTTCCATGTCTGTTTGGCATCACGTGGCACTCGTTAAGCTGAAACACTGTTGTATCACTGAATTACCGACAGCTGTTGTATATCTGAATAACTGACAGCTGTTGCATAACTGAGTTACAGACAGCTGTTGTATAACTGAATTACTGACAGCTGTTGCATAACTGAATTACAGACAGCAGTTGTATAACTGAATAACTGACAGCAGTTGCATGACTGAAATACTGACAGCTGTTGTATATCCGGATTACTGACAGTTGTATAACTGAATTACTGACAGTTGTATAACTGAATTACAGACAGCAGTTGTATAACTGAATTACAGACAGCTGTTGTATAACTGAATAAATGACAGCAGTTGTCTAACTGAATTACTGACAGTTGTCTAACTGAATTACTGACAGCTGTTGTATAACTGAATTACTGACAGCTGTTGTATAACTGAATTACTGACAGTTGTTGTATAACTGAATTACTGACAGCTGTTGTATAACTGAATAACTGACAGCAGTTGTATAACTGAATTACAGACAGCTGTTGTATAACTGAATTACAGACAGTTGTTGTATAACTGAATAACTGACAGCAGTTGTCTAACTGAATTACTGACAGTTGTATAACTGAAATACTGACAGCTGTTGTATAACTGAATTACAGACAGCTGTTGTATAACTGAATTTTTGACAGCTGTTGTGTAACTTAATTACAGACAGCAGCTGCATAACTGATTTACTGACAGCTGTTGTATAACTGAATTACTGGCAGGTTGTTTACTATTACAGATTTTCTGACAGGGGGTCTATGCAATAGAATTAATATTCAAAGTTGTGTAAAAGCCACACTCACTGCCTCAACAGTGACCAAATATAACATGATATTCATGAATTATCCATTTTTATATTTGATTTTACTCTCATGCTGATAGTATTTCATTTGTCAAGTACTTATGTTTTTCACAACAATGCTGCTCTATTCCTGTGAATAAATTGTTTGGGTTGTTTCAGAGCGCTGGATGACATCAAGGAAAGCATCGAGGAACTCAAGTATTACCGCAGCACCATATTCCGCTCCTAAAACATTCACACAGGATTGACATGTACTGAGTGGTGAATGTGAGGGATGTGGACATTCCTGGTCTTTGCTGAACATTCTTAGGATGTAGAATCTGTAACACATTCCTTTCTTACAAGGCTATACTTAACCTAGAGCCGGTCATATAAAGTCATGCAGGTGCAGGGAGGGCGTGGGTGGCCCAGTCGTCTAAGGCACCGCGATTCGCTGTGCAGAGTTGCGTCTTGGGCACGCCAGAAACCTATGATTGTGGGTTCGAATCCTGGTTTGCCCCGATTATTTTTCTAGGTTTGTCAGCACCATACCAGTGCTCGTGGGTTTCACCGAAGTGGTCAACGTCTGAGAACTGCATGACTTCAGGCTTACCTCCCACATTAAGCTGACACGCCGCGATATAACTGGAATACTGTTAAAAGCGGTGTTAAACCCAACTCACTCACTCATTGCTGCAGGGGGCAGCCAATGGCCTCATCCCCCTAAACTTGCTCTGTGACTTGTGCCAGGACCCATTGCATTGTAGACATTGTCTGTTGCTGCTTCATATGTGTTTATGGGGCTGGTATTAAAGCCTGCGTCAATGTCTGTGCTTTCCCCCATTATACTGTTGCCAGGCTGGGTCTATTTTGTGGTACATGGCGGCATCCCAGTAATGCTAACTGTTTTCTCCCAAACATCTGAATTTATGTTATGGGTCTTTGTTTGTTGTCCGTCAGTCCATCCATCCATTATCTCTGAAGCTTAAAATCTCTTCTTCACGAAATCTACTGACTGTATCAATATCATTTTCAAATGACATGTTCTCTGTGGGCTACAGCTACAGCTACAGCAATTGTGTTGATCGATGCTCATGATGTCAATCACTGGATTGTCTGGTCCAGACTCGATTATTTACAGACTGCCGTCATATAGCTGGAATATTGTTGAGTGTGGAGTTAAACAACAAACAAACAAACAAACAAACAAACAGAAGCTACAGAAAAGTAAACTTTTCATTTTCAAAAGTTCAAAATGGTCTCCTCAACAGACGTTAAGGGTCAAAGGGAGACTACTCTTCAAACCTCAGAGGCTAAACCATGTTTATAATTTTAACTTTATACAATCTTCATTAAAGTCATGAACGTGATCCAATAAAACATTAACATCCTTGCACATCAAAATTACTGATATAAAAACACAAAACAGTGTCGAATAACACATTTCTGTACCAGAATTGTCATGTGAAATATGTGAGGTGGGTGTTGGAAAATCCAAAATGGCTGTTACTGACGGTATAATTATAGAAGTAAGAACCATCTTTTTTACGGATGATATAAGGGCTCATATGGGGTTAGTAGTTCTGCTCTCTGATTGGTCAAACTCACTTTGAGGCATAATAAAATCTCATATGCAGCAACTATGTGGTTTTTGGAATAATATATCATAGCTTTTTTGGCATCTTTAGATATTTTATCAGGCTACAACCTTTGACTTTCACGTACAATATTTATACTGCTTCTGCATTTTCAGCATCTTTACCTCATATTCTTATTGAGGGAGGTGGAACCTTAATCGAAGACAGAAACAGATGACATATCTGAAATGTTTTGCTAAGTAACTGTGCAGGTAAATAAATATTGCAATTAAGTCGCTGCTGAAAAAGTTCTTTCATAGTCACTGTCACCTCATTATAAGGCGATGATGGAAACTTCCAACCTACTTACATTGTGCATGTAGTGTCATTAATTCATAGATAAAGGATACACTGAATGTTGGTGATTACATTGTTGTATTTTACGACTTAGAAGACGTTACGTAAAATGTTTTGTCTCAATCACTATGAATAGTGTGAAGCAAGCACCTGTTGCCCATAAAACTGTTGATGATAACTGAAAGTTCAGTATATGGAAGTTATCTGTGCCTGTAGCAGTGACAGGGTGGGTAGCCTAGTGGTTAAAGCGTGTCACCGAAGACACGGGTTTGATTCCCGACATAGGTAAAATGTGTGAAACCTATTTCTGGTGTGCCCTGCCGGGATATTGCTGGAATATTGCTAAAAGGGGCGTAAATCCATACTCACTCACTCACTGTAGCAGTGACCTACGTCAGTGCATGTGATGTCATGTCACATGACACCAGACAGTGTGAAATGTACATTTACTCGTTTCACATACACACAAGAAAATGTCTGAATGACACTGCCTTTCAAATAAAAGATATGCATCACATGAACTGACCCAGGTTGTGTTTTAACCTTTTAACCACAAAAGCAATACAGATAGCTCGGACGACAGAATTTTCCCATGATCATTCACAATTCTGAAATTACATATCTGGCTAGGCTAAAACAAACAATAGTCTTGGTTATCAGGCACCGCCCACATCGTCATAAAGTTTCCCGCATGTTTCGTTTTTGTTTCCATTTTTAAAAAAGAAAAAAAAATCCATAAAATTTCTAAGTCCAACGGGAGTCAAATTCTGTATTCCTGTATTTTGCTCATCAAGGAATACATTTATGTAGGGAGGCTCTTTCCCAGATTGATTGAACACATTTGTTTATTCGGTTATACAACTGTTTATTTGGTTACATTCTAGTTTGAACAACCAAAAATACTCAAAAAAACACTGCCCATCCACACTATATTTTCTAAAGCCATTGCCTGAGAACCGATTCTTTCATTTTTTAAGCCTTATGTACAAGTATTTCTAAGTTCCTTACCATATTTGAAGAGTTAGAGGGTAGAACTTAACTAAATTGTACAAACACCCACACAAAATTACCTTCCTTCCTTCCTATGAGTTACACCAAACTAACAAATAATGCAGATTTTGTCAAATAATGTATGTCTAAATATACATTTTATGATGATCATTAAGTTATTCAAATATGACTGACTATCATAATTTTCATGTTCCTGTATGCATAATAAGTCAACCTTTAAGTCGACTAATATTAATTGCCTGATAGCTTCAGTGGAATTTCAGTTCAACTTGACTACCAGTATTGAAAATAATGCATGACATAAAATTATCAAGCATATCAGCTTTCTAATTATAAGATCAACCAGTAACTGATGTATAATGGATGAATTTACATTAAAATCATGCCAGTGTTAAAAAATACGATTCCACTGAACTCACAGGACACGGGTAATAATAATGACTCGAATGGAATTGTTTATGATACCTCCACATCAGAATGAGATCTGATTGGTTCATGTGATCTTGATAAAATACAGTGTATCCCGCCTTGGAGGGGAATAAAAAATTTTGCGGGAGAATAAATCTCTTATACCCCAACACGAACAAAACAGCTGTAGTTTATGGCCCCTCATGGATGACTAACATACCACTCTGTAACGACCTTGTTGACATGTCATCTTTGACGTCTTTATCCATACTGCATCTCACTTTCAGGACTATGGGTTGGAAGTTTCATTGGAAGTTTGAGGCAACCTACAGGTATGCAGGTCGTTTGAGGCAACCTACAGGTATGCTGGTCGTTTGAGGCAACCTACAGGTATGCAGGCTGTCTGAGGCAACCTACAGGTATGCAGGTCGTTTGAGGCAACCTACAGGTATACTGGTCATTTGAGGCAACCTACAGGTAGGCTGGTCATTGAGGCAACCTACAGGTATGCTGGTCGTTTGAGGCAACCTACAGGTATGCAGGTTGTTTGAGGCAACCTACAGGTATGCAGGTTGTTTGAGGCAACCTACAGGTATGCAGGTCGTTTGAGGCAACCTACAGGTATGCTGGTCATTTGAGGCAACCTACAGGTATGCTGGTCGTTTGAGGCAACCTACAGGTATGCTGGTCGTTTGAGGCAACCTACAGGTATGCTGGTCGTTTGAGGCAACCTACAGGTATGCTGGTCGTTTGAAGCAACCTACAGGTATGCTGGTCATTTGAGGCAACCTACATGGGTGGTGAGTCTTGGTTACAAAGTATTGTTTGATAGCTTGTCATTGTACCCAATCAGCGTGCATCATTGCATATATCAATCAATGAATTGTCTGCCCCAGACTCTGTTATTTACATGCAGAAACCATTTTGCTGGAATATTGCTAAGTGTGGGGTTAAATAACGAACAAATCAACAAAGTTTTCAGGTATGCAAGTGGGAAGCTGTGTTCATCGCTGATTGTTCATGAAAGTGATTCTCGTGAATGCAATGCCCGAGATCCTACTCATCAAGTGTTCCAGTTCTTGGATGATGAGCCTTGGTTTGTCTGAATGATGCCCGTGGCTTTCAGGAAATTGGTAATGGTAATCTTGGCCTTTTCTCACATAAGCTGATGTATCCTGAAATATCCTGAAAATACTGTTCAGTCAAAACTCACTGATACTGTTCAGTCAAAACTCACTGATACTGTTCAGCTAAAACTTACTGATACTGTTCAGTCAAAACTTACTGATACTGTTCAGTCAAAACTCACTGATACTGTTCAGTCAAAACTCACTGATACTGTTCAGTTAAAACTCACTGATACTGTTCAGCTAAAACTTACTGATACTGTTCAGTCAAAGCTCACTGATACTGTTCAGTTGAAACTCACTGATACTGTTCAGTCAAAACTCACTGATACTGTTCAGTCAAAACTCACTGACCCTGTTCAGTCAAAACTCACTGATACTGTTCAGTCAAAACTCACTGATACTGTTCAGTCAAAACTCACTGATACTGTTCAGTCAAAACTCACTGATACTGTTCAGTTAAAACTCACTGATACTGTTCAGTCAAAACTCACTGATACTGTTCATTCACTTTGGGCTAAATATGCAATTTTTGTAAACAAAAACTCAAATCTAATGGGGCGTAAAGTTTATTGAGTATTATGTTATGGTACTTACATTTCCGGTAGTTGGCACACGTTTATTGGAGAATACCCACATAAATAAATACACGTATTGGAAGATACTGGCAAGATGGCATTGATAAAACAGACCTGTACATCGTTCTACCATAAGCATTAAATAGTGTATTATGTTTTTAGCGTTTATGGAGGTGTACACATAAAAAACGTGCATACTGCGTAAATAAGCACAAAAACATTGAGGTCAATTTTTATAAATATATCAATAATACCCAGGTAAAAGCGTCACAGACTGCTTATTCACTCATTAACACAAAAAAAACACCGGTTGACTAGAGAAAAGAATCTGTGACATCAGCAACCCAAGCCCTGCCCATTATACTTTCAGCCAATCAGGAAATAGCAGCCCATAAATGGGCATGGAAAAATTGTTTTCTTGATTAATGGAAAAATAAAAATAAAATAAATTGCTTGCTTAGCCAATCAAATGCCATGGAATTACTTGCAATTTTCAATACAATAACAACACTTCACAATCTTACATCAGATCACAACAAGCATGCCCCAGATCGGACCTGTCAAATCTTTTTTGACATATTGAATAAATTGATGCTTAATAACTTGCATCACCTCGACTGGTTCAGTGTACAGTTCACACTGGGGTGTTGATACAGACGTGCAGGAACACACATCACAGCATTAATACTAGGGCTGGGACGGGTAATTGAGTAGGACCTGGGTACCCACAGGACTACCTGGAGCCGTGGTTAGTCATGTGATATGATCATACTAGTCATATATCGGACATTTTCTACCAATCTCTTGAGAGGTGGAATGGGGTTTAACGTCGCGTCCAAGATTATTGCACTAATAAAGCGACGTGCATGTACGTGTGTGTGTTTGTGTGGCTGCTTGTACTAGTCCGGACTGATGCCGATTTATAGTGCTAGCTCACTGAGATACCATGCCGCAGTTTTACAGTCATGAATACCCCAATCAGACACAGTATACCGACTCCGAGCCAACCAGTCCTTGTTTTAGCCCCTTAATGCCGAGCACCAGACAGGGTAACAACAAGTACCATCTTTTAACGTCTTTTGGTATGACGCGATCGGGGATCGAACTCCGGACCTTCCGCTCTTCGGGCGGACGCTCTACCACTAGACAACGGAGGCGGTCCCATCTCTTGAGACCTACAGCGGGTACCTAGATAGGGTAGGGTAATAAGGGTGTTGGGTACCCGGATAGTAAATTTGGACTTGTTTGTCCCAGCCCTAATCAATACATGCACTGGTCCTACTGACCTCACTACTTTGGTGGATGAATTCTTCTCAAGCATTTTACACTTCTTTCTTTCACAGACCTAACTGGCTTGTGGCAGTATATATATGTTCTGTCACCTTTATGATGTAAATACAGACACAGACACAAAATAATCTGAAGAATATCTGTTGAGCTGACAGCCAGTTATAACTTCCCTGTAAATCAACAACCATTTTGGTTTCAGTAAAAGAATGTGGTATTTTGGAATGTTTGTTTGTTGTTTAACGCCAATCTCAGCAATACTCCAGCTATATGACGGCGGTCTGCAAATAGTCGAGTCTGGACCAGACAATCCAGTGATTGACATCATGAGCATCGATCCATGCAATTGGGATACGAAGACACGCATCAACCAAGTCAGTGAGCCTGGCCACCCGATCCCGTTAGTCGCCTCTTACAACAAGCATGGGTTGCTGAAGACCTATTCTAACCCGGATCTTCTTGGGTCATTTTCGAATGTACTTTATCCAATATGACAACATCTAATCAAGTTACTATCAGACAAGTAAACACATCAAAGTTATGCTCACTGTTACATATCAATATCTCCAGCACAACAGGACAGAGTTGTACAACTTACTCTCAGAAAAATAATGTGATTGTGCTACATTATTACCCTGATCAATAGATTAGTGTGCACTCCTTTTTCATTTTCTACTCCCTGGGGAGTATACAAATCAAACTGCCTTTGAGGTGCTGGAAAGTTAAGAGTCACATCCTACCAGGTACCAAATCCTCGAAACCCTCAGGAGGCGAGGTGCCAAATGTGGTCACCCATGACCACTGTTGCTTAACTTCACCTGATTTGTGACCTGTGCGCTGTGCACAGGACCATGTGCCACCACAATACAGACCAGACACACCTCATTAACCATCCCACGTAAACAACAACATGCACAAACACACAAACACACAAACACACAAACACACACACTGATATGTGTGAGACCCGGGTTACAACAGGTACCAAGCACTCTCCTGCTTGGGTCGGGTGGTCAGGTTCACTAGCTGACTTGTTTGACACTGAACGTGCCACTTCCATGTCAGTACTGAATACTGCTTGTATGACATCTTCAAGAAGTTGGTGATGCAGCGGCTTGGAAATAATCCAGTCTGGACGAGACAAGAGTCCAGTTGGATGTGAGAATTTCTATCTAATCTGTATGTCCATACACAAGAGTAGGTATCAAAACTTGGTTTTCGACTTACGCTCCTAAAGTGAAATGATTATCGACAGACAGACAGACAGACAGATGAGGCGTAGACTATATGCCCGGGGGATAAAAAGGCAGTGATTGATTTTGTCAGCCACAATCCACACCATGGCTACATTCAACTGAGTCTGACCACCCAATCCATTTGGTTCCCTCTTACAACCAGCATAGGTTGCTGGGGACCTGTTCTAAGCAGGAATCCACATGGTCGGTATGGTGTATGAATATGACATATATTGCACTATTTAATACATTTACAACAAACTCAGTGTCACAATATCACGAAGAGCTCTTAGTAGGTGGAGGTATAAGGACCTCCTGATCATAAGGAGCATTCTGCACAGTTGCTTGTATGGAAGACTCGGATTTCTTGAAGACATCTTCCTCCTCAGGTTTCACTTTGGCCCAGGACTGTTCCTCTCCACGAGCAAAGACGATGAAGATGATTGTCCCGACCACATAGACGCCTGCCGTGATGAAGAACACAATTCTCCACCCTGCTATCGTCTCCTGTGGGCAAGTGCACAATGTATGACAAGTATTTCATAGCTCACAAACAAAACTGAATTAAATCAGAAGATTACATATCCCCTTTTTTCTTTTAATATAAGCCCGATAAACGAACACAAAATCCATCCCCTTTTGAGACTTGGTACAAATTGTTTCCATGGAAATTGAGAAAACTTAAAATGCCAAAAATCTGTAAATTGACCATTGACAATATTCCCACCCATTCAATGCCGGAGGATAAATATGATATGCTTCATTTTAGATACTGGTGTATTTGTAACTAAATTCTGCAGTGGCCAGTGTAGAGTTCATACCTGGTTTGAAAATACAGTTGACTCACAATAAGTGGCAAATCTCAAGGGATGAGCCTAAAGTATCTACTTATTCAGTTTGCCATTTATCTGACTTGTTTCCAACTTTTATATCCTTGTAGTTAACACAAACTACAAAGAGTCTGTTCCATTAATAAATTGTTTTCACTGTCAGTACAGGAGTACAGACCACAAATAACTCGGTGAGATACAGTTAGTGTTCTCTCTGTTAATCCATTAAATGTCACTAAAAAATACAAGTCTCATGATTGAAACTGTAAATTTGATGAAGGACATACTAATCTGTAAATCTGAGTGTCAAGAGGGTTATTTTTATTTCTACCCATTCCACCAATACATTCTACATGGTCATCTCTTACCAATCGTGTTGGTGTTCAGTAACTGTATCCATCCTTGTGGAAAATATCATATGCACACACACCTTCTCACTTACGTTTCGTGTATGCTCCCGATCAACCCCGGAGGCAAGAGTGTCCACTTCCCTGTTTATCAAAGTCATGTAGAAACTAGGCTTTGATACAGGCTAGTGGACACGCTCGCCCCGGGAAGATGGCTCCTGATGAGAAATAATGTGATTGTAAATATACAGAAGTGTGTATGATTCTGTTGGGCCATACAATAACCACACACTTGAGGATGAACAATAACAAACAAGCATGCAATGCTCATATCCCCCGTCCGGAAACAAACACTATAGCCATTTTCAAAGTCAAAGTCAAAGTCATTGATATGGCTACTTGAAAATGTCAAAAATCCCCAAATATCAAAAGTTTACCACTAGACCTATCTATGTGCCATGTTTGGTGAAAAAATATTGTACTGATTCCAAGATCTGCCCCGGTCGTTGCCATGGAATTTCGAAAAATACAGGAGCCTTTCGATCTGGATTTTGGACAGGTCACCAACAGTACAAGTCCTATTAAATTTGAAGAAGTCTGTGTTAACACCAATGAAATATGGCAAATAATCAACAGTCGTGTTATTGGTTTCCAAGATAAGTTTGAAGAAATCTAAGTTTGAGATCGAAGAGGTACGACTTTATTCTTGCATGAAAGTGCCCTGATGTGACCTGATGGACAGCCCTAGGTTGATTGTGAGAGCCGACATGTTTGTAGAGGAATATTGGCAAGTAAGTATGGTGGAAATAACACTCGAAGTTCATCGTTTCATTTTGGATTATGTGATGTAACAATATTTTGACTATTCTTTTATTTGCAATTTTGTTTCACTAAAGTTTACATTGGAAAACATTCACGAAAACCGTAGATCTGTTGTAGCAGTGAGATTTCTTTGTATCCTGGATTTGACGAATGACATGCTTGCTGTATGACATAGCCTAATTTAAATACATATGAAAAAGCCAAGCATGAACTTGTGCAACATGATAAAAAACTTTGCACAATCAGATATACATTGTCTAATTCATCATGTTTCTTTTGATTTGGAAGGAGACGAGCGAAATCATCTTGGATTGTGTTGACAATATTTGTGATTTATATCTAATTTAAATTCAAGAATAAATATGTATCCGATCTCAACACGGCTATGTCATGTCATTGCGTTAAACTGTCATGGTATAATGAGTGCATGACTGGTTGTAGTTTTATGAATGAAAAGTAGTGATAACTCTGATAACTTCTCAGTCAATCAAACACATCATGTACACATATTAATGTGATAATCACACTGCTGGAAAGGGATATTTTCTCACTGAGAAATTACCCCAAAGTAAATTCACTTTTGGGTAATGATACAGTACGCGCCCTGAAACAGATCAGTGCAGACACATCGCAGGTGTACTTACATTATTGTTGGTGATGATGCCAACCACTTGGGGGCCCAGGAAGCCGGGAATCGTAGCAATCCCATTGGTTATACCCAGCAACACTCCTGTAACCATAGCAACATCGGTTACTACATCTGTCACAAGTTCCAAGAATGGTAGAGTGTTGAACAAATAAGTTAATAATGAAATTAAATTCATTGATCATTATACATATTACAGCAACATATTTGTTTGTTTGATGTTTACTACAATATAAGTGTAGCGGCTATAAAATTTCCGAGTCCCGTGATGGGATTCGAACAACGGACCTTCTGATCAGAGGTCGGACGCCTTGTCCACATGACCAAAGAGGTTAACCCCGTCAGTAAGCTGACAAGGTAAGGATGTCATCTGTGGGATGACTCCACGCCCTGCTACATACTCCCCAGTCAACAGAAGGCACGTCCTGGGCCGCATAGTATAGGGTACTGAGACTTATTTTGCTCAAATTTAATATGAACATGCTCAGCCCCATGTTGGGCTCCAATGTAGAGGCCATAAAATTTTCGAGTCCCGTGATCGAATTCGAACCATGGACCTTCTGATCTGAGGTCGGACGCCTTGTCCACATGACCAAAGAGGTTAACCCCGTCAGTAAGCTGACAAGGTAAGGATGTCATTTGTGGGATGACTCCACGCCCTGCTACATAAGCATTTCCCTATAACCCCATCCAGCACGGGTCAGGGGTTGACAAGCCAGGATCTGGGCTTCAAACAAAGAAACTATAAACCCATGCACAGCTTAGGGTCTCAACTCAAACTAAGGTGTCACAGGCCATGTATACAGTTTCTTCGTGTGCTGTTTAACACAGCACTCAGCAATATTCTAGCTATATGACAACAGCCTGTAGATGAGGTGAAATGGGGTTTAACGTCATGTCCAAGATTATTGCACTTATATAGCGACATGCATGTACGTGTGTGAGTGGCTGCTTGTACTAGTCTGGACTGATGCCGTAGTGATAGCCCACTGAGATACCATGCCGCAGTTTAACATGAATACCCCACTCAAACAGTATAGTGACACCGAGCCAACCAGTCCTTGTTTTAGCCCCTTAATGCATAGCGCCAGACAGGGTAACAACAAGTACCATCTTTTAAGGTCTTTTGGTATGACGAGGCTGGAGATCGAACCCCGGACCTTCCGCTCTCAGGGCGAACACTCTACCACTAGACCTCGGAGGCGGTCCAGCAGCCTGTAAATAAACCACCAGACAATCCAGTGATTGATATTATGAGCAATGATCCATGCTATCAACTATACGTCAACCTTGACGACGTGATCCATTAAATGGCCTCTTACAAACAGCATAGGCTGATAATGACAAATCCTACCTGGAAACCCCACGGATGGAGTCTTCTGTATACTGATGCAATGATTGAGACAACACTAATATCTGACAATAGGTTTTGCATTTTCATGTCTTGTGATGTCATTTATCACATCCCACTCAAAAGTTTCTCTCTATTGGGATGCCAGGTTAGAATTAGCCGCCAGCAACCCATGCTTGTCGTAAGAGGTGACTTAATGGATCTGCTGGTCAGACTCGGGACTTGGTTGATTGCGTGTCATTGTGCCCTGAGATTTTGTGAACCGTTGCTCACAATATCAGACACTGCATTATCTGGTTAGTCTTTAGTGATAGTCTTTATCCTTATGTGATTAAACAAGAGTTTATATTCAGACACACTGAAGATGTCGAGATACCCGAGAACTTGGGCGCAATGTCCAGATGGTTGATCATGTATCCCCCCATTGTGATCCCACTGGTTCCCAAGGCCAAGGTCAACAGCGTAACTGCCCACACGTGGTTACAGCCCACGTAGCTGACGCCGATCACCATGCCAGCAGGGAGCATCAGTCCTGAAGGCATTCAAAAGGAATTTCTACAGAAAAATAGGAATTCACAGAATGTACGAAAAAAGGTTGAGTATCTGTATCTGTATCTCACAGATCACCCCAAAAGTCCCAGATGTTTTCACATGTCAGACATCCAATACCTACATTTACAATTGAAATCTACTAGGTGAGGTGAGGTGAGGTGAAATAGGGTTTAACGTCATGTCCAAGGTTATTGCACTTATATAGCGACATGCATGTACGTGTGTGTGTTTGTGTGGCTGCTTGTACTAGTCCGGACTGATGCCGATTTATAGTGCTTGCTCACTGAGATACCATGCTGCAGTTTAACATGAATACCCCAATCAGACACAGTATACTGACTCCGAGCCAACCAGTCCTTGTTTTAGCCCCTTAGTGCCGAGCGCCAGACAGGGTAACAACAAGTACCACCTTTTAAGGTCTTTTGGTATGACGCAGCCGGGGATCGAACCCCGGACCTTCCGCTCTCCGGGCGGATGCTCTACCACTAGACCATGGAGGCGGTCTGAAATCTACTAAGCGTAATTAAACAATTATACAAGCAATGACAAAAATAATATTTGCTGTCCTCTGATTTTATCCCATCCCCCCAAAATTAGAAAAGGATTGAAAAGCGGGATGTTTGAAAAAATGTGTATGCCCCACAAATGTGTGCTAAAAAATCCCACCCCTTACTGAAAGTAAGATGTCTTTAACTTACCTAATGAGTTCATGAGTTTGCGGGTGGCAACGGTTGTAAGGTAACCATGGGATCGGAGATAGTCGGCAACGAACCCAATCAGAACTTGCACAGACCACAGGGCTGCATATGGCACAGCAGACAGCAAACCATCCTGACAGAAGGAAAGAAAATTTGACCATGAATTTGGAAATTACTTCATACCGATTGGTCAATCAGAGGTATCAAATCACAATAGCCACATCTGATTTAAACAGCTGATCCGATGGCCGCATTACTACAGAAGCTAATATTTATCGAAAAGTAGTTCTTTCTCAGTCATTGTCGGTAGGCATTTTCAAATAATAGTATGTGAAATAATAAGTTACAAAATGCAGATTTGTGGTATTTATAATGCTCAAAGTATGTGTGGCAATACATTTTGGCCAGAAAACAGATAAAATGGACTAGAAGAGTGTGTTTCAAGTTTTAAGGAGCTTAAAATTTGACACTTATTTACAGCTGACTGTGAGGTCATATTTTCTGTGTCACAGTGGGCAGTGTGACATTGATGGGATGTGCAGAGTAGAGCTCAACCTTGCAAGGCTTGTTTCATTTTCTTTAGGGGTGCCCAAGTTATGTCGCTTACTAAGTTGCTGTGCTACACCCTTTCAATGCCTGTTGTATATGCAAATATAAGATAGCGATGCGATAAATAGCAAAGAACAGTGAAGAATGAAGTGTGGTTTATTGTTCTATCATGACGTCATTTCTGGAGATTCGAATATGCGCTCATGACTTGATGACGCCGTACATTGGACAACGTTATTTTTGAAAGGGAAGTATCTAGTGATTTAGCTAGGCAATGTAAATAAACGCAGGGGTCGAATGATAGCATCGAAAAGTGGGAGAGCTATGACAATCAGTATTGGGAGAAAAGGTACAGGTAATCGACGTGAGGACTGTGAGAATATGCAGAAAACACCGACACCAAACCCATCTGTTAATAAAATGGACTTGTGTTCTTGTCTCATGTAAGAAACAAATGACTCGTGGTCGCTGTGCCCCTCATTGTTTATTCTCCCTGCAGTGTTTTATTGTACGATAAACAACTCCCACTCATCGTTTATTTCTTATATGACATATCAACATCATGTACATCCCATTTAAGCATGTTGGTAAAATGTACAAGTTTTAAAAATATTTTCCAAAATTTAAATACCTTATTCGACGTAATAAGCGCCCCGCTCTAATAAGCGCCCATTGCGATATTTGCTAATATATTGGCTAGTGAACAATCCCAATCAGCACCCCTTCCGATTGATCAATGTACACAGGACTTATTTATTCGTGTATAATAGGCACTCGTGTGTTATATTACCCTTAATTATGGGCAATTAAATTCTTGAAAAATATATCTGTCGTATGTAAACACTTCAGGCTGTTAGCATAAACAACGAAATTTATGATCTTTCAACTCAAAATAATATTCTAATAAGCGCCCCCTATTTGTAATTTTGAGAGCGCCCTGGGCGCTTATTACATGGAATACGGTAATGATGATTCCCTGTAGAGAATCTGACCTGGAAATGTCGGACAAGTCCATTAATGAACAGGTGGGTTTGGCTTGCTATTTCACACACATTCTCACAATCCTCACATCAATTAGAGAGAGTGGAGAGTTACTACCGAAGAGACATCCACAAGTTAAGGTATCGTGCATCTACTCGCAACTCTGCACAGCCAAAAATGGTGACAGTTCTTCAAACTCTTCACTTTCAGTTCTACATTAGGGGTTTGTTTGTTTGTTGTCAGGTTAAATTATTTTTGGTAATTCTTGCTGAGTACAATAAGCTTCGCTTCATGCTGATTGGCTTGTTTGTACCAACTGTTTTCGTTGTGTGTGAAGAGGTCACATGAATGCATTGTCGCAAATATTGAAGATGTCATCCATTGTTTGGACGTCACAAATGATATCTTGTGACATGTTTCCCCAAACTAGATAACCTGTCCTGAGATCAGAAAACACACATTAATTTTCAATTATTTCTCACCAAGGCTCTGAACATACAAAATCTATTCACTCAAAACGGATAATCCATAGTTCTGAGTTGCGAGAAGGATCGTCTGTATGTTACGTATAGTCATCTTTTGGAGACATATTGAAAAATGTGGACTTCCAGAGATATCAGCTCCGGAACTCCATAGGTCATTCACTACATTCCAACTTACAGACTGGATATCAAACTTGAGGATTCTCTTCATGAACGTCGGGAGGCAGGTGAGGAATGTATACTGGCCCCAGTTGGTTGCCACATGACCGCCAACAATCCCCCACAATGCCCCAGAGGTGAAGATCTTCCTCCAGGGTGTCTTCAGATGCTGCAAAGTACATGAACAGATTCCTCACAGAGCGTTCCTCACAGCACCTTCCCTACAGACACACAACATTGCACCTGGAATTTCCTACAGGCACATATACAGCACCTTTCCTATATTTCTTTTTTTTTAAATGTATTTGTCTATAAATTGATAAATGTCATTTCAGTAAAAAAAAAAATACAAAGTTATTTTATTTTTTACCAAAAAGAATTTCACCTACATAGATCATGTTAAAGAAACTTATTTTAACTATAATTTCTATTTTGACAATGGTTTTAGAAAGAATACCTAATTTTACAAATTAAACATAATATATATACCGTATTCAACGTAATAAGCGCCCCGCTCTAATAAGCACCCACGGCGATATTTGCTAATATATTGGCTAGTGCACGATCCTAGTTAGGACCCCTTCCGATTGATCAATGTACACAAGACTTATTTATTCGTGTATAATGCGCACTTGTGTGTTATATACACCCTCAATTATGGGCAATTAAATTCTGGAAAAATATATCTGTCGTATGTAAACATTTCAGGCTGTCAGCATAAACCACGAAATTTACGATTTTTCAACTCTGTTTTTTTTAACCAAAATAATATTCTAATAAGAGCCCCCTATTTCTAATTTTGAGAGCGCCCTTGGCGCTTATTACGTCGAATACGGTATATATATATATACTAAAGAAAAAAAGTAACTAAGTTTCATATAAAGTGGACGGCACACAATGATTGTTTAGCTACCAGGTGATCATAGAAACACTTTAGTTTAACTGTAAATAACGCTTACGCAATGCCACAGATTGGTGAAAATCAACGTCCAAGCACTGCAAACAGGACTGGCACAAAACAAAGTGCAATACATTTGAATCATTCACATGTGATGTCAGGTCAACAGAACAACCGTATTCAGTTGGTGCATCAATGGAATTGATACCAAACTGCCACATCAACAGTTGGGATAATTCCTGGGTTAAGACTAATGAGTGGCAGAATCGTATGCAACTAATTGAGGAAGCACAACATCTGACCCCAACTTTTGAAACAACATCTCCTTGGATGTTGTAAATCATCTGGGGACCCGTGGAGATTCCGGGGTAGAATAGGTCTTCAGCAACCCATGCTTGCCGTATAAGGCGACTATGCTTGTCGTAAAAGGCGACTAACGGTATCGGGTGGTCAGGCTCGCTTACTTGGTTGATGCATGTCATCGATCCCAATTGCAGCGTTAAACAACAAACAAACAAACAAACAAAAATAAATCATCTGGTGCCTTCAATGCACCACAGCTGCCTCACCTGTATCAACTAAATGGTGGATACACCACCCTCTTTTAGGGCATATCACCCTGTCTCCTATTAACAGGTATGAGTTTTGTCAGTGAATTTGTTATGACTTCTGTGGGTATATATCATAAGGATTGATAGGGTTTAAATGTATCTGGCACCTACCGTTTTCTTGCCCACAGAGCTTTCAATGTACTCCCTCTCTTCTCTGGTTATTCGAGGGTGGTCAGCAGGAGTTTCATGCACCAAGAGCATCCACATGATGAACCACACACAGCCCATCACCCCTGAAGTGTGATAACAACACTTAGAAAGACACACAGAGACACACACAGGCACATGACACACACAGGCACACAGAGACACACACAGGCACATGACACACACAGGCACACAGAGGCACATGACACACAGTCACACAGAGACACACACAGGCACATGACACACAGGCACACAGAGACACACACAGGCACATGACACACACAGGCACATAGAGACACACACAGGCACATGACACACACAGGCACACAGAGACACACACAGCCCATCACCCCTGAAGTGTGATAACAACACTTAGAAAGACACACAGAGACACACACAGGCACACAGAGACACACACAGGCACATGACACACAGAGACACACACAGGCACATGACACACACAGGCACACAGAGACACACACAGGCACATGACACACACAGGCACACAGAGACACACACAGGCACATGACACACAAACAAGATCGGGTTGTCAGGCTTGCTGACTTGGTTGATGCATGTCATCGTATCCCAATTGTGTAGATCGATGCTCATGATGTCGATCACTGTATTGTCTTGTTCAGATTTGATTATTTACACGCAATCATCCAGTAGTTTTGGCTCTTAGATATCATCAGTATACATGGCAAACACCCAGTATAAGGGTGACATGTATTGTGTCCAATTCACCAAACTTCTTGAGAATTCTATTGACAAATAACTGACAACACGTAATTTGAAAGTTCATGAGAACATAAATTTACACCAAATTTGTAACTATTAATGTAAGGCATATTAAGGAAGTCATTGAAATATATATAATATATACCACATACCATTTAATATAGCCATTCAACCATGACATCCCAAATACCTGCTGAAGGCAAACCTTACTGTGGCAATTGTTACAGCAACCCTAGATGGAAGTCAGCAAAAACCCATCGAGTTGAAGACCCAAACAACGACAACAACAATGATAATAGTAATAATAATAATAATAACAACAACAATAGATTTTTAGTCTGTGTGTTGTTCAATAAGACAAGGGATAGCACAAATTCAGTTGTTCAACAAATATTCAACCTACCAAAGGCATAGAAGACAGACGGCCAGCCTCCAAGAAATGTTGACGCACACAGCAAGCCAGAGATTGGCATGGAAAACACCACACCCAACTGTGCCCCTGTCAAACAATCACACACAAAGAGGATGAGTGAATGTTGTTTTAGGCCAGTGTTCCCAACAGCAGCTACATCCAGCGACCAGCAAACAATATTGTCTTGGCCTGGCCAGCCAGAGGTTGTCAGCACAGGCAGTGATCCATGCCGCTAGGTACAATGCCACACAATTAGCAAGGACACCTTTGCAATCTAGTTCTCATTTCTGGTCACTGGTGAGTCCCCAATGTACTTAAACATCTAGGGGCGCTCGGGTCGCCTAGTAGTTAAAGCGTTCGCTCGTCACGCCAAAGACCCAGGTTCGATTCCTGACATGGGTACAATGAGTTAAGTCCATTTCTGGTGTTTCACGCCATGATATTGTGGTGTTATCATTAAAAGCGGCGTAAAACCATACTCACTCACTCACTCACTCACTCACTCACTCAAGCATCTCTTTCATTATTTTTGGAAAGAATAATTAGATTTAATTTTTTTATTTGCAGTTGTTTGATCATTGAAAGAAAGACAGCTTAGTGTATTGTTTGTGTAACACTCTATCATGTCTAGCAAATTCTGAATTAAATTATTCTCTATTAGAACATTTACATAAATGAAGGTCATAACTGATCAATGAGAGATATAATCCATGCCTTAACAGAGGACAAGTTATATCCTGCAAGATTATATAGTAAATATTACAGTCATTACATAAAGATTGCTTCAATGAAGACTATTCAACTCCTGAACATATTCTTTAGTATACAATATAGCTTGACAGTTGATATACTGACTTATCTTCTCAAGTGAAGTGTCGAGTGAACGCTATAACCAATAGGCTACCCTGCCTAGCTTCATTAGTATTTGTTTGTTTGTTTTTTGTTTAACACCACCCTCAGCAGTATTCCAGCTATATGACAGCAGTCTTTAAATAATCGAGTCTGGACCAGACAGACCAGTGATTGACAATCATGAGCATCGATCTACGCAATTGGAATACAATGACACGAATCAACCAAGTCAGCAAGCCTGACCACCCCTCCCTTTAGTCGCCTCTTACGACAAGCGTAGTCACCTTATATGGCAAGCATGGGTTGCTGAAGACCTATCCTAACCAAGATCGTCATGGGTTAGCTTCATCAGTAAAGATGATAAGGCAAACAACACATTTCAGTATAATAATCTATCATGCAACATGTCTGACAAGGGTTCCAATACCAGCATAGGAAAATCCTGCAAGCTTGCTCCTCTCCAAGATGGGTGCCCAGTTCCCCCACATGGCGTGCATAGATGGGAAGGTCACCCCCTGCAACAGGACACCATGAAGACAGAGGTGGGGAAATGGGCAATAACATTATGTTCACAATTCTTACTCTTCTGTAGTAAGATGAGTGTGTGTGTGTGCATGTGTAGTAATAGACACAGTATACTGACTCTGAGCTGACCAGTTCTTGTTTTTATCCCCGTAATGTAGAGTGCCCGGCTGGGTAACAAGAAGTACCATCTTTTAAAGTATGAAGCGGACAGGGATCAAACCACCGACCTTGCTCTCTCTGGACAGACGCTCTATCAACTAGACCGTGGAGGTGTTCAGTGAGGACAGAAGGGCAATAGTCAAGCAGACCTTGTGTTCTCAGTTGACAGTGATTAACAGAAAGAGATTAATAACAGAAACCTAACATCTAATAGCCAGGTTGGTTAGTGATGACAGATCTCTCCAGTATCTCTTACTTAGTCCTTGATGATCAGCTGCACTCCCCTATCTACTTGTCATGAACTCACCTCCCCTATCCCCTTGTCATGAACTCACATCTCCTATCCCCTTGTCATGAACTCACCTCCCCTATCCCCTTGTCATGAACTCACCTCTCCTATCCCCTTGTCATGAACTCACCTCTCCTATCCCCTTGTCATAAACTCACATCTCCTATCCCCTTGTCATGAACTCACCTCACCTATCTACTTGTCATGAACTCACATCTCCTATCCCCTTGTCATGAACTCACCTCCCCTATCCCCCTGTCATGAACTCACCTCTCTTATCCCCTTGTCATCAACTCACCTCTCCTATCCCCTTGTCATTAACTCACCTCTCCTATCCCCTTGTCATGAACTCACCTCCCCTATCCACTAGCCATGAACTCACCTCCCCTATCCCCTTGTCATGAATTCCCCTCCCCTATCCCCTTGTCATGAATTCCCCTCTCCCATCCCCTTGTCATCAACTCATCTCCCCTATCCCCTTGTCATCAACTCACCTCTCCTATCCCCTTGTCATGAACTCACCTCCCCTATCCCCTTGTCATCAACTCACCTCTATCCCCTTGTCATGAACTCACCTCCCCTATCCCCTTGTCATGAATTCACCTCTCCCATCCCCTTGTCATGAACTCACCTCCCCTATCCCCTTGTCATGAACTCACCTCCCCTATCCCCTTGTCATGAATTCACCTCCCCTATCCCCTTGTCATGAATTCCCCTCTCCCATCCCCTTGTCATGAATTCACCTCTCCTATCCCCTTGTCATCAACTCCCCTCCCCTATCCCCTTGACATGAATTCACCTCTCCTATCCCCTTGTCATGAATTCACCTCTCCCATCCCCTTGTCATCAACTCCCCTCCCCTATCCCCTTGTCATGAATTCACCTCTCCTATCCCCTTGTCATGAATTCACCTCTCCTATCCCCTTGTCATCAACTCCCCTCCCCTATCCCCTTGTCATGAATTCACCTCTCCTATCCCCTTGTCATGAATTCACCTCTCCCATCCCCTTGTCATGAACTCACATCTCCTATCCCCTTGTCATCAACTCCCCTCTCCTATCCCCTTGTCATGAATTCACATCTCCTATCCCCTTGTCATCAACTCCCCTCTCCTATCCCCTTGTCATCAACTCCCCTCTCCTATCCCCTTGTCATGAACTCACCTCTCCCATCCCCTTGTCATGAACTCACCTCTCCCATCCCCTTGTCATAAACTCACCTCTCCTATCCCCTTGTCATCAACTCACCTCTCCTATCCCCTTGTCATCAACTCACCTCTCCCATCCCCTTGTCATGAACTCACCTCTCCTATCCCCTTGTCATGAACTCACCTCTCCCATCCCCTTGTCATGAACTCACCTCTCCCATCCCCTTGTCATGAACTCACCTCTCCTATCCCCTTGTCATGAACTCACCTCTCCTATCCCCTTGTCATGAACTCACCTCTCCTATCCCCTTGACATGAACTCCCCTCCCCTATCCCCTTGTCATCAACTCACCTCTCCTATCCCCTTGTCATGTGCTCACCTTTCCTATCCCCTTGTCATGAACTCACCACTCCTAACCCCTTGGCATGAACTCACCTCTCCTATCCACTTGTCATGAACTCCCCTCCCCTATCCCCTTGTCATGAACTCAACTCTCCAACCCCTTGTCATGAACTCACCTCCCCTATCCCCTTGTCATGAACTCACCTCTCCTATCCCCTCCAGGACTCGCACAGCTATGAAGACAGGCAGCCCCCCAAGTCTTGCCGCCACTGGTGTCAGAAGGGTAAGTATGGAGGTACAAAGGATTCCGAAGCCATACAACTTCTTGGCACCAAACCTCTCAGCTAGATAACCGCCTGGCACCTGCATTGAATCATAAAGACTTTGCCATATTTATGGGACACCTCAAATGACATCGATTTTCTTAATGTATTTTATGCAATATGGTTGTGATAACAACACAGGCCATTTCATGACAGAAACATTACAAGAAAACCACACATGCATGTTAGTCTGATCTGAAGCCACATTTAAAAAATGTGTTTCAAATTCTGTCATTAGAAAGAAAGAGTCAATTTTGTTTAACGCCATGATCAGTTGTATCACCAGACACATATTTCTCACCTGTGTGGTGATGTATAGACACACTTTCTCACCTGTGTGGTGATGTATAGACACATATTTCTCACCTGTGTGGTGATGTACAGACACATATTTCTCACCTGTGTGGTGATGTATAGACAAATCTCACCTGTCTGGTGATGTATAGACACATATTTCTCACCTGTGTGGTGTTGTATAAACACATATTTCTCACCTGTGTGGTGATGTAGAGACAAATCTCACCTGTCTGGTGATGTATAGACACATATTTCTCACCTGTGTGGTGATGTATAGACACACATATCTCACCTGTGTGGTGATGTATAGACAAATCTCACCTGTCTGGTGATGTATAGACACATATTTCTCACCTGTGTGGTGTTGTATAGACACATCTCACCTGTGTGGTGATGTATAGACACATATTTCTCACCTGTGTGGTGATGTATAGACACATATTTCTCACCTATGTGGTGATGTATAGACACATATTTTTCACCTATGTGGTGATGTATAGACACATCTTACCTGTGTGGTGATGTAGAGACATATTTCTCACCTGTGTGGTGATGTATAGACACAAATATCTCACCTGTGTGGTGACGTATAGACACATCTCACCTGTGTGGTGATGTAGAGACACATATTTCTCACCTGTGTGGTGATGTATAGACACATCTCACCTGTGTGGTGTTGTATAAACACATATTTCTCACCTGTGTGGTGATGTATAGACACACATATCTCACATGTGTGGTGATGTAGAGACACATCTAACCTGTGTGGTGTTGTATAGACATATTTCTCACCTGTGTGGTGATGTAGAGACACATATTTCTCACCTGTGTGGTGATGTATAGACACATATTTCTCACCTGTGTGGTGATGTATAGACATATTTCTCACCTGTGTGGTGATGTATAGACACATATTTCTCACCTGTGTGGTGATGTATAGACACATCTCACCTGTGTGGTGTTGTATAGACATATTTCTCACCTGTGTGGTGATGTAGAGACACATATTTCTCACCTGTTTGGTGATGTATAGACACATCTCACCTGTGTGGTGTTGTATAGACATATTTCTCACCTGTGTGGTGATGTATAGACACACATATCTCACCTGTGTAGTGATGTACAGACACATCTCACCTGTGTGGTGATGTAGAGACATATATCTCACCTGTGTGGTGATGTATAGACACATATTTCTCGTCTTTGTGGTGATGTAGAGACATATATCTCACCTGTGTGGTGATGTATAGACACATCTCACCTGTGTGGTGATGTATAGACACATATTTCTCACCTGTGTGGTGTTGTATAAACACATATTTCTCACCTGTGTGGTGATGTATAGACAAATCTCACCTGTCTGGTGATGTATAGACACATATTTCTCACCTGTGTGGTGTTGTATAGACACATATTTCTCACCTGTGTGGTGTTGTATAAACACATCTCACCTGTGTGGTGATGTAGAGACATATATCTCACCTGTGTGGTGATGTATAGACACATATTTCTCGTCTTTGTGGTGATGTAGAGACATATATCTCACCTGTGTGGTGATGTATAGACACATCTCACCTGTGTGGTGATGTATAGACACATATTTCTCACCTGTGTGGTGTTGTATAAACACATATTTCTCACCTGTGTGGTGATGTATAGACAAATCTCACCTGTCTGGTGATGTATAGACACATATTTCTCACCTGTGTGGTGTTGTATAGACACATATTTCTCACCTGTGTGGTGTTGTATAAACACATCTCACCTGTGTGGTGATGTATAAACACATATATCTCACCTGTGTGGTGATGTATAGACACATATTTCTCACCTGTGTGGTGATGTATAGACACATATTTCTCACCTATGTGGTGATGTATAGACACATCTCACCTGTGTGGTGATGTATAGACACATATTTCTCACCTATGTGGTGATGTATAGACACATCTCACCTGTGTGGTGATGTATAGACACATATTTCTCACCTATGTGGTGATGTATAGACACATCTCACCTGTGTGGTGATGTAGAGACACAAATATCTCACCTGTGTGGTGATGTATAGACACATCTCACCTGTGTGGTGTTGTATAGACATATTTCTCACCTGTGTGGTGATGTAGAGACACATATTTCTCACCTGTGTGGTGATGTATAGACACATCTCACCTGTGTGGTGTTGTATAGACATATTTCCCCCCTTTGTGGTGATGTATAGACACACATATCTCACCTGTGTAGTGATGTACAGACACATCTCACCTGTGTGGTGATGTAGAGACACATATTTCTCACCTGTCGTGTGATGTATAGACACATATTTCTCACCTGTGTGGTGATGTATAGACACATCTCACCTGTGTGGTGTTGTATAGACACATATTTTTCACCTGTGTGGTGATGTATAGACACATCTCACCTGTGTGGTGATGTAGAGACACATATTTCTCACCTGTGTGGTGATGTATAGACACATATCTCACCTGTGTTTTGATGTAGAGACACATATCTCACCTGTATGGTGATGTAGAGACACATATTTCTCACCTGTGTGGTGATGTATAGACACATCTCACCTGTGTGGTGTTGTATAGACATATTTCTCACCTGTGTGGTGATGTAGAGACACACATATCTCACCTGTGTGGTGATGTATAGACACATCTCACCTGTGTGGTGATGTAGAGACATATATCTCACCTGTGTGGTGATGTATAGACACATCTCACCTGTGTGGTGATGTAGAGACACATATTTCTCACCTGTGTGGTGATGTATAAACACACATATCTCACCTGTGTGGTGATGTAGAGACACACATATCTCACCTGTGTGGTGATGTATAGACACATATTTCTCACCTGTGTGGTGATGTGGAGACATATATCTCACCTGTGTGGTCATGTATAGACACACATATCTCACCTGTGTGGCGATGTAGAGACACATATCTCACCTGTGTGGTGATGTATAGACACATATCTCACCTGTGTGATGATGTAGAGACATATTTCTCACCTGTGTGGTGATGTAGAGACATATTTCTCACCTGTGTGGTGTTGTATAAACACATATTTCTCACCTGTGTGGTGATGTATAGACACATCTCACCTGTGTGGTGTTGTATAGACATATTTCTCACCTGTGTGGTGTTGTATAGACACATATTTCTCACCTGTGTGGTGTTGTATAAACACATCTCACCTGTGTGGTGATGTAGAGACATATATCTCACCTGTGTGGTGATGTATAGACACATATTTCTCGTCTTTGTGGTGATGTAGAGACATATATCTCACCTGTGTGGTGATGTATAGACACATCTCACCTGTGTGGTGATGTATAGACACATATTTCTCACCTGTGTGGTGTTGTATAAACACATATTTCTCACCTGTGTGGTGATGTATAGACAAATCTCACCTGTCTGGTGATGTATAGACACATATTTCTCACCTGTGTGGTGTTGTATAGACACATATTTCTCACCTGTGTGGTGTTGTATAAACACATCTCACCTGTGTGGTGATGTATAAACACACATATCTCACCTGTGTGGTGATGTATAGACACATATTTCTCACCTGTGTGGTGATGTATAGACACATATTTCTCACCTGTGTGGTGTTGTATAAACACATATTTCTCACCTATGTGGTGATGTATAGACACATCTCACCTGTGTGGTGATGTATAGACACATATTTCTCACCTATGTGGTGATGTATAGACACATCTCACCTGTGTGGTGATGTAGAGACACAAATATCTCACCTGTGTGGTGATGTATAGACACATCTCACCTGTGTGGTGTTGTATAGACATATTTCTCACCTGTGTGGTGATGTAGAGACACATATTTCTCACCTGTGTGGTGATGTATAGACACATCTCACCTGTGTGGTGTTGTATAGACATATTTCCCCCCTTTGTGGTGATGTATAGACACACATATCTCACCTGTGTAGTGATGTACAGACACATCTCACCTGTGTGGTGATGTAGAGACACATATTTCTCACCTGTCGTGTGATGTATAGACACATATTTCTCACCTGTGTGGTGATGTATAGACACATCTCACCTGTGTGGTGTTGTATAGACACATATTTTTCACCTGTGTGGTGATGTATAGACACATCTCACCTGTGTGGTGATGTAGAGACACATATTTCTCACCTGTGTGGTGATGTATAGACACATATCTCACCTGTGTTTTGATGTAGAGACACATATCTCACCTGTATGGTGATGTAGAGACACATATTTCTCACCTGTGTGGTGATGTATAGACACATCTCACCTGTGTGGTGTTGTATAGACATATTTCTCACCTGTGTGGTGATGTATAGACACATCTCACCTGTGTGGTGTTGTATAGACATATTTCTCACCTGTGTGGTGATGTAGAGACACACATATCTCACCTGTGTGGTGATGTATAGACACATCTCACCTGTGTGGTGATGTAGAGACATATATCTCACCTGTGTGGTGATGTATAGACACATCTCACCTGTGTGGTGATGTAGAGACACATATTTCTCACCTGTGTGGTGATGTAGAGACACACATATCTCACCTGTGTGGTGATGTATAGACACATATTTCTCACCTGTGTGGTGATGTGGAGACATATATCTCACCTGTGTGGTCATGTATAGACACACATATCTCACCTGTGTGGCGATGTAGAGACACATATCTCACCTGTGTGGTGATGTAGAGACACATATCTCACCTGTGTGGTGATGTAGAGACACAAATATCTCACCTGTGTGGTGATGTATAGACACATCTCACCTGTGTGGTGTTGTATAGACATATTTCTCACCTGTGTGGTGATGTAGAGACACATATTTCTCACCTGTGTGGTGATGTATAGACACATCTCACCTGTGTGGTGTTGTATAGACATATTTCCCCCCTTTGTGGTGATGTATAGACACACATATCTCACCTGTGTAGTGATGTACAGACACATCTCACCTGTGTGGTGATGTAGAGACACATATTTCTCACCTGTCGTGTGATGTATAGACACATATTTCTCACCTGTGTGGTGATGTATAGACACATCTCACCTGTGTGGTGTTGTATAGACACATATTTTTCACCTGTGTGGTGATGTATAGACACATCTCACCTGTGTGGTGATGTAGAGACACATATTTCTCACCTGTGTGGTGATGTATAGACACATATCTCACCTGTGTTTTGATGTAGAGACACATATCTCACCTGTATGGTGATGTAGAGACACATATTTCTCACCTGTGTGGTGATGTATAGACACATCTCACCTGTGTGGTGTTGTATAGACATATTTCTCACCTGTGTGGTGATGTATAGACACATCTCACCTGTGTGGTGTTGTATAGACATATTTCTCACCTGTGTGGTGATGTAGAGACACACATATCTCACCTGTGTGGTGATGTATAGACACATCTCACCTGTGTGGTGATGTAGAGACATATATCTCACCTGTGTGGTGATGTATAGACACATCTCACCTGTGTGGTGATGTAGAGACACATATTTCTCACCTGTGTGGTGATGTATAAACACACATATCTCACCTGTGTGGTGATGTAGAGACACACATATCTCACCTGTGTGGTGATGTATAGACACATATTTCTCACCTGTGTGGTGATGTGGAGACATATATCTCACCTGTGTGGTCATGTATAGACACACATATCTCACCTGTGTGGCGATGTAGAGACACATATCTCACCTGTGTGGTGATGTATAGACACATATCTCACCTGTGTGATGATGTAGAGACATATATCTCACCTGTGTGGTGATGTATAGACACATATTTCTCGTATTTGTGGTGATGTAGAGACATATATCTCACCTGTGTGGTGATGTATAGACACATCTCACCTGTGTGGTGATGTATAGACACATATTTCTCACCTGTGTGGTGTTGTATAAACACATATTTCTCACCTGTGTGGTGATGTATAGACAAATCTCACCTGTCTGGTGATGTATAGACACATATTTCTCACCTGTGTGGTGTTGTATAGACACATATTTCTCACCTGTGTGGTGTTGTATAAACACATCTCACCTGTGTGGTGATGTAGAGACATATATCTCACCTGTGTGGTGATGTATAGACACATATTTCTCGTCTTTGTGGTGATGTAGAGACATATATCTCACCTGTGTGGTGATGTATAGACACATCTCACCTGTGTGGTGATGTATAGACACATATTTCTCACCTGTGTGGTGTTGTATAAACACATATTTCTCACCTGTGTGGTGATGTATAGACAAATCTCACCTGTCTGGTGATGTATAGACACATATTTCTCACCTGTGTGGTGTTGTATAGACACATATTTCTCACCTGTGTGGTGTTGTATAAACACATCTCACCTGTGTGGTGATGTATAAACACACATATCTCACCTGTGTGGTGATGTATAGACACATATTTCTCACCTGTGTGGTGATGTATAGACACATATTTCTCACCTATGTGGTGATGTATAGACACATCTCACCTGTGTGGTGATGTATAGACACATATTTCTCACCTATGTGGTGATGTATAGACACATCTCACCTGTGTGGTGATGTATAGACACATATTTCTCACCTATGTGGTGATGTATAGACACATCTCACCTGTGTGGTGATGTAGAGACACAAATATCTCACCTGTGTGGTGATGTATAGACACATCTCACCTGTGTGGTGTTGTATAGACATATTTCTCACCTGTGTGGTGATGTAGAGACACATATTTCTCACCTGTGTGGTGATGTATAGACACATCTCACCTGTGTGGTGTTGTATAGACATATTTCCCCCCTTTGTGGTGATGTATAGACACACATATCTCACCTGTGTAGTGATGTACAGACACATCTCACCTGTGTGGTGATGTAGAGACACATATTTCTCACCTGTCGTGTGATGTATAGACACATATTTCTCACCTGTGTGGTGATGTATAGACACATCTCACCTGTGTGGTGTTGTATAGACACATATTTTTCACCTGTGTGGTGATGTATAGACACATCTCACCTGTGTGGTGATGTAGAGACACATATTTCTCACCTGTGTGGTGATGTATAGACACATATCTCACCTGTGTTTTGATGTAGAGACACATATCTCACCTGTATGGTGATGTAGAGACACATATTTCTCACCTGTGTGGTGATGTATAGACACATCTCACCTGTGTGGTGTTGTATAGACATATTTCTCACCTGTGTGGTGATGTAGAGACACACATATCTCACCTGTGTGGTGATGTATAGACACATCTCACCTGTGTGGTGATGTAGAGACATATATCTCACCTGTGTGGTGATGTATAGACACATCTCACCTGTGTGGTGATGTAGAGACACATATTTCTCACCTGTGTGGTGATGTATAAACACACATATCTCACCTGTGTGGTGATGTAGAGACACACATATCTCACCTGTGTGGTGATGTATAGACACATATTTCTCACCTGTGTGGTGATGTGGAGACATATATCTCACCTGTGTGGTCATGTATAGACACACATATCTCACCTGTGTGGCGATGTAGAGACACATATCTCACCTGTGTAGTGATGTATAGACACATCTCACCTGTGTGGTGTTGTATAGACATATTTCTCACCTGTGTGGTGATGTAGAGACACACATATCTCACCTGTGTGGTGATGTATAGACACATCTCACCTGTGTGGTGATGTAGAGACATATATCTCACCTGTGTGGTGATGTATAGACACATCTCACCTGTGTGGTGATGTAGAGACACATATTTCTCACCTGTGTGGTGATGTATAAACACACATATCTCACCTGTGTGGTGATGTAGAGACACACATATCTCACCTGTGTGGTGATGTATAGACACATATTTCTCACCTGTGTGGTGATGTGGAGACATATATCTCACCTGTGTGGTCATGTATAGACACACATATCTCACCTGTGTGGCGATGTAGAGACACATATCTCACCTGTGTGGTGATGTATAGACACATATCTCACCTGTGTGATGATGTAGAGACATATTTCTCACCTGTGTGGTGATGTAGAGACATATTTCTCACCTGTGTGGTGATGTAGAGACACATATTTCTCACCTGTGTGGTGATGTATAGATACATTTCTCACCTGTGTGGTGATGTAGAGACATATTTCTCACCTGTGTGGTGATACAGAGACACATATTTCTCACCTGTGTGGTGATGTATAGATACATTTCTCACCTGTGTGGTGATGTAGAGACATATTTCTCACCTGTGTGGTGATGTAGAGACACATATTTCTCACCTGTGTGGTGATGTATAGTTACATTTTCCCCCTTTGTGGTGTTGTATAGACACACATATCTCACCTGTGTGGTGATGTAGAGACATATTTCTCACCTGTGTGGTGATGTAGCCATAAAAGAAAGAGCCCAGGATCAGTCCTTGAGTCTGCTCATCCCAGTCAAACTCTCCTGTCTGAAACAGACAGCATGTCTCTTGCAGGGACCTGGAAACCTGTTTGTGCCCTGGACTTGTGCTATTGCAACTGCAAAATGTGCTATTTGAAATAGTGCAAATCTGACATTTTCAAATTTGCCAACAGGACATTTTTTAAAAAGTATTAGCAGTGTCCAGCACAGAGTGTGAAGGGGATTTTCAAAACAAAACCTCATTAAGACGCGACTGAGATGGCATTTTTTACTGAAGACAAAAACATTGTGTTACTCAGCAGTAATATTGATATCGGTGTTAGAACCTACACGAAAACGTCGCTCTTAATTGTAATAAAGAAGTTGTTCATCCATAAATTCTTATCCTTACTTAGTACTCCAACTTCTAAATGCCTATCAAAGAAGAAAATATTGAAGCTGTGTGGGTGTTGCCAGTAAGTGATTCAAACCAGTGGGTCATAGAAGGAGCTGTGTTTCAACTCTCGGGTATTATGACACGCAAGAAGCCAGGTTACACCTTCCAACAATCTCACACTTGGACCTTATCACAAGAATAGGTTACTGCTGATATATTTGGTGACCTAGACTCCCTATGTGGTACTTAATATCCCGTGAGCCTGAAGTTCAGAAAAAATAGTGAAGTAATGGAATATTTATTCTCAACCAGCCCAGTCCTGTGGGGATTCCAGGTTAAAATAGTTCCCCAACAACCTATGGTGGTCTAAAGAGGTGATAAAATAGATCTGGTGGTCAGGTTCAATATATATTATTATCTCACTCACAGTGTGAACAGTGGTATTGCTGAAGCCTCCAGGAGCGTGACATTCCGTGCTGTCGTTGACATCGCTTTTAGCCTGAGTACTGTTCACCATAGCAACCAGCGCCACACTCAGGTTGACACGGAGACAATAGACAACAAAGAATCCCAGGAAGGCCCAGAGAGCCAGAACATGTCGTGCTTGGATGAACTGGCATGGTACTAGAAACAAAAAAATAAAAGCATGCTTCTAAAATGTTTAAGAAATGGCTAACTCAAATTGCGGCATCACCTCGATAGGGTTAAGAGGGTTCAGGGTGTTTGACTTACTGAGTAATTTCAACGATCGGGACAGTGCCAAGTTGCCTGTTTCTGCCTCAGATTCTTAATCACAATACAGCTTGTTTGTGTCTTCTCATGTGTTTGATTACCATGTCCACAACTTATGTCAGCTTTTGTCTTATCAGTAACAACTTTGAAGATGAGACCTGTGAAGATTCCGGGGTAGAATAGGTCTTCAGCAACCCATGCTTGCCGTAAAAGGTGACTATGCTTGTGGTAAAAGGCGACTAACGGGATCGGGTGGTCAGGCTCGCTGACTTGGTTGGTTCAAAACTGTTGAGATAACAGTGAGATAAGATTAAATGACCTTTCCTTTCTAGCACAATGGGACCGCCTCCGTGGTCTAGTGGTAGAACATCTGCCCAGTGAGCAAAAGGTCAGGGGTTCAATCCCTGGACGCTTCGTACCAAAGATGTTAAGGGGTTAAAACAAGGACTGTTTGACTCACAGTCAGTATACTGGTATGGTATCTCAGTGGGCTAGCACCATAAACTCGGCATTAGTCCGGACTAGTACAAGCAGCCCCCACCACACACACACACACACACACACACACACCACACACCCACACCCATCCACACACACACACCCCATCCACACACACCCCATCCACACACACCCTATCCACACACACACCCCATCCACACACACACACACACACACCCCCCATCCACACACACACCATCCACCCACTCACACACACACCCCATCCACCCACACACACCCCATCCACACCCCCCATCCACACACTCACACACCCCCCCCATCCATCCACACACACCCCCCATCCACACACACCCCATCCACACACCCCCCTCCCATGCACACACTCACCCCATCCACACCCATCCACACTCACACACACACCCCATCCACACACACACACACACCATCCACACACACACACACACCCCATCCACACACACACCCCCCATCCACACACCCCATCCACACACTCACACACACACCCCATCCATCCACACACACACCCCATCCACACACACCCCATCCACACCCCCCCCTCCCATGCACACACTCACCCCATCCACACCCATCCACACACACACACACACACACACCCCCCCCCCCCCCCCCCCCCAACACACACACACACGTGCATGTCGCTATATCAGTACAATAATCTGGAATGCGACAGTAAACCCATCAAGTTTCTGTGACAACAACACATCTGTACTCTTTACTGTCTATCAAAGTCCGAACATTTCCTACATAGCACACCTATACTGCTCACTGTACATCTCCAGACTGTATCCCAAATAGCAAGTCCACTAATATATATTTATGATTTATCTAAACTATCGATGACCAAGGCAAATGACATAAAAAAATGTGTCATACCCCAATGACATACGCATGCAACTGAAACAACCAGAAACTTTACTTTTTGGCACTGGTGCATGTCAATTGGTGTTTTCATTAACAACAGAACAATATTTCAAAAATATTTATCAAATAGTTCCAGGAACATTTTTTCCACAAAAAGACTTTCCAAAAACATGTTGTTGGGTTATTTATTTTGCTTCACATTGCCATTACATTGCGTATCTCGACACAAAATCTACACACAGGACTTGATTTAAGAAGCATCATTTAACTTGCACCAGGTGTATGTTGATATGAAAACCCAGTTGCACCAGAGTAAACCAGGTTGTAGTGTGGAAAAGTAAGGCTCAGCCAGACACAAGGTCGAATTTTTTTAACATGGTGCATGTAGACATTAATAGTACCTTTATAAATAGTAGGTTTCAGTCTTCAATAATAGGTTGCACTGGTGCAAGTTTTATATTTTAAGTTAAATCGAGCCCTGCTACCATATACTGTTTGTATTTGCTTCTAAATGGGAAAAAACTTAAAAAATTGGTATCTACCTCATCAATTCTTGACAAATTCCAACTAACTCGGTGTATATTTCCTGTTTTAACAAACACTTGTGATAAATGCTCTACATATGTGTACACTGTCACAGAGAATGTGCAAGCTGTTATCTAACCTGACAGGACAATTTTGTGTGCACCATGTACATCATGTACACAAGCACATGCGAGTGACATATTTATCTGCCCCTAAATTCTATCTCATTATTAACGCTTTATGTTTTGTAGAATGCAGTGAAATGACAGAGATATTCTTTTATGGAAATATTTTTAGTACAACAGGATATGCCCCACACCTTACCATTGTTAAACTGTTACCTAACAAGTCCTTACCATTACCAGTGATACGTCACATTTCATTTAATCTATCAGCAAGTGAGTGAGTGAGTATGGTTTTACGCCGAGTATGGTTATTCCAGCAATATCACAGCGGGGGACACCAGAAATGGGCTTCACACATTGTACCCATGTCGGGAATTGAAACCGGGTTTTTGGCGTGATGAGCAAACGCCTTAACCACTAGGCTACCCGACCGCCCCTCTATCAGCAAGTGATCAGTACACTGTTATTATTACATTACACATACACATAGATTAACAAGCTAAAATTGATGAAAACTACTAACAATACCATATATTCTTGAGTATAGTGCACACTTTTTAAAAAAAACCCACAGCTGTGTAGAAAGCGGTGGTGCGCATTACACACAAAATCATGAGTTAATTTTATTCAAAGTTCCTTTTAATATTGTTTTAATTAATTTTGGCGAAATCGTGTGTGAAGTGATCGGAAGATCGCACAACTCACCGTTATTAACAGCAACAAAGGTCAGATTACCGCTATTGACGCCTTGAAACAAACTTTAGTTGACAGAGAATGGATACATGTATCATAAATGCCATACTTTGACTCGTTAAAAGTCATATTTGTTATAGTTTGATGATTCTATGTCAACACGGTGACTGGTCAGACTGGTTCCATGTGAAAAATAATAACCAACAATAGCAATCAGCTGCTTCGCTTAGGGTTATTATTATTTTGAATATGTTTATTAAAAGCTGCAACTAAATTAACAAGATATTGGAATATATTATTCCTGATAAAAAAAATAGTTTCAGATACAATTATTGCCGATTCTTGCATTAAAATCCTGTAAAGTTATATCATTGGGTGTGTCTTGACCTAATCACCGGTAGATTCCAAGAAAACGTGTGTACAGCTGATTGCTGTTTCCGGCTTAGTTTACGAGAAAATACACAAGGTAATCTTAATCCCTAGATGGAAAACAATGCCTAGCAGAACAAAATATACAATTTAAACGGTAAATCAACATGTCTGGTGATTTTTTATCTCAAATTTTGAATTTGTACTGACCAAGTTTCTCATCCTTTACCGGACTTCGCTGAAGAGGTACGGTGTAATTTTTTTCTGTGCTTGATAAGCGAATTATTTTTTTCAAAAATACTGAATCCGCTAAAGGGGGGGGCGCATTATACATGGGTGCGCACTATACTCAAGAAAATACGGTAGTGATAAATGATGACATTGGAGAAAGCCTTGTGTGTGTCACTGTTCTACTATCTAGATGTATTTCTTTTTTACGTCCATTTATTGATGAAAACAATTTCAATTTTGTGATATCACTTAATCATTTTCAGATATCACAAATTCCAAATGTATTTATTGATATAAAAAAAATAAATGAATTATTAATAATTCTCTTCTTGGTACATATCATTTTAAATACGCTATTAGCAATATTGCTGTCTCTCACACATTTAACTTTAAAGTGTTATATGGCAGTGAAATTTACTGTTAAACAATAATTGAAACTGTGTTAGATTGTTTCTGTTGATATTCAGAAGAAGCTCATTGCATTGCATTTGGATGATGATTGGTTGTCAGTGGTTAGGAAGTTATCATATTTAGATGCTTGGATTATCTGTAGCGTAATAGAAACGTGGAATATTCTGTGATGTTCTAGTGACACTTGACTGGTCTAGCACTGTATGGCAAGTGCTGGAAGCTAGTTAGTAGGGCAGGGACGAGTCCAAATTTAATACCCGGGTACCCATCACCCTATTACCCGACCCTACCCGGATACCCGCTTTTGATATCTAGAGATAGGTACAAACTGTCCGATTTGGAAAAGTTTGACCGTAGCCCTGGCAAAATGTTTTTAGATACACATGTAAAGCGATCTGGTCATGCATACGCTGCATGAAGTTTTATCTTAATTCAAATATATAAAAGATAGAAGGAATGCGTGCATAGTCAGAAAGAAATGGAAACATTAGTGACATGTAGTGTAATTATAGAGTTTTAGATAATTTTTGTCATTAAACAATATATCACGTGACTATAACCACGGGTCCGGGTAGTCCTGTGGGTACCCAGGTCATACTTAGGACCCGCTCGACCCGAGTACCCAAGTTACCCATCCCAGCTCTACTAGTTAGACTATTTAAATGGAGCAGGTGCGTGCCTGCCTGTCATCTCACATTTCATCTGATCTTACATCATGACCAGCTTTCGTGTGAAGATCACTTAGCTTCCCGGATTCCCAGCACAGGCCTATCTCGGAAGCTGGTGTGGATGGGTGAATATCATTATCACTGAACTTTTTGCTATTACCACTACCATCATATTTTGTATTTTATACTGCCATTAAATATTGTACTACCACTCTATTGATTACTGACATTGTAATTGATGTGCAGTAATTTGTATTGATTTGTAAACCTAGTAAACTGTGTGATACAATTGTTGATTGAATACCATTCGTTGGTTAATTGTTGGTTTAACACTCAGTTCTTTTACTTACAGATATATATCTGGGTTAACATATAATTTGTGAATTGACAGAGGTTAGGTCTACTATCGCCTGCAGTGCACTTTGCCTACAGCATTATCAGAACAATGTTATGCACCAGTGGCCGTCACTAATGAGCTCCCATTACCTTCAGTATGAATGGCAAAGGCAAAGTGCACTGTAGGCGATAGTAGACTCCACCCCCATCATAAGTGTTGGATAAAGCCAATTGTCGGATTAACGAGTGTCGGATTAACAAGACTTGACTGTATTTCTTTCGGCTTGTGTGTGTATTAGATTTAGGACATTTTGCTGTTTAATAAACATTCTTCTAATATAATGCTCCCAATCTGCACAGTCATGGGATTAGTTAATGTGTTAAAAGTTAATTCAATTTATAGATATCCAAAATTCATCTTATTCTCACAAATGATTTATGCAACGATAATATTCTCAGACAGTACGATATACGATACATACTGGCCTATATCAATTCATAATTTAATCCTGTATCAATTCATATCTTAATCGTGTATCGTTTCATACATGAAACATATAACACAACAGTGGAATGACTTTGTTGGATAAATGGATCCTTTCTACATTCTAATAAATAATTCTATCTCTATTAATTATGCTACATCTACATTATACAATGGACTTAGTTAATGACGTAGATTCTGTTCTAGTCTTTTTCAAACTGGTATTGGCAACTGCAAAAGTTCATGCAAAATTGCTCAAAAGTAAGTATTACAATACATGTCATATCTTGAACTACCGGTATATACCGCGATATGTATCGTAATAGGGGAAAGTTGTATCGTGACATCCCTCTTAAAATATACTTCTGATTTTTAGATATCACAAATCGTAATTTTTGATATTATACAATGCTATAAATTGCATTATATGTTATGTCTCAAAATACATTCATTGATATTATAAATTCATTTATTCATATAATAAAAAATGGAATGTAAGATATCAATATTTTATAATTAAAATAATTATTTTATGATATCATAAAAAACATTTTTTTATCCTGTTTATACATATGTATAGTTCATCTTGTGTTATCAATACATGAATAAGTCTGACACAGAGGTAAATTACACACGTTGAACCAATATGCTGTAAATGGAAAATTGTTATCTTGGTTCAGAATCTATTTAACAGAAAGGAAACAAGGTTCCTGTCAAGGGACATCATCAGATATGCTTATCAGAGCTGGAATGCCACAAAGATAAATATTGACCCATTGTTATCTTTAGTTTATATTAACGACATCTCAGACATGTCAGATAATATTTTTATTATTACTAAACTGTTTGATGATGACACAAGTATAGGAATCTCCTCTGATGATGTACATCTCAGTCTTAATGAAGATCTTACTGCACTTAATGACTGGGCACACAAATGGCCCCTCAAAAAGTGAAGTCAACACCATCAAGAATTTAATCCATACTTTTACTGGACCAATATTAGAACACTTGTCAGAAGTCTGGGATAACTGCACAACCTTTAATGAAACAAGAATCATTACAAGTAGAGGCAGCAAAGATAGAGATTGTACTTACAAAGTTTTCATAACGTGAGAGACTATATTACGAAACAGGCTGTGTACCACTTAAGGAAAGGCGTAGTCTTAAAAAACTACTATTTTGATACAATCAGTCCACAATCAGTGTTCATCATATATGTCTGACTTATTACCTTCCAACATTACCTTCGGTTACTAACATAATTTGCATCATAAAATCAACATAGTTACCGAATTTGACGTAATAAGCGCCCAGGGCGCTCTCAAAATTAGAAATAGGGGGCTCTTATTAGAATATTATTTTGGTGAAAAAAACAGAGTTAAAGGATAAATTTCGTGGTTTAGGCTGACAGCCTGAAATGTTTATATACGACAGATATATTTTTCCAGAATTTAATTGCCCATAATTTAGTGTGCATATTACACACGAATGCGTGTTAGATCTATACGCGAATACATAAGTCTTGTGTACATTGATCAATGGGAAGGGGTGCTAATTGGGATTGTTCACTAGCCAATATATTAGCAAATATCGCTATGGGCGCTTATTAGAGCGGGGCGCTTATTATGTCGAACACGGTATACTATTGGCTCATAAAACCTTTCAGAACTCCTTGATTCCAAGTGCTTGAATGAATGCAGGAATTCTTCTACATTTATAAAAATAATTCTTTTCAAAATTATCATATCAATAATTTTGTTTCATTTAAGGAAACGAACAATTTTATGGATAACAACTTCTGGTTAATTGCATTTTGCAATGTTTCGATGTAGATTCTTACATGTTATCAAGTCGGTGTGACAAGAACCAATTTTTAAGTGATGAGAGGTATATACTTAGACCATACCGTATTCGACGTAATAAGCGCCCCGCTCTAATAAGCACCAACGGCGATATTTGCTAATATATTGGCAAGTGAACAATCCCAATTAGCACCCCTTCCGATTGATCGATGTACATAAGACTTATTTATTCGCGGATAATACTCACTCGTGTGTTATATGCACCCAAATTAGTTATGGGCAATTGAATTCTTGAAAAATATATCTGTTGTATATAGACATTTCAGGCTGTCAGCATAAACCACGACATTTACGATCTTTCAACTCTGTTTTTTTCCACAAAATTAATATTCTAACAAGAGCCCACTTTGTCTAATTTTGAGAGCGCCCTGGGCGCTTATTACGTCGAATACGGTATTATGCATCATTGCAAATTCTTGGTTGTCACTCCAGCTTGATAAAGGTGTAAGAATCTACATCAAAATGTCACTATATGCAACATAAACCAGAAGTTGTTATAATGTTATCCATAAAATTGTACGTTTTCTTACTTACTCACCATCTTCTGGAATACCAATCCAAAAGTTAATAATTCATTATGTGATTATAAATGAATCATTGATATCATAATAAGGAATAAAATCATGTACCTTCCTTATGTCCTCGGCTAACAAGAGGTTGTTTTTCTTCTGTGTGGCTCATTTCTACGCTGTTCCAGTTCCAAGAGGCCACGGCGTCTTTTATTAATATATCGTTGTAATGTTGGCAACTTGGAAGACAGTTGTTTTGACAAGACGTCCGAGTTCCACACAAGTTTGCACTTCATAAAGTTATCAGTTTCGTGTCTACAACCTTGAATGTTTGATAACAACCGAATGATCACACTTCTATGCCGTGGTTTGTTTTACTGTAAAGCTAACAGTGAATGGAGTTGAACTTTGACAGTTCTGTTATCATCGGGATACACGTGACAGGATACAAAACAAAACTCACTTGTAGGATATCACACGAGTAGAAGACAGGAGAAAGCTGGGCTCTGTCTCTATGTCTCAATTTGCGCAAAGAATACGGGAAACCAGATAAGAATTTGGATATCCCCTTAATAGTGTAAGTGTCGAGCAATGTCTTTAGAAGCTCCTAACAGCGACAACGCATTCACCCAGCTCACTGATAAAGGCGGCCGTAGTTCAAACTCCCTCGCAGCGCCGTTTCAAGAATCACGTGCCATTGAATCAATATCAACATTGTGACAGCATAAGGGATGTCGTGTGCTAGCTTTACAGTCTTCTCGGTGTAGTTTGGCTCCTTTTAGAACTGTGAAATCATGGGTTAACTTTTTTTTTAAATCAGTAATTCTTCTCTTAAGCCTGCCACTTGTGCCGCTATGGATTGATCGCATGTGACGCTAATTAACCAGCAACCTGTGTGAATGACAGCTTTGTCCTGAGTGAAACAGTGGACAGTATAGATGTATGTTTGACCTGGCACGGACAATGTGACAAGTGTCTGGCACTGCCCAACTAGAATTAATACCACACTGAAAAAAACATTCCAGACTTGTGAATCGTTACCAGGTGCTTAAATTCCGATAAATAACGACAGTCTGACAGTAGATCTAATTGGTAAATCATTGTATTTGTACGTTAATGAAAACATGTCTCGTACTCTATCACATTCCGAGTCTGAAAATGAAGAATGCCGACCGCTGATCCGCGATGATGGTACAGAATCGAAACAGAGAGAAGATGGTATTTATTTGTTGTAATATTTTACAAGTCTAAGATCATTTGTATTAATTTAAATCATATCTCTTTATCATTGTGTCTAGATCCCTAATTGGAAAATAAATTCTAAACTAAATTAGAATGTATTACCCATACTCAGGGATTTATTTAGAATTCTAAACTAATTGCCCTTGACTTGAAAATTGGGGGGATAATCATAATTTTGTTCAAAATTGGGATTTTTTAAAGTTCCTATTTCCCCAAATTCATATTGAGGTTTTTGAACATTGCAATATGAAACAAAGCATTAAAACCTCTTCCAATTTAATTCCAATTTGGATATTTTTACTGACATTTCCTGCAGACTTGGGATCTAATAGCTGCCTCTGAATAGGTCTAGATAAATCCCTGCATATCAATATTTTTATTATTATAAATGTTTAGTCATCTGACTGTTCAGAAGTCAAGTGAGCTTATCAGTATCAGACAAATTCTTTGGTAAAATTATCAAAATTATGCGCTAAAATATACCAAAAGAGTGTTACTTTTTACTGGGTATTTATGGAGGAAGTACTTTAATATCAACACTGACAGCTTCTTTTGCTCAGTAGCTGTCTATGTTGAATTGTTGACTACATATCCAAGTGAGCTACAGAGTCGATCAGCACTATTTTTCTGAATTGAATAATAATAATAATATTTCTGATGTATCACTGGTAACATAGTGTCAATTTCTTAAGTAAAATAGTACCAATAATTCTCAACCATGAAGTACAATTTTGATGGCCACCATGGCTAATATAACATATCCAGGAAGTGTGAAACAGTGTTCAAAATAGCTGCCTGCCACTGATTTTTAACCTGTTTAAATTTGGCTAGTAACATATCCGTTAAGCTGGCCTGACTGTCTTGTTAATCATTTTAGCCAATACATACTTATTTCTACGAATCATCCAGTCAGTTATGGCATCATTTGATGTGAAAGTCTGTTGTCCATTTTTTGTCTTTTTGAGTTCATCGGAAGTGTTTTGGCTAGTAAAATATGATGAGGGCTTGCAACTGTTTTGTTAACATGCGCTGCTGGCCAGTGAACTTGGGAAATAATTCATACACTATTGTGAAAAGAAGTTGAATATCGAGTTTTGTTTTCTCCATGCTCACAAATAACCATGATTGCATTGTTGGTCAACAGCGTCATGTCAGTGGATTCAGGCGAGACATTTCCTGGCTCTCATGGCCTTCATGGGATTCTTCAACGTCTACTGTCTCCGCGTCAACCTCAGTATGGCAGTGGTTGCCATGGCGAACACATCCTCCAGCACACACAATAATGACTCCACCTCCCAATGCAGACCACTATACAACACATCAAGTCCTTCACAGAACGTAGGTACAGATTTGGTTGGTTTGGTTTGGTCAGCAATATTCCAGCTGTATGACGGCTGTCTGTAAATAATCGAGTCTGGACCAGACAATCCAGTGATTGATATCATGAGCATCGAAGTTGATAAAGTTGTGTGGTCAACGATTCCAGAAAACCAAAGTAAAATACAAAAGTATCACGTCATCGAAACAGGTTTTCTAATGAAAAGGTTTGATTGTATTTAGCGTTACCTTAAACCAAAGGGGGGAGGGGGGGGGGGTAAGCATGTCCGACTTCGATCTCTTGAAGGATTTTTCTCAATATTTCAGCCGTGGTACTTCCAAGAGTAATTATACGGAAATGTCAATGAGGTGAACGAAGATGCAGAGCATGCGTCTCATCTCCATCACCTGTACACGTTTTGTTTGTTTGTTTGTTTGTTGTTTAATGCCGCACTCCGCAATATTCCAGCTGAATGACGGCTGTCTGTAAATAATCAAGTCTGGACCAGACAATCCAGTGAATGATATCATGAGCATCAATCCACGCAATTGGGATTGATGACATGCAACAACCAAGTAAGCGAGCCTGACCACCCGATCCCGTTCGTCGCCTTTTATGACAAGCATAGTCACCTTTTATGGAAAGCATGGGTTGCTGAAGACCTATTCTACCCCGAAATCTTCAAGGGTCAGAGTTGGAGGGTAACATGACTGAAATGCATTTATTTACATGTCTTTCATAAGTGTTTGTTAAACAGTCGATTGTGGTTGTGTATTTCAAGGAAAAGTTATAAGAAAAATGATGCATGTTAAGAAGATGGATTTTATTCCTAATTCTGCACACCAGTCAATGTGAGATTGCCAACTTGTATTGTTCTTTTATTTCATCGCATATGTGTGCCCACTTGTCACGAATACATCTCAATGTCTATTCCACATTTTAACATCGTGACTGTGGCGTAATTATGATAGGTGCACATAACTGTTATATTTGGTACAAGGGAAGTAACTCTTGTCCTATGTTACAAGCCCAGAGAAGTGAAGACACACTGGAACAATCAATGTGTTGTTGGTTAAGTTATGAGTCTTCCTTCGACAAACCAAAACATAAAACATGTTAAAGTATCCATATAAAAAATGATTGCATGAACTTGACAACAGAGACATTCTAGTGTTGGGTTTGTGGCAAAAATATGAAAAAAAATTTTTTTTAATTGTTTCCAGAGTTGTAGAGTAATACAGTATTCCGTCGAGACATATTTCGGATTGCATAGAATTACACAATACACTCTTTAAAATTTAAAGGTTTTGAAACAGACATTGTCACATTTCAAACTAAAAAGTCTGCAACAAACATTCAGACTCAAACATAGCATGTATCAACAGAGAGCTAAGAATAATATGCTGAAAATAAAAGTAACCATTTTTTGTTAAAGTTATTTTTGTCATCCTTTTATATAGAAATATATGTTTATGTATATATTATTTTCGGTTTGATTCCTTAAATTCCAAAAAACATGAATATTTAAATTGGTATTTGTCTTGAAAAGGTCTTGAAAATAACCAAAGTGACTTGAAACGACCTTGAATAACACTTTGATTTGACTAAACATCATTTTTGGGGGTACTTTTCATTTACTAAATACAATTGTGCTTGTGAATGTCCATGAACATATGCAGTAATGCTGCCTGATAACATCCGTCCATCCGTCCATAATCATTTCGTTTCCAGAGTGTAACTCAAAACCCATTCAATATTTTTCAACAAAAATTGGCAGATATACCAAACAGATCCTGAAGTGGTGCCTTTTGCTGTTGATTGATTTTTGGCATTTTTATCTTTCTTATTTCCATGGAAACAATTTGGACTTGGGGAGCTAAAGGTGGGATGGATTTCATGTCCAGAGCACAACTAAAAAAACAATCAATATCTTTCAACGAAACTTGGCAGATATATCAAACAGATCCTGAAGTGGTGCCTTTTGCTGTTTACAAAATACCATGGTATTGTTTTGATAGAACTACTCTTGTATACGGAGAGATTAGTTAGATATTCTCTCAGGTTGGAGTGAGTGAGTGAGTTATGTTTAACGCCGCTTTGAACAGTATTTCAGTTATGTCACGGCGTGTCAGCTCAATGTGGGATGAAAGCCCGAAGTGATGCAGGTCTCAGACGTTTACCACTTCGGTCAAACCCACGAGCACGGGTATGGTGCTGTCAAACCTAGAAACATAATCGGGGCAAACTGGGATTCGAACCAATCATAGGTTTCTGGCATTTCCAAGGGACGCAACTCTGCACAGCTAATTGCGGCGCCTTAGACGACTGGGCCATCATCAAGTTAGACTTTATGTTACAGTCAGATGATTTGTTCTTTTGAATTTGTAGGGGCCGGGGTATTTGTCATCTTCTGATGACTCTTGTTTCATAATGTCTTCCCCACATTCCACCAATGAGTGAGTGAGTGAGTGAGTGAGTTGGGTTTAATGCCGCTTTTAACAGTATTCCAGTTATATCACGGCGTGTCAGCTTAATGTGGGAGGAAAGCCCGAAGTGATGCAGGTCTCAGACGCTTACCAATTCGGTGAAACCCACGTGCACAGGTATGGTGCTGACAAACCTAGAAACATAATCGGGATTCGAACCCACAATCATAGATTTCTGGCGTTGCCAAGGGACGCAACTCTGCACAGCGAATCACGGTGGCTTAGACGACTGGGCCACCGGTACCCCCTCCACCAATGATTTTTCACTATAACACTTGTAAATTATGAAATAGAAAATCTAGCCCCGAAAGCTCAATGTGGATAGCCAATCCAAATAATTGTGTTCAGTTCTCTGAGGTCTCTTTGTAGAGTGGAGAGTTCAACTGGGATGAACAGACACAAGGCCTCATCCTTGGTGCCTTCTTCTACGGTTACGTTACGACGCAGGTGCCGGGTGGATTCCTGGCAGAGAGATATGGCGCCAAGCGTATCTTTGGATTTGGAATTCTGTGCACATCAGTCCTCACACTGTTCACACCGCTAGCAGCTCGATGGCACCTCTACGCTTTCTACACTCTCAGAATCCTGGAGGGCATAGGGGAGGTAATTCAGTCACTTCCTTTTTCACTCATCGACGTTTTCTTCATTCTTGATTTTGAAAGATTTATGTCATTTTGATTTTAATTGGGTTACAAATTCACACCGTCAACATTTAACACATGTGAAATAAACATTTGCTGAATCGTGATCTTCTTCCTCCAAGTTAACAAATTTAATAAAAATTTCTTTGCTTCACCCAACCAACAATAGTTCTAAGGAGATCAATTCTTTTTAAAGTTTTTATTAATTGTTATTTCGACCACCTTTGGAAAACAATCTGTACACAAAGTTAAAAAAACAAAGAAGCTTTGTGCAATCTCTACCCTCCTTTATCAAATGGGGGCACAGGTAGTCCAGTCATGTATGGCGATGGAATTTGCTGTGCAGAGATGCAATTGGAAAACTGTTCAAAGCAAAAGAGTAAAAAACTCACTGGCTCACTAATTAGTGAGGACAGTCAAATCCAGATGTAACAAGGTTAGAAGAAACAAATACTAGTAGTTGCCTTTAAAAGCCACACGGTGACACAAAGAAAAGAACATAGGCCACGCCCACTACCGGACTACTGTTTCTTGATTGGCTGATGATGAATGAGTTGGGATTGTGTTGCATCATTGTGCTGGAAGATGTCACTGCTTCTGTACTGTTGTCTACAGTTATTGAGTGTTATTGATTGAATAAGCCGTCTGTGATGTTTTTATTTTTGACGTATTTATTTATAAGAATTGACTTTTTGCAATTTATCATGTTTATTGAAGTATAAACTTAAAAAACAGTGTTCACATCTTACACAGTGTTCACACCTCTTTTTACCTGTTTACCGCTGTGTGATCTGTTCCAGGGTGTGACGTTTCCTGCTATGCGATTTGTTCCAGGGTGTGAAGTTTCCTGCTATGTGATCTCTTCAAGGGTGTGACGATTCCTGCTATGTGATCTGTTCAAGGGTGTGATGTTTCCTGCTATGTGATCTGTTCCAGGGTGTGATGTTTCCCGCTATGTTCCAGGGTGTGACGTTTCCCGCTATGTGATCTGTTCCAGGGTGTGACATTTCCCGCTATGTGATCTGTTCCAGGGTGTGACGTTTCCCGCTATGTGATCTGTTCCAGGGTGTGACGTTTCCTGCTATGTGATCTGTTCCAGGGTGTGACGTTTCCTGCTATGCGATCTGTTCAAGGGTGTGACGTTTCCTGCTATGTGATCTGTTCCAGGGTGTGACGTTTCCTGCTATCTGATCTGTTCAAGGGTGTGACGTTTCCTGCTATGTGATCTGTTCAAGGGTGTGATGTTTCCTGCTATCTGATCTGTTCCAGGGTGTGACGTTTCCTGCTATGCATGCCATGTGGGGAAATTGGGCCCCTGTCTGGGAGCGGACTAAACTTGCAGGCTTCTCATACTCAGGTGAGTTCATTGCCAGGAACAGATAATATATAGTGCCATTTTGTTTCGTGATATCTGTCAACTGCATCAATCATTCGCTATCACAATGAAATAGACCATTATTGTGCTTAACTGAATAAATGCATGTACACCATCACATTGAACACCATCAAAAGAATATACAATTTTTTAACTAATGCATTTGCTGTGTGAGATGAAGCTGTGCGAGGTCCAACTGAAGAAGAATCTGTTCCCCATAGTTGTGTGGCTAATCCCATCACATAGCGCCCACATGAACACGGAAGTGATGACGTCACAGAGAATCACATAACTGTTTGTCATCGAGACTGACAAGTCCTGTAGAATAAAGTGTCCAGCTTTTACACTGGCATCCTTTTGATTGTTGCTTTATTCAGCATTTATTGTGAATTTTATCATTCTATGGTTTGTGTTTTCCCATATTTTTACTGTCGCATAAATATTTTGCACGTGATGGTGGCTACAAGTCACTGTAAAATCATATGCTTTATTTTTCCAATTAGCCATTTTTATTTGCCACGTGGTCACACTCTCGTGTCTCTTTGTTCTTTTTTAAAGCTTGGTATTTTCTTTCATATTGTCTTATCTAAAGTTTCCCGTTTGGAAAAGTAAGTGTTATTTTACCCTTTAACCTCCGTGTCTCATAATGGGTTCAAAATTGCTGTAATTTCTCTTTGTGCTTTTTGTGACAATGGCTTCTGCTTAATTGCAGATTTATGCTTGCTCGTTGTTCTGAGTACCTGCAGGGCAGCACCATCATTACCTACCTGGTGGCCATTAACTCGGTGTTGGCAATTCTGGAAGATCATAAAAAGACCATGATATCCGGAACTCCAAGCTTTGCTGCACTCCAACAGACTTGAAGATCAGAAGGCCAAGTTCAGACCTCCTGCTTGGTACTGAACATTTTCAGGTTTCTGCGTGGCTCTCCATTTGAGCCTACTCAGCAGCTTCCTTCTTTAACCTCAACATGAAGACATTATTTCCTCACCCAGGTCTGATTTGAGGGGGGCACGGGTGGCCCAGTCGTCTAAGGCGCCGCGATTCGCTGTGCAGAGTTGCGTCCCTTGGGCATGCCAGAAACCTATGATTGTGGGTTCAAATCCCGGTTCGCCCCGATTATGTTTCTAGGTTTGTCAGCACCATACCTGTGCTCGTGGGTTTCACCGAAGTGGTAAACGTCTGAGACCTGCATCACTTCGGGCTTTCCTCCCACATTAAGCTGACACACCTTGATATAACTGGAATACTGTTTAAAGTGGCGTTAAACCCAACTCACTCACTCTGATTTGAGTGTAGGGCGCGTTCACCTTGGGCTGTCCCTGGACTTTAGCCAAGAATCAACTCCTTCATCCCAGGTCCTTCATCCCACCACTCTTCTCTATTGTGGGTGCTGAAGACTTCTCGATTGTGGGTGCTGAAGACTTCCTGATTGTGGGTGCTGAAGACTTCCTGATTGTGGGTGCTGAAGACTTCTCGATTGTGGGTGCTGAAGACTTCTCGATTGTGGGTGCTGAAGACTTCTCTATTGTGGGTGCTGAAGACTTCTCGATTGTGGGTGCTGAAGACTTCTCGATTGTGGGTGCTGAAGACTTCTCGATTGTGGGTGCTGAAGACTTCCTGATTGTGGGTGCTGAAGACTTCCCGATTGTGGGTGCTGAAAACTTCTCGATTGTGGGTGCTGAAGACTTCCCGATTGTGGGTGCTGAAGACTTCTCGATTGTGGGTGCTGAAGACTTCTCGATTGTGGTTGCTGAAGACTTCTCTATTGTGGGTGCTGAAGACTTCTCTATTGTGGGTGCTGAAAACTTCTCGATTGTGGGTGCTGAAGACTTCTCTATTGTGGGTGCTGAAGACTTCCCGATTGTGGGTGCTGAAGACTTCTCAATTGTGGGTGCTGAAGACTTCTCTATTGTGGGTGCTGAAAACTTCTCGATTGTGGGTGCTGAAGACTTCCCGATTATGGGTGCTGAAGACTTCTCTATTGTGGGTGCTGAAGACTTCTCGATTGTGGGTGCTGAAGACTTCTGGATTGTGGGTGCTGAAGACTTCTCGATTGTGGGTGCTGAAGACTTCTCGATTGTGGGTGCTGAAGACTTCCTGATTGTGGGTGCTGAAGACTTCCCGATTGTGGGTGCTGAAGACTTCTCGATTGTGGGTGCTGAAGACTTCCCGATTGTGGGTGCTGAAGACTTCTCGATTGTGGGTGCTGAAGACTTCTCGATTGTGGTTGCTGAAGACTTCTCTATTGTGGGTGCTGAAGACTTCTCTATTGTGGGTGCTGAAAACTTCTCGATTGTGGGTGCTGAAGACTTCTCTATTGTGGGTGCTGAAGACTTCCCGATTGTGGGTGCTGAAGACTTCTCAAAACTTCTCGATTGTGGGTGCTGAAGACTTCCCGATTATGGGTGCTGAAGACTTCTCTATTGTGGGTGCTGAAGACTTCTCGATTGTGGGTGCTGAAGACTTCTCGATTGTGGGTGCTGAAGACTTCTCGATTGTGGGTGCTGAAGACTTCTCGATTGTGGGTGCTGAAGACTTCTCTATTGTGGGTGCTGAAGACTTCTCTATTGTGGGTGCTGAAGATGAGGTGGAACTCCTTCTGTGCCAAGTTGTGCACTGGGGGTTTCATTTGCCGATCTAAGACTCAACGTGGTTCCTGGGAACGGCTTTCCATCCTCGTCTCCAGGACATCCACAGCAGAAGTCAGTCATAACACATTATCCTTGTAGTTACGTGCAGTCATCCAGGCTTATGAGGCCACTGGTCTTGGTCCCCCCAGGGCCTACAACCCTCACAAGATCTTGGCGGTCACTTCTATGATGGCTCTCCACAGTAAATGCTCCTTCATCATGGAAGGATGCTTCTGGAGATCCAACACTTTCTTTGCAAGCCATTACCTGAGGGACATGGCTTTGGAAGGCGTCGAAGGTATCCACAGTTTTGGTCATTTGGTGGTTGCCCTGCAGGTCTCCAACCCCAGACACCATTAGCTTCTCCAGCAGTCAAGAGCCGACCATGATTGTTGTGAAAGGCGACTTACGGGATCGGGTGGTCAGGCTTGCTGACTTGGTTGATGGATGTCATTTTATCCCAATTGCGTAGATCAATGTTCATGATATCAATCACTGGATTGTCTGGTTCAAACTCAATTATTTAAAGACGGCCGTCATATAGCTGGAATATTGCTGAGTTTGATGTTAAACAACAAACAAACAAACAAAACACCCCAGATAAGGAGGCTTACATGTTGCAAGCATTGGCTAGGTAAGTCAGTCTCTGACTCTAGCATAAGCTATTTTCTACTACTGTTCTTTGCCTGGACTTCCTCACACTCTCGTTCTCCCTCTGGCAGGAATGATCTCCTGGTTCCTGATCATCACAAAAGGCTGCCGTGATGGTGGCCTGGACATTTGATGAGGGTTTTCTGAGGATCACATCTGAAGGTATGCCCACCTCCATTACATCCAATTCAGATGCATTAAGGAGTAATGCAGGATAAGTTACAATATTTAGTAAAATCGAATTTTTTTACATTTGTATACTTATCCTGCTTTACTAAGTCTAAAGTGGCCCAACCATCACAGAGCTGCCTCCCCACGATGTCTTCAGATGAAACGATGAGGGAGGAATGTGATGTTCTGTGGCGTCATCATTTTCATTTTTCGCTGTTGGATGGTATTAGCCACACAATTAGTGGGGACAACTTCTTCATCAGCTGGACCTCACACAGCTTTGTCTTTCTGTAAAAAAATCAGCAGTAAATACATTAAGGATTAATGCAGGTTAAATATACAATGTTACAAATATGTAGATTTTGCTAATATCTCTACCATCAGATTTATAAAAATAAATTATCACCTACATTTTTCTACTTGATAAGTTTACTATTGTTTGCAGGGTCTCAGCTAGGAACAGTGATCTCAATGCCGATATCTGGACTGCTGTGTGAGTCTGACTTCCTTGGGGGATGGCCATCAGTGTTCTATATATTTGGTGAGCATGTGTTCATTGTTTGACGTCTTGTATGCCTCATCCGGCAATATTGCAGGTAAATATTCCATCCGCCTCTAATTAATCAAGACTGGACCAGACAATCTAGTGTTTCATATTATGATCAACTATACACACCTACAATGACAGTTATCAACCAAGTCACTAAGTTGTATGATCTGTGTCTACTGTATGACAGGTTGTATAAGCTGTGTTTACTGTATGACAGGTGGTATAAGCTGTGTCTACTGTATGACAGGTTGTATAAACTGTGTTTACTGTATGACAGGTTGTATAAGCTGTGTCTACTGTATGACAGGTTGTATAAGCTGTGTCTACTGTATGACAGGTGGTATAAGCTGTGTCTACTGTATGACAGGTGGTATAAGCTGTGTCTACTGTATGACAGGTTGTATAAACTGTGTTTACTGTATGACAGGTTGTATAAGCTGTGTCTACTGTATGACAGGTTGTATAAGCTGTGTCTACTGTATGACAGGTTGTATAAGCTGTGTCTACTGTATGACAGGTGGTATAAGCTGTGTCTACTGTATGACAGGTTGTATAAGCTGTGTCTACTGTATGACAGGTTGTATACGCTGTGCCTACTGTATGACAGGTTGTATAAGCTGTGTTTACTGTATGACAGGTTGTATAAGCGGTGTTTACTGTATGACAGGCTGTATAAGCTGTGTCTACTGTATGACAGGTTGTATAAGCTGTGTCTACTGTATGACAGGTTGTATACGCTGTGTTTACTGTATGACAGGTTGTATAAGCTGTGCCTACTGTATGACAGGTTGTATAAGCTGTGTTTACTGTATGACAGGATGTATAAGCTGTGTTTACTGTATGACAGGTTGTATAAGCTGTGCCTACTGTATGACAGGTTGTATAAGCTGTGTTTACTGTATGACAGGTTGTATACGCTGTGCCTACTGTATGACAGGTTGTATAAGCTGTGTCTACTGTATGACAGGTTGTATAAACTGTGTTTACTGTATGACAGGTTGTATAGGCTGTGTTTACTGTATGACAGGTTGTATAAGCTGTGCCTACTGTGACAGGTTGTATAAGCTGTGCCTACTGTATGGCAGGTTGAAAGGTGTGCCTACTGTATGACAGGCTGTATAAGCTGTGTCTACTGTATGACAGGTGCTGTAAGCTGTGTCTACTGTATGACAGGTTGTATAAGCTGTGTCTACTGTATGACAGGCTGTTTAAGCTGTGTTTACTGTATGACAGGTGCTGTAAGCTGTGTATGGGTGATTGCTTGGTTCTGTCTCGTACATGAAACACCATCCGACCATCCTCGTATTTCAAAATCAGAGAAGGAATATATCGAGAACTCTATTGGGAAAAGAGAGGTTAGTGTGTTCTTCATTAAAAAATGCATTTGTGAGTTTATACTACTATAGTAATTAATCATTTCATAAACTGCTTCAGTTTCTGTTCTAACTATACATAACACTGGATGAAGTAAGTTGATGTTTTGAAATACAAATACTTGAAATTCCTATATCCCTTCTTTGCTGCTGCTTTTTTTTAAAAATCCATAACATACACTAAAAAATATAGACTGTCAAGTAAAGTTTCGGTCTTTGTAGGGGGACCCATGAAGATCCGGGGTAGAATAGGTCTTCATCAACCCATGCTTGCCGTAAAAGGTGACTATGCTTGTCGTAAGAGGGAACTAACGGGATCAGGTGGTCAGACTCGCTGACTTGGTTGATGCATGTCATCGTATCCCAATTGCGTGGATCGTTGCTCAATCACTGGATTGTCGGTCCAGACTCGATTATTTACAGACCGCCGTCATATAGCTGGAATGTTGCTGTGTGCGGGGTTAAACAACAAACAAACAAAACAAAACTTTGTAGGGGACACTTATAAAGATTACTTACAGCCTGGCCTAGAAGTTGATCATGGAACGTTTATTGTAGCAGTGTTCTTAATACAGCGAATACTGTAATCTGATTAACCTCGTCTGTTCTAAGATATTCTGTAGATAATACCATGCTTGTTTTCCTTGAAGAACTGTTTTAATAGTAAAAAGCTTATACAAAACAGCTACTATGTAATCTAACTACCGTATTCGACGTAATAAGCGCCCAGGGCACTCTCAAAATTAGAAATGGGGGGCTCTTAATACATGTAGAATGTTATTTTGGTGGAAAAAAAACAGCCTTGAAAGATAAATTTTGTGGTTTATGCTGACAGCCTGAAATGTTTATATACGACGGATATATTTTTCAAAAATTTAATTGCATATTATTCACGAAAAGATAAGTTTTTGGTTCATTATACAATCGGAAGGGTTGCTAATTGGGATTGTTCACCAGCAAATATATTAGTAAATATCGCCATGGGCGCTTATTAGAGCTGGGCGCTTATTACGTTGAATAAGGTATTATCGATGACATGACGTGTACACATACCAGAGGCTGCCTACCCCTTGGAAGAAGATCCTGACCAGCAGTGCATTGTGGGGGATTGCTGTGGTCAGTTTTACCAACAACTGGGGAAGCTACGTCTTTCTTACCTGCCTCCCAACATTCATGCAGAGAATTCTTAAGTTCGACATCAAGTCTGTGAGTATATCTGAAGATATGTGAAAGTGTATTCTTACTCCCTATATATAAGTTTTCTTATGTATGTTCTCTGTCCATTTACATTGTATGGCAACACAGAGGGACGGGGTTGATAGCACCTGTTTGTACATCAGATGCCAAGATACATGGAATTCCAAATGGCTCTGTGCAGTACCTGTATGCTAGAGCTTAGTATCGCCTGGTATTTTGCGATACGATTCGTATCACGATATGGACTGACTATACTATTGGTATCACAATACACCACATCAAAAAGTAAGAAATGATGAAATCACTGAAATACGGCTCTAAAACCTCTTTCTTCATACATTTCTTATTGTTATCTCAAAAACTTTTACAAAGAAAACCAAACAAATGAAGGGATGGTTATTAAATGTAACAGTTAGTCGGCTCGTCCTCAGCTACCACATCCTTGTGTTCTGCCATGCTTACTGGTGGTGCAATGCTACTTCTGCCATTATGGGATGTAACTCTGTTAGTTCCTGTTCTATTTACAGTAAAGTCTCGTTAATCCGACACTTGTTAATCCGACAATCGGCTTTATCCAACACTAATGATGGGAACTTATTAAATCAGTGCTATTTAGACCCGTTAATCCAACAGTCTCGCACTCCGACTCCGACACAACCTAATTTGCAACGAATTACCGAAATCACTCATTAATCAGTCCCGTTAATCCGACACAATGATCAGCGTACTCCATGGTCATCTGCCCACGAGTACATAGCCAGTGTTTTGATGCGAGAGTAGTCGGCTGGTAGCTGCATATTACAAAGCTGCAGAGATAAACAGTTAATGCTTTAGATAAACAAATCAGGATTAATCACATGCTTAGATTCCCTCAATCTCATTAAAATCAGATACAAGTATTCGCTATCACCGAGGACATCCCAAACAGGTCACATCAGAAGAACCTTTCGCGAACTATGACCGACGAACGTTGGTACTACTTAATTGAAGACGTACTTGTTAATCCGACATAATCATATGCAAGGGACTTGACTGTATAGTGTTTCGCGATAGTGTGTACCTATTAAGTATCGATGATATCATAGGTATGGGTGAATCGTTACAGCCCTACTGGATGCCATGAAGAGTTTTTCTGGTACAAGGTCTTTTGATATGCCGGTATTTCTCAAAGTTGAAATTTATTTCATGTCCTTTTATTCTTGCAAAGCATGACAATTCTCTGTAATAATTTGCCCTAAGCCTTTGAACTTGCAATGTCATGCTTTCTATGTAAAAGTCCCAGACTAATTTATTTGTACCAGGTGTGTACATGGATATGACTCAAGAGTTCGTAAATTAAATTCCAATACAAATGTCTGTATATAATTCACCTGTATTCCTTATAGCATATCTTCCTCCATTTGTTGTTATAGCATGTATTCCTCCATGTGATGTTATGGGATGTATTCCTCCATGTGATGTTATGGCATGTATTCCTCCATGTGATGTTATGGCATGTATTCCTCAATGTGATGTTATAGCATGTATTACTCCATGTGATGTTATGGCATTATTCCTCTATGTGATGTTTTGGAATGTATTCCTCCATGTGATGTTATGGCATGTATTCCTCCATGTGATGTTATGGCATGCATTCCTCCATGTGATGTTATGGCATTATTCCTCCATGTGATATTATAGCATGTATTCCTCGGTGTGATGTTATGGCATGTATTCCTCCATGTGATGTTATGGCATGTATTCTTCTGTGTGATGTAATGGTATGTATTCTTCCGTGTGATGTTAAGGCATGTATTCCCCCGTGTGATGTTAAGGCATGTATCCTTCCGTGTGATGTTAGGGCATCTATTCCTCGGTGTGATGTTATGGCATGTATTCCTAAGTGTGATGTTATGGCATTTATTCCTCTGTGTGATGTTAGGGATGAATTCCTCAGTGTGATGTTAGGGCATGTATTCCTCTGTGTTATGTTACAGCATGTACAGTCGTGCCCCGCTTATACGGACTTCAGATATCCGGAAACCTCGGTTCCCGGACGATTTTCATTCAAAACGCAATAATTACTATATAAATTTACCCGTATATACGGAAATTCAGTTTCCGGAACCGGACGGTCATTTTCATACACAAAACACTGAAATGCACACAAAATTGTCTCACTTATCCGGACAATACACTTCCGCTGGTGGTAATCCTTCAGCTGGTGGTAATCCTTTGATTCGTGAGAAGTCAATTAACCAAGTGACACTGAGTTACGTTTGAGACGAGCTTGTTTATTGTACATGTAATCCCCTTCGATAAATATGGCGTCTGTTGAGGTCAGAGGTCAAAGTTGTGTAAGTATGGCCTGTCAACCAGCGAAACGTAAGCGACACGCAGTTACAGCACGCGAAAAAAGGGAAATTTGTCTGTTTAAGGAAAAACACCCGTCAGTAAGCATTATGGCACTGAATTTGGACATACCATAGGAAAATCGACATTCTGTCATCTGTCATGAGTTGCATAATTGAAGGGAAGTAACTCTTCCAGTAAGAAGCTGGTTTCAGTTATACGGAAATTCGTTTATACGGACAAATTGTGAAATGACGCAATTGTCCGTATAAACGAGGCACGACTGTATTGCTCTGTGTGATGTTACGGCATGTATTCTTCCGTGTGATGTTACGGCATGTATTCCTCCGTGTGATGTTACGGCATGTATTCTTCCATGTGATGTTACGGCATGTATTCTTCCGTGTGATGTTACGGCATGTATTCCACTGTATTAGGTTTTATCATGTATTCTCTTCACCACAGGATGGTCTGCTGTCTGCATTGCCGTATGTAGCAATATGGATAACACAGATGATGTCTGGATTCATCGCAGATTATCTCCGTACAAACAATTACCTCAGTACCTTGGCCACTCGTCGGCTAATGACATTAATAGGTCAGTTAAATACTTTCATTAGCTAGCCTGGCTATAGAATCCAACTCCCTTTCCTGTCCACATGCTTTGTAGATCGTGTTAGGTAGGCAGAGCATGTTCTGTTTTGTTGGTCATCTACCTCCTACAACTCCACCTCAGTTATACCGCTGATCGTCTATAATGCTCATCAATTATTTGGACCCCAAAGGTAATAAATAAGTTTTATGCCTTGAAGCAGTGACAGAAAAAAATATTCTGTCTCCAAGAAACATTCCAGGCCCTCCTTCAGAAAAATAAATGGCCCATCCAAAAAATTGCTTTCAGGTGAGGTGCTGCCAGCTGCAGCTGTGATCGGCGTCAGCTATGTCGGTTGTGACCATATATGGGCTGTGGTCCTTTTGACTGTTTCCCTTGGGACGAATGGCATCAGTATGGGAGGCTTCAATGTCAATCACCTTGATATTGCTCCCAAATTTGCAGGTAAGTGCCATCTCTATGGATACTTCAGAGTTGTCTCCCTTCCCAAGAAGATCTGGGTTAGAATAGGTCTTCAGCAACCCATGCTTGCCATAAAAGGCGACTATGCTTTTTGTAAGAGGCGACTAACAGGATCAGGTGGTCAGGCTCGCTGACTTGGTTGATGCATGTCTTCAAATCACAATTGCGTAGATCGATGCTCATGAAGTCAATCTCTGGATTGTCTGGTCCAGTCTTGATTTACAGACAGCCATCATATAGCTGGAATATTGCTGAGTGCAATGCAATTATTAAAACCCTTGTAATAGGAATGGGTAGTTACAATGGTGCTTGTGTATTATCTACCCCTGATATGCTTGGATCGTTGCTCATGCAGTCAACCACTTGTTTGTTGGGCCATACTTGCAGTGGCAGGTGTGGCTGAATTATTGCTGACGTCAGCTTAAAAGTTTTAAGTTAAAACAATATTAATTTATTCACTTGCTCATTTTTCATAATATTACCGAACTAGTTTGCTTGTTGTCATAAATGTGAAAGAAGGAATGGCCTGACAGATACTTGCTGATCTGACTTTTTGTTGCTTGTTTATTGGTCACCAGTCAGCAACAATTCAGCTGTAATTCATCAAGGGCCCGACAACCAGTGTTTGATATTATTAGGTACATGTACATCCCATGTAGTCAAGGTATGATGACACACAATCGACCTTGTCAGTAACATGCTCTTAAAATATACTGAACAACAAAAGTTCCTGTGACATTGAATAAGATTTAATGCAGAGTTATGTTTTTTACCAAATCTGAAACAACTTCGGTTTGCAACAGATAAAAGACTCCTGTAAGTGTTCAAATGGTTTAATTTGCCATACTGACTTCAGAAAATGTGTGTTTTCATAAAAAACATGAACATGCCAAAATGTCAATTTACAAATCAATAGCGTGTGTCTCCACCTCTGGTTGCGATGCAAGCAACACATCTTCGTCTCATGGAATGGTCCAGGCATCGCACAAAGTCTTGTGGGATATCTGTCCATATCTGCTGGAGCATGTTTCGAAGTTCCTGGAGTGTCTGTGGAACACGTGGTTGACGTCGAAGGCGCCGATCCATCTCATCCCTCATGTGCTCGATTGGTGAGAGATCAGGGGAGCGAGCCGGCCAGGGGATGACATTCATGTTGTTTTGTTGAAGAGAATCCTGAACAAATAGAGCAATATGAGGCCGGGCGTTGTCATGTTGAAAGGTAATGCCTGGGCCATGACGTCGCAAAAACGGTAGAACAACAGGGCCGATGATCTCGTCGCAGTAGCGCTGTCCATTGAGATTTCCCTCTACCACTATCAAACGGGTCCTCTGTCTTGCTGTAATCCCACCCCATACCATAACGCTGCCACCCCCGAACCTATCTTCTTCCATGACACAATGATTGACGTAACGTTCACCTCAGCGTCGGTACACTCGAATACGTCCATCGCTGTGGCTGAGGTGAAAACAAGACTCGTCAGTGAATAGAACTTGTCCCCACTGCATGGCCGTCCAGCAAAGACGCTGTCAGCACCACTGTAGACGTGCTTGACGGTGGTTTCCTGTCAAAATTGGACGTCTGGCGGGTCTTCTGGCGACAATCCCTGCGCATCTGAGGCGGCGACGTACGGTTTGTGAAGATATTCGCCGAAGGCCAGGGATGCTTCTTGCAGTCATTGTTGCTGGCTGGAATCTATTTCGTAGGTGTGTTGTTCGAATCCAGTTGTCTTGTCGATTATTGGTTACAAGTGGCCTGCCACTCTGAGGATGGTCTCTGACTGCATTCGTCTGTTGCCAAGGTTGCCATAAACACCAAATGGTGTTTCTGTGGATGTTAAATTGTCTTGCAACATCACTCGATCCTGCTTCAAGCACACCAATGGCTCGCAGACACTCATTTTCGGACAGGCGTGGAATTTCATAATGTTGAATAATTGCGTAATTTTGTTGTTTTTCTGAGGGGTTGTTGTCAGCACGATGCTGAACAATGCATATGGAATCCCTTTAACGCACATGTTTTTATACCCATTCTTGGGTAGTGAAATGCATGGGGCTTGCATAAAAGTTAACTTTTGCATGGAATGCATTCTTTTCTGTAGCAGTTGCATTTTTGTGACTTGATTCCATAAATGTACTACAATATTCTAAACCAAACTTTACTTGTATGAAAAATATACTAAAATATTGGTGTCACAGGAACTTTAGTTGTTGAGTATATGTAATAATCAGTAAGCCCCGAAGTTGCTAGTTGCTTCTACTTCCAGAATCAACGGATTCAAGTGATTTCTCTGACCTAAATCATGTTATGGTTAATATATAATATCTCTATAATTTTGGATAATGACTTATAGTTGCATCAGTTTGACTTGTTCAGATTTTAAGTAAGGATAAGAATTTATGGATGAGCAACTTCTTTATTACAATTAAGAGCGACGTTTCGGTGTAGGTTGTAACACCGTTATCAATCTGATTGATATTGGTGTTAGAACCTACACAGAAACGTCGCTCTTAATTGTAATAAAGAAGTTGTCCATCCATAAATTCTTATCCTTACTAACTACTTCTAAATGCCTATGAAAGATCAAAGAGGTTGTTTAGATTTTGTTCAGAATGGTATGTGAGTTCCTGGCTCAGACACAACATTTGTGATTATGGTTTAAATAGTGGCACATGTAACTACTGGTAGGATGCACTGTCATACAAGATGTTGTGTTATGAGACAGAAATATTGCTCACACAACATGTCATCTGTTTGTTGTGTATTCTGAATTCTGAAAGTTGGGGTGCATGAACTTTTAATGGAATCTTTAATGGTTTTTTTCATAGCATGTTTTGTGTCTTAGGTGTGATGCTGGGGATCACTAATGGTATAGCCTCCATCCCAGGATTCCTGGCCCCGGCAGTTGTGGGCTACATCACCAACAATAGGGTGAGTTTCCCCACAGTCAGGGGCTGTATCACCAACAACAGGGTGAGTTTCCCCACAGTCAGGGGCTGTATCACCAACAATAGGGTGAGTTTCCCCACAGTCAGGGGCTACATCACCAACAATAGGGTGAGTTTCTCCACAGTCAGGGCCTGTATCACCAACAACAGGGTGAGTTTCCCCACAGTCAAGGGCTGTATCACCAATAACAGGGTGAGTTACCCCACAGTCAGGGACTGTATCACCAACAACAGGGTGAGTTTTCCCAGTCAGGGCCTGTATCACCAACAATAGGGTGAGTTTCCACACAGTCAGGGGCTGTATCACCAATAACAGGGTGAGTTTCCCCACTGTCAGGGGCTGTATCACCAACGACAGGGGGAGTTTCCCCAGTCGGGCTGTATCACCAATAACAGGGTGAGTTTCCCCACAGTCAGGGGCTGTATCGCCAATAACAGGGTGAGTTACCCCACAGTCAAGGACTGTATCACCAACAACAGGGTGAGTTCCCCCAGTCAGGGCCTGTATCACCAACAAAAGGGTGAGTTTTCCCACAGTCAGGGGCTGTATCACCACCAGCAGGGTGAGTTTTCCCACAGTCAGGGCCTGTATCACCAACAACAAGGTGAGAATCCCAGTAGTCAAGGGCTGTATCACCACCCACTAGGTGAGTTTCCACCTAGTTTCTTCAAGATGATGTAAGACCCAGTTCAAGTTGTCATTAAGTTTGATTGTTCTTCAGGAAACTATTGAGGGATGGCGATATGTTTTCTTCCTGACTGCTGGGATCTATGTCGTGGGTGCGCTGGTGTATGTTGCCCTGGCCCGCGGAGACGAAATGGCATGGGCCAGGGAGAGGCCGTCGCACAGCAGCTCTCTCAGTGTGAGTTCTGCCAATATACAGACACACAGACAACCATGGCAGCCGCCGCCGCAACAGGAAGTCGACATCCCTCCACCACCAGAGTACACAGAAACATGACATCACCCGTAATTCATGTACTTTTATATCAAGATTATGTGTAACAAAAAATAATGTGGTTGTCTTTCTGAGTGAGAGTCAAGAGTTCACCTGATTATGATTTTGTTGTTTCATACGTTTTAATGAAAGTGATAAATGCCACGACCTGCACGCTGTGATGTTACTGAGATACTCTTCATTGTGATCAAAGATTACTCCATGTATTTCTTAATGTTAAAATCTTGCAAGGTTTTTCTGTGCCAAAATATACATGGTTGACAAAACAATTTTAATAAGTAACTTTGATGCATTGATGGTCATTGTTTATAAGTTTCGTTATTGTTATTGTCACAATATATCCAGTATAAATATAAAGTTGCTGAATTCACTCTTGCAAGATGTTCCTCAAAGGCAATTTGTAGAACATGTCTTGAACCCATGATGTGATGTAGTCATACTGATGTACAGTTGAACCCTGTTGTCTCAAACTAAATTTGTCGTCCTGCATTAAAATAATTTAGGACATACCTTGATACGTTGGAAAAACACAACTTGGATTTTGTAGCAAGTGTACCATCTTCCCGAGGCAAGTGAGTTAACTGACTATAAAAGTCCAGTTTCCACCCTTGCCGAACTAGGCTGGTATTATGGAGTTACATTTTGGCTGGGCTAACGAGTCTATGCATAGTCCAATCAAAATCGCGCACCAAAATCAAAATCCGGTTCATGCAGATTTCGGTCGACTGCAGGATTTGCAAAGCATGTGCACCGCTAACTCGTTGTCAACAGATGTTTTCTATATCTTTTCATGTTTTTAATCAAGGTGCTCACGTGATTTGATGCACTTCGCGATGTAAGACTCGTTTGATCACAATATAGATCTTGATTATCGATCAGATCGTCTTGACTGGGCGCCACCGTTTTGTTTGAAGCAAATGCAAGTGATACGAGAGGTTGAATCTGATTGGTCCATAGGAGAGGCATAGAAAGGACATTACTAGTAATAGCCACTGGTGGCGCTACAATCGAGCCCAGGAATTCCAGCCTAGTTCGGCAAGGGTGGAAACTTGACTTTTAAAGTCAGTTAACTCTCTTGCCTCGGGAAGATGCAAGTGTACTGGCCAAGCTACTATATAATGTGAGACAGAAAACTGTTGATTGGTTGTAAAGGCTGCCATGACTAATTTCCTTCACGTGTACTCAATTAAAGAAGTGATGACTCTATAAACATTTGAGACAGTCAATACCCTTGCCCGACAACTAGTAGTCACATGATCTACTTTTAAATGAACATATGACAAATGCTTCTGTGTTTATCTTTGGTAATAATGGATGCAGTTCATGCTGCGCACAAAGTTCTACCCAATTTGCGTATTTAAGACTAATGATGCATTCCATAAGAAGAACAAGTAATTAAAAATTTTCAGTTGACGCTGATGGTGCCAACCTTTTGGTATGCGGGATGTAAGTGGTTTTCAGATGCTCAAGTGCAGTACACTGGATGCCAAGAAATGTTCATCTGGTACGTGATGCTAATATTTCAAATGTATGGTTGTGTTGTAAGACCATCAGTTCAACAAGTGCGTGATATCATGTTTTGTGAAGTATGTACATTGTACAGATTGCAAGTGTAAAATGACACCAACAATTTCCTTTGTGAAGTTTCAAATCTCATCCTTAAGGAACCCATTTGTCTTTCATTGTGTGTTTGTTCTTGAGTGAATGTTTGACTGTATGTTAAAATGAATGTGTATAGTCTCTTCCTTTATGCTGCAAGCACAGTGAATCATCAGGCTTGGCCTTACATATGTGTATATTAGAGCTGGGACGGGCAACTCGGGTACCCGGGTCGGGTGGGTACTGTGTAGGACCCCGGTACCCACAGGACTACCCCGACCCGTGGTTAGTCACGTGACATATTGTTTCATGACAAAAAATCACTGTATAACTACATGGTTACACGACAATTTTAAGTCTCTAATGTTCGCATTTCTTCGTGACTATGAACACGTTCCTTCTGACTTATGTGTGTTTGAACAAAGCTAAAACTTCAGTAAACTTCAGTGTATGCATGACCACATCGTTTTATACGTGTATCTAAATACATTCTGTCAGGGCTACTGTCAAAATATTCCCTATCAGACATTTTGTACCTATCTCTTGACACCAACAGCACGTACCCGGGTAGGGTCGGGTAATAGGGGTGTGGGTACCCTTGTAGAAAATTTGGACTCATCTCAGCCCTGGTGTATATGCTGTTGGTGATTTCCTGTGGGAGTGGGCATGGGTGGTCCAGTCGTCTAAGGTGCCACAATTTGCTGTGCAGAGTTGCCTTCTTTGGACATGACATGCAGAAAGCTATGATTGTGGGTTCGAATCCCAGTTCGCCCCAGTGTCAGCACCACACCCGTGCATGTGGGTTTCACCAAAGTGGTAAACCATCTGAGACCAACATCATTTCGGGCTTTCCTTGCACATCAAGTTGACATCATGTGATATAACTGGAATATTGTTCAAAGCGGCCTTAAACCCAACTCACTCACTCCTGCAGGATTTTTTGTAGGATACCATGTGGAATCCCTGTATGCCATCCTGAAGGATACGATGTGGAATCCCTGTATGCCATCCTGTAGGAATTTTTTGTAGGATACCATGTGGAATCCCTGTATGCCATCCTGTAGGATACCATGTGGAATCCCTGTACACCATCCTGTAGGATACCATGTGGAATCCCTGTACGCCATCCTGTAGGATTTTTTGTAGGATACCATGTGGAATCCCTGTACGCGATCCTTTAGGATACCATGTGGAATCCCTGTACGCCATCCTGTAGGATTTTTTGTAGGATACCATGTGGAATCCCTGTACACCATCCTTTAGGATACCACGTGGAATCCCTGTACGCGATCCTGTAGGATACCATGTGGAATCCCTGTATGCCATCCTGTAGGATACCATGTGGAATTCCTGTACGCTATCCTGTAGGATCTTTTGTAGGATACCATGTGGAATCCCTGTACGCCATCCTGTAGGTTACCATGTGGAATCCCTGTATGCCATCCTGTAGGATCTTTTGTAGGATACCACGTGGAATCCCCGTTCGCCATCCTGTAGGATACCACGTGGAATCCCTGTACGCCATCCTGTAGGATCTTTTGTAGGATACCAGGTGGAATCCCTGTACGGCATCCTGGTGGATCCCCAGATATGTCCTTATTTAGACAGACGAATTGTTTTATCTTGACAGAAACCTTCTCATCTCAATGGAAAGGTTTTCATATCCTGAATAATTGCCTTTCTTAACTTTGAAGAAGCATTTTCTCATTTTGGTAGAAACATGTATGTATCTTGAATGCAGCATTCAATCATTTTTTATAGAACCATCTTTTATCTTGTCAGAAACACTTTCATAGTTTGATTGAAGCATTTTTCTATCTTGATAGGAGCAAATTTATTTGCAAACATATGAACATAAACATTTCAAACTTTCCGACTTATTATAAAAGTCCGTTTTCCACATTTATAGTCAGTTAGTGCCCTTGCCTCGGCAAGATGCATTTTATCTGGGTGCACAATGGTACAGAATCAGTACATGTACAGTACTTAAGGAAAATAAAAAATCTATTTTTTCAATGAGTTGCTGTTTTTGAATTCATACTTTCATTATGCAACCCCCTCTAAAGGTCTGCTTAATATGGAAATCAACCGCTGATGCAGTTATTGTTCTTTCACAACAATCCTTGTCAGTACTTGACAGGTTTGTACACACTAGTTCCTCCATCCCTGAATATATATATATTTATATACTTTAGTTTTTTATTTGTATGTTGTTTTTGTTCATGCAAATTCATATTTTCAGTAACATCTTATGATACCTCCAGCTCTAATTGCCAGAAAATGGAATGTCGAGACCTAAAACTGTTTAAAGTTCCTTATGTTTTCTAGACTTCCCTGGTGCACTTCAACCTAAGCCAGTGCTGAGTACAAAAGAAAAGGGCCACGTTACGCCCATTAGGTTATGGTTGAAGGTGGTTAGAATTTGGTTGACGGCCAGCAGAGGTCAAAGTAACCAGAAATCACATTGTAAAACATGACATTAGTACTTTGTTAGTGAACAAATATTGTTCATTGATACATTATTAACGTGGAACCAATACACGCCAATACAAAGTAAGGACAAAGAATCGAATCATTTACACAGATCTTGATAACAGTATGATTATATAGAAATTAGATTTCCTTAAACGGGAGGGAGTGAGTGAGTATGTTTTTTACGCTTTTGGCAATATTCCAGCAATATCACGGTGGGGGACACCAGAAATGGGCTTCACTCATGTGGGGAATCGAATCCACGTCTTCTGCGTGACGAGCGAACACTTTAACCACTAGGCTAATTACCGCCCCTTAAACCGGAAGTGTATATAACATGTAGAATAATATAATGTATAAGGTCATACTTGGGTAGTTTGAGGTATGGGACTCCGCTCTGAGGATGAACTACTTTAGGCATGTGTACTTATGACTTGAATGTGATGTCACGGAATTGCCTATCACTTCTTATTAAAGTAGTTGGAGAATTGAGTTTCCTGTTCTGAGATGGCACGGCATTAGAAAACACATTGTTGGCCACCGGAAGGAGTATTATCTTTCTTATTAAGTTAGCTAGATTCAAGTGAGTGATATTTCTGGTGGTATTGCATTATGCAAGTGTTTTCACAAAACTTGAAGAGACATGCTTTTTCCTCAACAAACCTTCATGTACACCAACGAAAAGGGATCGAGAATATTAGTATGATGCTGAAGTCACATGATTTCTTGAAGTGCCATGAGGTCATTTCTGTTGGAATGTGTTGATTTGTTACACGTTTTGGTCAATTGGAAAATCGGGATTGTTTTTGCGTCTGTTTCCGTATATGTCCAACATCTTGCTGGTCGCATTATGGCTGTTGTCGGCACAGGGTTTATCATTCGTGACCACTCGTGTTATTCCGGGACAAGCCGAAAAGGTTACAGAAAGGGGCGAGTGGTGACGAATGGGGGATTATATAAATTTACCCCAGGTATGTTTCTGTATAAACAAATGTACCCAAGGTACCATTCTGTACAACCTAATGTACCCTAGCTTGAGGTGTACAATGTCTGAAGTACTGCCATGATCAAGGGTTTAGACTATTCAAAGAAATATTCAATATTGTGGCTTAGCGCCTGGTGTACATTCTGCAGAACCTGTCCCGACAACGAACACACAGTCCTATTATGATCACTGTGGCATACATTCACATGCCTTCATTACTTGAGTGAACATCAACATTGCAACCAGCACCACACAACCTTGTATCTAGCTAGTGCACTGTTGACCATGGCAGACTGAACCACGTATGGCTGTGGGTCACTATCTGTTGAAGCAGGAACTCTACACTTGTACAGACACTCGGGATGAAAGTAGCCATGAGCATGATCTTTCCACTTTCCAGCTGTCCCCGTTTGTTATTAACGAACTTGAGATCTTGACAGTTCCTGTTGTATGAGTTTAGCCCATGCGTGTGATCTGTTCCCAACTGTTCTTGTGGAGTGAGTTTAACCCATGTGTGTGATCTGTTCCCGACAGTTCCTGTGGAGTGAGTTTAACCCATGTGTGTGATCTGTTCAGAACTGTTCCTGTGGAGTGAGTTTAGCCCATGCGTGTGATTTGTTCCCGACTGTTCCTGTGGAGTGAGTTTAACCTATGTGTGTGATCTGTTCAGAACTGTTCCTGTGGAGTGAGTTTAACCCATGTGTGTGATCTGTTCAGAACTGTTCCTGTGGAGTGAGTTTAACCCATGTGTGTGATCTGTTCAGAACTGTTCCTGTGGAGTGAGTTTAACCCATGTGTGTGATCTGTTCAGAACTGTTCCTGTGGAGTGAGTTTAACCCATGTGTGTGATCTATTCCCAATTGTTCCTGTGGAGTGACTTTAATTCATGTGTGTGAATTGTTCCCGTGGAGTGAGTTTAACCCATGCGTTTCATCTGTTCCCAACTGTTGCTGTGGAGTGAGTTTAACCCATGTATGTGATCTGTTCAGAACTGTTCCTGTGGAGTGAGTTTAACCCATGTATGTGATCTGTTCCCGACTGTTCCTGTGGAGTGAGTTTAATTCATGTGTGTGATCTGTTCAGAACTGTTCCTGTGGAGTGAGTTTAATTCATGTGTGTGATCTGTTCAGAACTGTTCCTGTGGAGTGAGTTTAATTCATGTGTGTGATCTGTTCCCGACTGTTCCTGTGGAGTGAGTTTAACCCATGTATGTGATCTGTTCCCGACTGTTCCTGTGGAGTGAGTTTAATTCATGTGTGTGATCTGTTCAGAACTGTTCCTGTGGAGTGAGTTTAATTCATGCGTGTGATCTGTTCCCGACTGTTCCTGTGGAGTGAGTTTAACCCTTGCGTGTCATCTGTTCCCAACTGTTCCTGTGGAGTGAGTTTAGCCCATGCGTGTCATCTGTTCCCGACTGTTCCTGTGGAGTGAGTTTAGCCCATGCGTGTCATCTGTTCCCAACGTTTCCCGTGGAGTGAGTTTAACCCATGCGGGTCATCCGTTCCCGACTGTTTAGCCCACGCATGTGATCTGTTCCCGATAGGTCCAGTGGAGTTTCAGCCCAAGTGCCTGAACATGGCGTCCATTATTACACATCAACATACACTATAACCATTAACTGTAGGTGTGTCAGCAGGACGTGGTACATGCCTTTTCGTATACTTAAGTTCATTGTTTATCCCTGAGGATTTTTTTTCGGTGATTATGTGGCATTCTTTGATAACAGGCGGTGGTATTATAACATCAATGCCATTTCTCAAAGATTTTGAGCCGTTCCCTGAATGTTTGGACCACTCCACCTCCTCGCCCTCTGAGAAGATAAGAAATACTATTCCCCCGCAGGCGTATATTGCGGATGTGATGAAGAAGAACAACCTCCACTGACCCATCGATGGCTGAAAAAAGATAGGATGTTTTATCTGTGAGTGAATGTGTTGAACAATATATAACCTGCAGATAAGTAAGTATCCGGCAACATTTTTTGTGGAGAGATGAGAGCAACTTGTACAGTATTAACTTCAGGTGGCGGTGCTTCAAGACATACGATTAATTCGTTTGAATGACAATGGTAGAAAGATATTATTTTCATCAAGGCATATCTTCAAAAGGTATTTGCCACTGAAAAGTGTTGAAGTGTAACGTTCCTGGAATCTGGCTTAAAACGCTGTAATGTGTAAGCTATATTTTGAAGAACACTTTGCGTTTGATAGTTTGATGTGACGTTCCAAAAAAATGAATCCACTCCTCTTTTACTCAAAATTCAAATCTAAACCATTTTACAAATTCAACTTCTAGTATTCCATCTTCACGAGGCAAGAGCGGTAACTGACTCTAAAAATACAGGAAGTGAATTTATGGATGTCAACTTCCTTTTGAGGAACACGTTTGTGAGTATATGCTTACTCGTTCATCAGGTGAACAGATATTTTCCAAATGTGTTCATGTTTTTTTAAGCAAGGGGCTCAAGTAATTTGATGTACTTTGTGAGGTAAGGCACGTTTATTGCAATATAGATCTTGAAATCAATTATCGCCTTTAAGAATGGGCGCCGCCATTTTGTTTGAAGCAAATGCCAGTTAATGTAATAGGTGGAATCTAATTGGTCAATGGGAGGGACTTAGAAGGGACATAACTCGTAATAGCCATTGGTGTCGCTACGATCGAGCTCCGAAATTCTAGCCAGGGTGGAAAACGAAATCCTTTAACTCCTTTGCTTCGGGAAGATGCAAGTATTCTATATCCGGAACGCGATGCGAGATCTGGTATTTCAATAGAGGTGAGCTGAAGGATATGTGCATGTTTGTATTTCAAAACTTACGTTGTCTTTTGTTAGGACGCCGACCACCAATGGACCTATGAAGCCTGTGGTGGTTCCAAAACTGTTGGATATCCCCATCAATATACCTGTTGAGATGAAGCAGTGTAGTCAGGTTAGATCTGCCATTGACGCCACTAATGCGACGCCAGCCCGTTAACAGAATAATATACACATCTACCTTTTCATTTATAAGTACAGATGCATCATACACCAAATACTCAATCAGAAAATAAAAACAAAGGACAAAAGTTGGGACAAATAGGAAGAAACAATGTAAATCGGTAAAATAAAATACTACCGTGTATGGAATTGTGTCAAGTTCTCATATTCAGTAGCGAGGGTGCCCACGTTGAACATTGAAACAGGTCTGACACCTTCGCCTCATTGAGATCACTCAACGTAGAAGAAAGGCCCGAGGAATGGGGAATATGCTTGTCGTAAGAGGCGACTAACGGGATCGGGTGGTCAGGCTCGCTGACTTGGTTGAAGCATGTCATCAATCCCAATTGCGTGGATCGATGCTCGTGATATCAATCACTGGATTGTCTGGTCCAGACTAGATGATTTACAGACCGCCGTCATACAGCTGGAATATTGCTTAGTGCGGCGTAAACCAACAAACCAACCAAACCGAGGAATGGCATTCCGTATCCAAGGTAGGATAAGCCGGAGTTCCTGCAACATTGTTGGATTAGGGAGATGTGTCAATCGTGGTTCCATTTCATCCCAGTCATGTTCAATTGGTAAAAGATCCAGGATATTCCAGGCCAGGGTAACACATTAACACTGTTCTGAGTCAGACACTGCTGCGCAACACTAGCAACATGTGGTCTGACGTTATCGTACACCAATATAGCTCTGTGCCAAAACGGTTAAACGTCCGTATGCAAAATCACATCCAGGTATCTCGTAGCATTCAAATTCCAGCCAATCACAATCAATCGGTTCTTCCTGGAACCGCTATTCCACCCGGGATCATAACGCCACACCTACATTTGAAGCGACGCCTGTAGAGGTCGTCCTGCCTTAGGATAAGTGAAAAGGACCTTTCTCCACTGAGCGCTGTCCACCGCAAGTGCTGTCCGCCCCGCTGGGACGTCGGCCGACTGGCAGAGCGCCTCGCCGTGGATGCGTATACGTCGTAGGACTATCCTCGCAAATACGCCTCTGTTGCACGGCATGGTACGGGCTTAATTGCAAGAGCTGCTGCCTGGTACGTGTGTCGAAGATGCGTGGTTCGAATCCGTACGTCTTTGTGAGGCGTTGTCACAGGTGGGCTATCTCCGACGTATTTGTTCTGTGGAAAACGTACCATGAGTTTACATGGTGTTCCTGTGGACGTACAATTGGCGTCAAGCTGCGAGGTACCGGATTCAAACATTCCCATGACTCGCCATGTATCATCTTCATACACTTCAAGCAGGGGCGGTCGGGTAGCCTAGTGGTTAAAGCGTTCACTCGTCACGCTGAAAACCCGGGTTCGATTCCCGACATGGGTACAATGTGTGAAGCCCATTTCTGGTGTCCCCCGTCGTGATATTGCTGGAATATTGCTAAAGGCGGCGTAAAATCAAACTCACTCACTCACACTCTTCAAGCAACTTTCCCTAAATATTCGTTGTTTCGTACCAATACCAGCGTTTCATTGGTTCCAATAACAAAAACGTTAAAAGGTTTGTAAGAGAAAAAATCCGTGTCACAATAACTTTGGCCTTGAGTATGAGGTAGAAATAACTTAATTTATCAGTTGGCTAATCGGCGGAATCAACAGGGAGTCATTTTTACAATGTAATGTTTGGATATTCGCAAGTTTCAAGTGAGTAAAAAACCTCCTTTGTCTCACCTTACATTAGAATACTAGCTTCTGATTGGTTAAGGAGTGGGAAATTATTTTCCATGTAGTCTGCGCATGGTACCCCTCTGAGAAATCAATCGTAACACACCTTAGGCAACTTGCCTATCTCGCATAAGTATCGTTAAGCTGAAATGAACCGATGTTTATGCGAATGCATTTGTTTCGGGAAGTAACCATGATTGTTCGCGTCGTCTGCAAGCTGTCAAAATGGCTGAATCAAACGTATTACTCAGTGAAACTTCAGACATATATTCCGAGTATGTTTGAATGGATGTCGGTGGGAAGTTCGTTGTCAACCGATTCCTCGGGCCATATGGTGTGATGTACGCGGTGAGTTAGCTCACACACAGGGAACACCACACCACATACCCCTCGAGGTCGGTTGACAACTTAGAACATACCCCTGTATTACCATCCCTATCATCCAGCCTACGTACCAGCGAACCTGGGAGCGATGTCGATATGGTTGACACTGAAGCCGGACAGGGTGAAGCCGCTCATCCCCACCCCCAGGGTGAGCAGCGTGACGGCCAGCACCGGGTCACACCCAACATATCCCACCCCCAACATCAGCACGGCAGGTACAAACAAACCTACAAGAAAAAAGTGCATTATTTTACGTCGTGGAAACAACAGCTCTGCTATCTCAGTTTATCAGCCTGTTTGTATAACTCTGAACATGACTATATCAGTAGATTTATGAGATATGGCTACACTCCATAGAAAGTCGCGCCAAATAAACCAAGAGCAAACTTTACCGCCTAATCAAAATAAAGGATGCGCTGGTTCTCGAGCTGCGCTGGTTCTCGGATGTCATCTTTCTAAATTGAATCAGCTACATTTCTTTACCATCTCGATTCGGAATTTTTTATTGTGCAAAAGAAAACACAGAACACACAAATGCCTCCCGTGGTCCTCCCTGTTGGGTGTAGATGACTTGGCGCGGCCTTTATATTTGCATTTGCGAGATACAGAAAAGAGAAATGCTTCGCTCGTGGACGTAACGAGAAATTAGTTCAGACTACTAAGTAACTCGCTCAGTTCAGGGGAGTATAGCATCAAACCGCAAATTATTTTGTGGAGCAAATGACGGTGTGTTATGCCTTAAGCTTTAACCACTGGGCTATCCAACCGCTCCCAACACACACATGTTCTGATAGATTCTGATATAATTATAGTTTTAAGAAAAGCTAAAACAAGCTGTTTACTTTGTATAAACGGTAGGCAAAATCCCGTGAAATAATTACCTATAGAATTCATTATTTTTCTTGTAACTTTAGTGGAGTAGCGCCGGCTTCTGAGACCGTCAGCGATTGGGCCACTTGCTATGTTAGCTAGCCACAGCACCACGTAAGGCAACGCTGATAAACCTCCATTCTGAAATTTGAGTGGAAAAAACGCATCACTGTTAAATATTGTTTTGTAAGATTCTGGGGTTTATGGCGGACAAAATACACAGGATTGTGTGAATTACTGAGATAATACCAACGCAAGATTTCAGCAAAATCAAATTAATTATTTGTACGTGGGGTGCTTTTTGGTGAGAAATAGATTTGAAATGTAAATATTAATTATATAAAGTTCAGCGTGACTGGTTTTTTTTTCAATTCTGGAGAGCCTGCATTCTTAAAAGTGGCTTCGTTCTCCATGAAGGCTATTTTCCTCAGGGAGGCTATTTTCTTCAGGGAGGCTAGTTTTCTCGAGGAGGTTACTTTCACAATAAACGAAACTGCTTTCCACAAAGGAGCAATCTCATTAAAATCAGACCTTAGTTCTCGCTACCGGTAGCGAGAACTAAGATCTGATTTTAATGAGATTGACAGAGGAGTTACTTTCCGAAAATAGGCAACTTGCCAAAGGGATGCTTCTTCCCGTTGATAGGTTGCTTTCCCCATAAGAGGCTACTTTACCCAGAGAGGCAAATCTCCCCAAGGAGAATATTTTCCCAAACGAGGCTACTTGTCAAAGGGAGGCTACCTTACTCAGAGATTACTTTCCCCAAAGAGATTATACTTTCCCAAATTAGGCTACTTTCCAAACGGAGGTTACTTTCCCAAACGAGGCTTCGTGCCAAAGGGAGGCTACAATTTTGTCAATGGAGACCCAGGGAGGATGCTATCCCAAAAGAGGCTACTTGTCCCAGAGAGGCTATTTTACCGAGGGAGGCTACCTTCCACGAGAGCCTCAAGTTAGCCAACTTGCCGCAGCATGGTAATCATGGTTATATTATCCCCACCCTTTTATCGCGAAAAGAACGCAAGCATTCCTGCTACCATTTGTTGTCGGCTTTAGTGATAATAACTTGAATTGTGAGCTGAATAATGTTCACTGTGTTCCCTTTCAACCTAATGTATATGAATTTATGTTGATGGTAAAGTTAAGATCAACGACTTCAAGGAATTAGTTGCTATGAGAAAAAGACTTCAATACGAATCAACTTCGTGATACTTTTAAACGTGAAGGTCGTAATGTCCTTATCGACCTCAGATCAAAAATAGTATCTATTTGTGGTACAACCAGATGTACGCACGCACGCAACCATTATCAGTAATTGAACAGCCAAGATTAAAATGATTCGAGACATGTGTGAAGTTCACAATGTACTAGCAGTGAGACTATTACGATTCCCATTCACCAGTTATCTCGCTATAATGCCACTTATCTAATCTCTGCAATAAATGATTAAACCGTAACTAGATCTTTAGACTTGCACAATTCTGTCTTGTCGATATATATATGCTTTATATCTCCTGGGCTCGCATTTCAGTAAATTGCGAAATGCGAACCCGGAAGATAATTATGGTTTGTTTGTTTTTTGTCTAACGCCGCACCCAGCAATATTGTAAACAATCGGAGGATGGTAGATATATACTGTAACAGGATATTTCATGTGTCGATTGAAATATCATGTTTCACTCATCGAGTGACGGAGGGAAAGGAGATATTTTTAGGAGTGGCGTCCTTTAGTCACGAGATTAGGGAAACATGATATTTCACTCGACACATGAAATATCCTATATATTATATACTTTTAATGCAGTTATCTACATTGAGACGTAAATTCTCCCTACCTTACACACAGGGAGGGTTCACCATCCCTTGTACTTTGAGACTAAAAAAGTAATTTTGTGTTTGCAAAACCAAAGTTTCAAAAGATATTTAGGATTACGTAAATTCTGTATCATACATATAGATATGATTATATACCAAATCAACTTTACAAAAAAATAAACTTGAAAACTACGAAACCGCAGTTGGAAGCGAAAAAATACACGCTGGTCAAGTAACAAAAATGGCGCTTTGCAAGTGAGAAATCTACAGTTTATAACGAAACCTTTTCAAGAGAGTAACAAATGGCATGAAGCGACATTAACTGGATAAATGACCATCTGTCATTATTTTGCCTTGTCAATGTGGAACTAATTAAAGACATAAAGAATTTAGGTCAACAGTTTGTGAACGGACCAGGATCTTACGATAAAGGGAGACAATTTGATGGGAGGTCACTCTTGTATAACAATAGTTCCGTCAAAGTGTTATGTTCACAGCAGTGAAACATTAGGTGTTATGTTCAGTGCAATGAAAATATCACTTTTCTCAACTTCGGAAAACTCAGTCTCTAACACTTTAGTATAATAAATCACAATATGACCATCCTATCAGTACTGAACATACCAGTCCTTATAACGTGGTCTCACTGACCAGACCCCAACATGCATCGCTCTCTGGGCGAGGGCGATTTTATCTCGCTTCATGTGGTGTGTAAAGGCCAACGTGGGAATCAAATATGGCGGGTAATCTACCCTGAAATAAAATCTCATCGTAACATTATTTGCCAGACTTGTGCAAGGCTACCACATCTTCTGGTTCAGCCACAGGTTACGCACCTCCTGGATGTCAAACTTGAGCACCTGTTTCATGAACTGAGGCAGCAAGGTGATGGAGGTGAAGCCTCCCCAGTCGTAAGCGATGTGTGCCCCTACAATCGCCCACACCGCCGGTGTTGACAAGACTGCGCCCCATGGAGGTTTCAGTTTCTTATTCTACAATAATAAACTGTACAATTAGGAAAACACACACAGTAAATATGTGTAAATGATGATGTGGGCATTTTGACAATTGAATATCAGTGCTGTAGTATGATATCAGTGCTGCAATACAAATTTCGGCAGGCCAGAATGCATTTTAGCTGTTCGATTTATAAGCAATTTAGAATCCATCCGTTAAAAGTCCTACTGTTAAATTCATCCGTGTCATCCGTGTCATCGCCCCGATATGTTTCTAGACTTTGTAGCACCATACCCGTGCTCGTGGGTTTCACCAATAGATGGATTCCGAAGCTTCTTGTTGATGAAGTGAACTCCATCCTTCCACGCATGGATTCTAAAGGTTCGAGAGGGAGATAGATCAGTTGCAACCGTGAAATGCATCCGTGAATCAGTCAAATGCATCCGTGAAATCAGTCTCAAATTTGAAATCCATCGGTGGGTATCTATTCATAAGCGTCCCGCCGGGCGGCCTTTGCTACAGATATAAGGTAGCACTGTGTGACACCGGCGACATTCGTGGATGATAACGGATGATTGAATCTTTGACTTGAGCGATTGATGACTAATGAATTAACTAATTAACGATATAGTGTGGGCATTTATCTACAACGACTCTGTAGATTCCTGTAGCAACTTATTTAACTGTAAAGAAACTCTGTTTTAATAATATTATGATGTTTGAAACTTTCGAATTCAAATCGTATAATATCTAGATTTAGCCTTGGGGAATTAGCTCGGAGTGGGACACCACCTGCAAAGAAACCAAACAAAGTGTCTATGGCCAGCTCCTTTATTGGGGATGTCTCAGCAGAGAGGTACCCCGGGGCTAGCCAGTATATATTCTCACATTGACACATTGAATGGTCATGAATTTACTGCATTTTCAATTATCTGCTTGATAAGAAAATTTGCGTTCGTGCGCAGAGAAGATGGATTAAGCGGCTTTCCTAAGAAGTTTGGCCAACTGATGTCCACAGAAGTTGAATAATAATTGAGGAGTATTCCGAAAATATTGATATAAGTTAGGCGTATCAGCAAACGTGTGCCAAGCGGTCATTGTGATGCAGGCTGAGACACAAACAGATAGATAATACTGAGCATGCTCCAAGGATGTTATGCAATTTAGATAGATGCGACCTTCACATGTGAGACTGACTACATCTGAATACAACGCTTTACGTTTACCTATATTTAACACAATAAATACTTTTACCACAGTTAACTTTTATATAGATATGGAAGCAAAAACGACTATTTTAGCACTATGACAGTGTGAATGACAACATCATTTGTTTATAAACGTTAAGATGCAGATTATGCGGTATGAAATAGAGTTTATATCATAGTACGTCTGATTATTTTGTGTTTGTTTGTTTGTTTGTTTGTTTGTTGTTTAACGCCGCACTCAGCATTATTCCAGCTTTATGACTGCGGTCTATAAATAATCGAGTCTGGGTCAGACAATCTAATGATTGACATCATGAGCATCGATCCACGCAATTTGGATACGATGACATGCAGCAACCAAGTCAGAAAGCCTGACCATCCGATCCCGTTGGTGGCCTCTTACGACAAGCATAGTCGCCTCTTACGACAAGCATAGTCGCCTCTTACGACAAGCATAGTTTCCTCTTACGACAAGCATAGTCGCTTACGTCTTATTAAGATGGAAGACACAAACCATTGAAACTACACGTATTTAAGTAGATTTAAGTTTTCCTCGGAAATAGTTTCATGAACTACTTTCTCAACTCATACGGAGGGGCGGTGGGGTAGCCTAGTGGTTAAAGCGTTCGCTCGTCACGCCGAAGACCCGGGTTCGATTCCCGACATGGGTACAATGTGTGAAGCCCATTTCTGGTGTCCCCCGCCGTGATATTGCTGGAATATTCCTAAAAGCGGCGTAAAACCATACTCACTCACTCACTCATACGGTGCTAATACCGTAACCTGTGTAGTTAAAAAAACCCGTCTCCTCAATGTAAGCTATAGAAACGAGGAGCTTACGTCGCTCGAACCTATATAGAGACAATACATCAGACATTCCCATGGTCGCTTTAGGCACCTGCTTTAGGCAACCTGTTAAGGATGTACATATTATAAGAAGCTGTATCATGTGGACATATATAATATTCGTTTATAAATATTGTTATGGCCCCAATGTAATATAAAAGAGATCAAGTAAAACATATTTCATACATAACACCTATTATCTTAGTTTTAAGGTAAATTATAAACAATGCTTCGGTGGTATTGAAAGCACATTCTGGAAATATGATACTTTCAAGAATATTATTGAAATACGGCATCTATATAGTGAAATATGTAGCTACAGGAATGTAGATAAATTCCCACACTCCAATGTTAATTAGTTGATTCATTAATCATCTATCGCTCAAGTCAAAGATTAACGAATCCACTTATTCAATCATCTGTTATCATTCACGGATGCATTTAACTAATTTCATGGATGCATTTGACTAATTTCACGGATGTATTTGACTGATTTCACGGATGCATTTGACTGATTCACGGATGGATTTCACGGCTTCAACTGATCTTTCGCCCCCTCGAACCTTTAGAATCCATCCGTGGATGAACGGAATTCCTAATATCACGCAAGAAGCTTCGAAATCAAGGCTAAAAAACCTAGAAACATATCGGGGCGAACAAGGATTCGAACCCACAATTATAGGTTTCTGACGCGCCCAAGGGACGCAACTCTGCACAGCGAATTGCGGCGTCTTTGATGACCTGTATTTGTATAAGAAGAACAATCATTCACAGCCTTGTTGATGTTCATAATAAATTTGAGTTTATAATCAAACGTGGTTGGTCTTGAATGACGTTAATCAGAATTGCTGGGACTCCCAAACTGGTCCCTATTTCGTTAATGGTCGCAATTGAGCGGCCATTGAAGCTTAATTCAGCAACGCGACTTACACTTTTCCCACTTCAGTTTCACTTGATTTCTTCCACACGAGTCCTAGCTGGGCTTATAATAATAATAATACCGTATTCTACGTAATAAGCGCCTCGCTCTAATAAGAGCCCACGGCGATATTTGCTAATATATTGGCTAGTGAACAATCCCAATTAGCACCCCTTCCGATTGATCATTGTACACTTATTTTTATTCGTGTATAATACGCACTCGTGTGTTATATGCACCCTAAATTATGGGCAATTAAACTCTGGAAAATATATCTGTCGTGTATAATACGCACAGACCATCCTTTGTATCATTTCAGGCTGTCAGCATAAACCGCGAAATTTACAATCTTTCAACTCTGTTTTTTTTCCTACCAAAATTATATTCTAATAAGAGCCCCCTATTTCTAATTTTGAGAGCGCCCTGGGCGCTTATTACGTCGAATACGGTAAATAAAAGCGACAAAATCTGTTCCATATTCATAAGAAATCTCGGCTATGAGCAGTGTCGAATATGCGATTCAGACTATATAATGAGCATGTGTTTACGAATCGTTATCAAAGAACGATGGTACCAGACGTTCGCGAAAAGGTGAGCGCGATGTTTACAGAAAAGGAAGTCAAACGTGACGTATTTAAGTCACATGTTACTTTTGATCTTCCAGACTTTGGGTGTCGCTTGATGTCCTTCTTTGAGGGCCATCCATCAATATATGCCAGGTCATGGTTACATAATTACGACAAGGGTTTTTGAGCGTTCTTACTTACATCCAAATGCGTTTCCCTGCATCCGACAGACTTGAGTATATAGTCTCTCTCCTGTGAGGATATATGGGGGTGGCGGGCTGGGCTATCGCTCACCATCACAGCCCAGGCGACACACCACGCTATGCCTAGACATCCTGCAACAGTCCATGTTTCAAGTATCTGTATGAACAGGTAGGGGCGTATGTGGAGTGCCGTTGTACAAAACAACCTCAGCGCTACGACTGTCGTAAGTCTGTGTTAAGGTATGGGAGTTATGATTACCTGAGGGGCGGTCGGGTAGCCTGGTGGTTAAAGCGTTCGCTCGTCACGCCGAAGACCCGGGTTCGATTCCCGACATGGGTACAATGTGTGAAGCCCATTTCTGGTGTCCCCCGCCGTGATATTGCTGGAATATTGCTAAAAGCGGCGTAAAACCATACTCACTCACTATGATTACCTGAGCGCAAAGATCGCTTTGTACAACGGCACCAAGTTGTCTAAGGCGCGCAATTCGTTATGGGGCGTTGCGCGCCTTAGGCTTTGCAATAACCCTATGATCGTGGGTTCGAATCCCAAATTCGCCCTGATGTTTTCGCTTTTATGGTTCTAGGTTTCTCAACACAATAACAAAGTTTTACCAAAGTGGTAAACGTCTTAGATCTGTTTCATTTCGGGTTTTCTCCCACACCAAGCGGACACACTGTCATCTTACTGAAATGCTGTTCAAAGCGGCGTTAAACCTTTGTCTGTTGTTTAACGCCGCACTGAACAATATTCAGGCTGTACGACGGCGGCCTGTAAATAATCGAGTGAGTGAGTATGGTTTTACGCCGCTTTTAGCAATATTCCAGCAATATCACGGCGGGGGACACCAGAAATGGGCTTCATACATTGTACCCATGTCGGGAATCGAACCCGGGTCTTCGGCGTGACGAGCGAACGCTTTAACCACTTGGCTACCCGACCGCCCCTGAAAATAATCGAGTCTGGACCAGACAATCCAATGATTACATCATGAGCATCAATCATTGTAAATGGGATACGACGACATGCATCAACCAAGTCAGTGAGCCTGATCACCTGATCCCGTCAGTCGCCTTTTACGACAAGCATAGTCGACTTTTACGGCAAACATGGGTTGCTGAAGACCTATTCTACCCCGGATCTTCACGGGTCCGGCGTTAAACCGAAGTCGCCCCCTCACTTACAGAGCAGGTATAAACATAAGTACGGTCGCCGCTGTAAATGCAATGTCATTGTCATCTCTCTACAATATCAAAGTGTTCCGGTTATCAAGTAGACAAGGCCGTCGTAGGTAAATAACTGGATACAAATGCTTTTGTTCTTATCAAGTGACCTTCTTTCTGGCACATGCTTACAGATAAAATTGTTTCGCCATTTATGGTAATATGGAAGCCCTTCTGTGCCAATAACCTAGCTGTGAGGTCAGGTGAAATGGTATTTGACGTCGCTTTAAAAATTATGGTACTTATTAGCGACGTTCATGCACGTGTGTGTGTGTGGCTGCTTGTACTAGTCCAGACTTATGCCGATTTTATAGTGCGAGCCCTCTGAGATACCATGCCGAAGTTTTTCAAAATTGGATAATCCCTTCAGATATTTTATACTGACTCCAAACCTTGTTTTATCCTCTCAATACCGAGCGCCATACAGATACAACAAATGCCATCTTTTAACGTCTTTAGGTATCACGCGCCCGGGGATCGAACCACCGACCCCCCGCTCTTCGGGCAGACATTCTATCCACTAGACCACGGAGGCGGGCGCTTTGCTATGAGTAATCAGTGAGGTTACATCAGTTTTATGTAGCATGGACCAATAGGATTAGCCCATTCAGAAGTCCTCATGTTTATACCACGAACAGAAATAATGTGATGTGCTCACCGTCAATTATTCAGTGTATTATATTCTACTATGACTAAAACCATGGTTCCATTCGTTTTGAGCCGACCGCATCCGGGGTCTAGTGGTAGAGCGTCCGCCAGGAGAACGGAAGGTCCGGGGTTCGATCCGCGGCCGCGTCATACCAAAAGAAGTACTTGCTGTTACCCTGCCTGGCGCTCGGCATGAAGGGGATAAAACAGGGACTGGTCGACTCGGAGTCAGTATACTGTGTCTGAGTGAGGCATTCCTGCTAAACTGCGGCATGGTATCTCAGGGGGCAAGCACTATAAATCGGCATCAGTCCGGACGTGTACAAGCAGCCACACACACACACACACACACACACACACACAATAATCTTTAAACCCCAGACGTTAAACCCCATTTCACCTCACCTCACCTCACCTCGTTTTGAGCCCGATGCATATGGCACGACGCCAATAATATCTCTAGCCGAATCAAACCACTCCTGTGCTCAGAGTGAGTGAGTGAGTGAGTGAGTTGTGTTTAACGCCGCTTTGAACAGTATTCCAGTTATATCACGGCGTGTCGGCTTGATGTGGGACGACAGCCCGAAATGGTGTATGTCTCAGACGATTACCACTTTGGTGAAACCCACGGGAATCGTGCTGACAAGCCTAGAAACATAATTGGGGCGAACCAGGATTTGAACCCACGATCTTAGGTTTCCCACTTGCCCAAGGGATCTAAGTTTGCACAGCTAATTACGGCTCCTAAGACCACTGCCCATGTCCCCACTCTGAGATGAGAGCAATTGAAATGGTCAGTACCGACAGGAAGCTGTGATGTTAATGGGTCCAGTGTATTTATCATAAACAACATAATGCACTGGATTATCGAGGATGAGCTATCGTCGGTGAACTGGTGATTGGTCGCGTCTCAATAACATCTTGTTGACTGTTTCCTACACGTGTGACTATGCTTATCAGCGTCCTTAAATATAGAGTATTAGTTTCAGACAGGTGTGTCAGCGCCATAGTATTTGAAAAGTGCGTTTAGATTTCACCAACGTGGGTTTTCCTCTCACAAGAACTGCCATGATGAGATCGAATGCTGTCGTGGGCGAGAGGAGACTTGCTTAATCGATTTCAATTACAGCCGTGAGATTGCGAGAGGGCTCTAACACGAGACGAGTAAGTGTAAACACGAGACGAGAGAGCGATAGCAAGAACTAGAGAGCGATATCACGAGACGAGTAAGTGTTAACACGAGAGGAGAGAGCGATAGCACGAGACGAGAAAGCGACAACACGAGACAAGAGAGCGATAGCAAGAGACGAGAAAGCGATAGCAAGAGACGAGAGAGCGATAGCAAGAGACGAGAAAGCGATAGCACGAGACAAGAGAGCGATAGCAAGAGACGAGAAAGCGATAGCACGAGACGAGAGAGCGATAGCACGAGACGAGAGAGCGATAGCAAGAACGAGAGAGCGATAGCACGAGACGAGAAAGCAATATTTAGTGCGCGAGAAACTGTCGCTATCTAGCCTGGGGTTATAGCTTTGTCGTCTCGTGTTATGGCTTTGTCGCAATTTTGCGGCCGTAAGTCGCTAAAGCGATGTTCCCGCTCGGCCACCATAAATTACTCCTTCCCTCACAACACTTACCAAATACATAGAAGGCTGACGGCCAGCCCCCAGCGAAGCCGTGCTGACAGAGGACTCCAGTGACCGGCATGGCCAGCACTGTGCCTGCTTGAGCCCCTGCAACAGACACCCGTTAATCATACACTTTGAAACCACTCTCTAACATAGGTTGCAGGGTTGCCAATCAAAACTGATGGTAAGCAACAAAATAAAGTTTAGTAACATTGATACAGGTGTCGACAATTGGACATATAATTTGAAAGTAATGTCATAAGGCTCATTACACAATAAGATAATAAATATATATATATACATAAAACAAAAGAAAGATACTGTTCGTATCCTGTACAAAATATGATACACAGTAATATGCATAATGTGTTTAATACATGTTCATGAAATAAATAACTGATTTCGTTTATACATTTTATAAAGCGAGCGTGCTTATTAAACTAGTAAGTTTTCTGACTTTAAATTGTATAAATACAAGCTTGTTTAAATCAGTCAGATTTGTTAGGGTAGGATTTAATAACATGCAATATTTAAAACGTCAGGGCCTTACATGTTCATAAAATATACACGAAATTCACAAAATGTAATACATCTTCATGCTTCTGTTATTAATCGGTTTAAAACTGGACAAATTCTGTCTAGAAAATAGGTTGGTGGTTTGCTAAAAGGCCCAGTTTCAATGGAAAGGGGTAAAGATCCAAATTCTACACAAAGCAAAAATTCGACGGTGGTCCCTATAATTTACATTTAAAACCTAAGATTGCCAGACATGGAGAGAATATATGGTGACGTGCCGCGGGTTGTTAGAGAGAGACTGATATTACCTGCGTACGTGAAGGCGACAAGTCGACTCCTTTCTTTAACAGGAGCCCATTTGGACCAAAGTGAGTGGATGGATGGGAACGCGAATCCCTGTAAACGGAGATTGTAAAATGAATGCGAGTGTGCTGCAAACCCTGCAATCTTATTGGTTACAAAACATTAAATGTTACATCGTTGCTACATCGGCGACAGAGCGAGAAAATCACTATAAAATTATCAGAAAATGAAAAAGAAATTCTTCACCCCCACACCTGTCTTCAGTTAATGTTTTACAACAGATAACGCATCATTATGTTGCTAATTTTCTAAACATAACTTTCTGTTTCTATAATTACACAAAGAAAAAAGTCAACCACCCCCTATATATTTAACAATCACTGGTCCCACGAGCGTTGGCATTGAAACCCTGATAACATGACCTCGGAAAAACGAATCTGGTTTGCAATAGAACACCTCTGACAATAAGAAGCCTACACAGTTTAACCTGTTTTGAGATTGACATCATGATTCTAAGCAAAACTCAGGGACACTGTATTTGTTAAAAACAGAAGCCACAATAAGTATGTAGGGGCAGAGTCAGGAACACAATTCCACACAATGATAGATGAAGAAAAATGCCATTTTCAGTCCAAAGGTGACATTCATAACACAAATCATCAATAGCGGGCCAAACCCGTCACGAGCTTCTAGCTTTCGTCTCATCCCTCCAGCAAGTCGTCTGATCTGCAAAATTGGCACCTGCCGCCATTCCCGATGAAGAGCTACCTCCAAGTGTGTAACAATGAACCTGTATTCGACGCCCCTTGTGTCCCAAATATGGTTTGCCCATCCATTCGTACCAGTCCGCTGAGTACGGTATAACGATACCCCAGTTGACGACCTAAGCTTTTGTAGGTTATACCAATAATATGCCACCTTTGCGCCTCTGATACCCTTCACAGATAATTCTTCAACAATGTAAGACAATGACATTAAATGCCGACAATTGTGGTGCACAGATATTGCATTTTGAAAAACACATGGATGGCATGCTGCACGTGCATGTCGTGGTGCGATGTGACGTCACAGTTGCCCTTGTACTGTCCTTTCATTTTGACAGAACACTAATCTTTACATATTCATCACGAAATTTGCAGTTGTTGCGAATGGAGATATATCAGTATTAATTATTTCAAGGTGTGCTTAACATTTTTCTGTGTGTATATATTGGAGCATTTACCACACATACCGCTTATATAAGCTATGCACACATTAACATTTTACCTGAGCCATGCCCTGCAACACTCTGACGACGATGAGGGCGTACACGTGGAGAGAGGCTGCTGTCGGCGTCACAAGCGTCAAAATGGAAGTGACGAGTACGGAGAAACCGAACGTACGCTTTCCCCCAACTAGTTCGGCTAGCCACCCTCCCAAGACCTGGGTCAGACAGTACCCGTAGAAAAACGAGCCCAGCACATGACCTTGAAGTTGTTCGTCCCAGTTAAATTCACCATCCTGAAGTAAAATTGAAATATTTTACATGTGATTAGCTTTTCCGCTAGCCGGAGCCTCGTTATGTCACATCACGGATGATTCGGGAAATACATGGGGATCTTGGATTAAAGAAAATTTCTTTCAGAAAATACTGCCAAATATTATTTTGCCACAGGTTTTACAAAGGGTGAGTGAGCGAGTGAGTTGGGCTTAACACCGCTGCAACAGTATTCCAGGTATATCACGGCGTGTCAGCTATATCTGCGAAGAGCACGATGTGTAATCTGCGTGACTGTGTGCGGACGTACCCCAGCAGTGTGTATGTTTGCCAATTACTTACGGGTCGCAGTGCTATAATGGTGCGTAATAATGTTGAGTGCGGCGTGAAGCAACATTCATTTACTCATCCCCTCACTCTCTAGTATACGTAGATCTCTGCGTCGCCTTTTTAAAGACTACCCTGTCTTTGTCGATTTCTTGGAAACTCGGCATATTCCGCCTACCTTCGCCTCCTGAGCTTGTGACCCATTGCTGTTCTGAAGTCCGCACTCATCGTTGCTAGGCGACGTATTCAACACGAGCGTGTAGTTCACCATAGCAACCAGAGCGACGCTGAGATTTACTCTGAGCGTGAAGAGATTAAGGCAGCCAAGGAACGATAAGATGGCGAGCACGTGGCGTGCGGGCACGTGTCTATATAAACCTGTAACGACAACACAACATTAGAATACACATAACTAGACAGCAGGAATTGTTTCTGTACCTTTCTTGGAATCACGGGAATGGCCATTGAGCACTGACAGATAAGGGCTGATTTGACGTAATGGGGCCATTAGTAATGGATGGATCAAGTTTGTTTACATATGTGCAACAGTGACAAATTGCCTCAGAATTGGTTTAACTGTGGTTAACCGGAGATACAAATGGAATAAAGGAAAAACTTGCAGACGTATTCGAACGGACATATTTAATTGCATTTTCACACCACTAGACTCATTTCACAAGTTGGAAGGCAGTGACGTTTTATAGGGTTGTGTAACCCTACGTGTACATGCATACTGAAAAAAACCAGTTCGGGATCATGAATAATTTGGGGGGGGGGGGGGGGGGGGGGGTGTTGTTGTTGTGAACAAGACTGGGCAGTAGAGTATTTTGTGGACCTTCAGCACTTAATATTCACAGGGCACCTTATAAGTGCTGAAGGTCCACAAAATACCCTACTTCCCAGTCTTCACAACAACCCCCACCCCTAAAAAGTGAAACAGAAGGCTATCTGTTTTGTCCAGGACCAGTCACTTCCCACTTGAAACCGTCAGTGTGTGATTTTGCATCAAGATGTAAATATGAAAGGTAGATTATACAAGGAATTTGGTGCAACACATCGTCAGTGGATGCCCACCGTTTGCACAACCACAGTATCTTAAGCGCCATCAGTTTTATTACCGTCTTCGCCATGGTTGAGGTTTTGACATAGAGGTCCATCCATGGTATGACCAAGAATATGTAGAATATTACGTCTTGGAAAATGATAAATACCAAAATTCTTTGGAATAAGCCCATATACAGCCTCAGACCTATCCAGGCCAAAAAATCTGATCTTGTCCTTTTTTGATAAATCCAATGAAATCATATAAATTATATCATTGAATTTTCTGTCCCTTTTGACACTTATGTGATTCAGGGAAAACTTGGCAAATAAGAGGACCTTGCTTTCGAAATGTCATGCTTGCTTCCCAAGTACCAAGTTGTATGACTCCCCATTATTCTTGGTGCCTTAGGTTTGGTACATCCCAATCTTTTGACTGACATTGGGAGATTACCCGGGTTTGCTACCAGGAATACAGCCGTTCTGACAATCTGGGTATTGCAGAAGGCTGCAGTGTTGGGGAGTCTTCACATTCTCCCAAAAGATCTTGGTGGGTTTGACTAGTTTCCTGAGACAATCTAAAACTGAGTAAGACCACATTTCATCTAGACTGTTCACTCTAAACTCTAATGGGAAAATGTATGTTTCACTTGCTTATGCAGAGAATAAGAGTCTTTGTCATTTAAAGCTCCGTCTTATTTTCTTGACACTGAACGTGCGTTTTCTTTGCCTCTGTAATGCTTGTTGGAATTGTATCGGACTAAAGAATGAGCCCGGATTACGAGAGTTAAATTAATAATTGTCTAAATAATTGTCTATCCGTAGATGAATGTCCTGTGTCTGTAGCCACGATTCAACTGTGAAAAGCAAACTGAGTCTCCACATAGATACCTTGGATGAGTGAGTAATCATATCTAAAGATGATAACAAATAATCACAAAACAATCACAAAATGTGACCTAAATCGATGTAGATGTGTGAACAGATTTGTGTAAATAGAAACAAGACATGGTTCACAAACCTGGGAAAATATACCTTGTTTTGTGGGTATTTTTATTTTTTGTTAACCAAACCTTGGCTACGAACTAGGATATGACGATACATTATAAGGTTTTCCAGTTTTGCTTGAGAAGGTTTTTTTCTTGTTTGTTGGTATTTTTGACGAAAATAAATTGTCAAACGGAATATTTTCACTGAAACATTTTCTAATTAAGTAAGAAAGTGAAAATATGTCTTGAAGCCATGTTATTTCTCTCTAACCTTTCACGTGAAATTGTTTGTGGGTTCTGGTTAATCGTGATATTTTAGTGTGAAGTTATGTGCAACAGGGACATTTTTAAACCAAATATATTTATATTATGAACAATATTCTTAAACTAACAAATTGAGGTAATTCATGAAAAAAATGGTACTTTAATTACCGTCATTCCTATTTTGCTGATATTAAAGTATAAACAATTCAAAGTGCAGAGTGAATTGGATCGATATAATATTTAACCAAAATTATGCCCCCACAGTTAGGCAGTAACAGCGTTGACACATTGTCCCCTCACTGGGTTCAAAAGTTTTTTATGAGTGTATTTTATTCATGTACAGAGTCGTTCTAATTGCAACAGTTTTACAACACGTGTATTTCACTAGCTGATTCACTGAACTTTCTTAAAAAATTGCATTATGACAATCTGTACGATAATATTGACATACAGTGAATGCCGACACCTTTTTTAAAGAGAATAATGATGTTCAACCATGAGAATGTCGCTGACTTATTAATATTTTACCTAGTAAATTCTCTCCTCTCCTCTTGGATGGAAATACAATATTCGGGTCATGAAGAGAATGTCCAACAGACCAACGTTTATCATGAGGACTAACCGTTACGAGATACCTAGGATAAGAGTTTATCAGAATGTTTTCTATGTAAGCAGACTGACGATATTTTGCAAGAGATACTTTTTGTGCCACATCAAAGCTGACTTTGTCCCCTCGCTCATTGGTTACCCAATCGTTTCTGCTCTGCAGGTGATGAACGTTTTAAAATCCCCTCGGCTGGATCCCAATCCCAAAAGAACTTGGACTAACACGGTACGAACCTGTCTGTTATCATCGTTACCATGACGAGACGTTCACACACACACACACACACACACACACACACACACACACACACACACAGAGACGCACGCACGCACGTACGCACACACGCACGCACGCACACTCACACACAAAGGTTTTCAGAACAGGTGCCTGGTGAAAGGCGGTTGAATGGAAAGGCGAACGGATGTCACATCTTGAAATGACTTGATTTAAATTCAGTGGCTGTTGAAAGGGAAACGCAACCTGATTGGTTAGAATTCCTTTTTGCATCATGTTTATTATTAACAGTTAAAGTGGTTGTTCCTGTATCACAAACGTCGAAGAGAAACTGGCTATTTTGAACAGAGAAGGGTATTAACATGTGAATGGCATTTTCAGTCATATGAAAACTAGGATTTCACAACCATTTTATCAGCTGAGCATCGACCTCTACTTGGTTTGTGTGAACGGAGAGCAGCACATCATGCTGGGGACCCGTGAAGATCCGGGGTAGAATAGGTCTTTTGCAGCCCATGCTTGCCGTAAAAGGCGACTATGCTTTCCGTAAGAGGCGACTTACGGAATCGGGTAGTCAGGCTCGCTGACTTTGTTGATGCATGTCATCTATCCCAATTGCGTGGATCGATGCTCATGATGTCAATCACCGGATTGTCTGTTCAAGACTCGATTATTTACAGACCGCCGTCATATAGCTGGAATATTGCTGAGTGCGGCGTTAAACAACAAACTTAAGGCGACTATCGAATCTCTTCATAACGGCCCCGCCCTCTTTGTGACGTCATGCATGTACGTAGAAGGGACCCAATATTTGTTTGCTTTCACATTCAAGAATATGCCTGAATAAACACGTATTCTAGTCATGTTTCTATTCATTCCATAAGCATGAGGTATTTGCTATTCATCAGGTAAAGACACTGACATGCTTCGGTACAATTCAATTATCATTTTATACGCATGCATCACCGTGTTTGCCTTTCATGGCTGTGTCTAACATTTTAACATGATATTTGAGAATTAATGTTCTGTGTACCCTGTTTTTGGCAATAAATCTTACAGTACGCGCCTGGTGAATACAATAACCCGGCTTCGAGTGATATATTTTGTAGATTAAGGAGGAGGATGTCACGTGGAGGATTAGGGGCTTATTAAATGCTACGGTCGTGATTGCAGTACTGCAGATTGTGTATCAGTATATCCCTGTTCATATTGTACACGGGACATTCAAAGAAATAAAGGAATGAAGTGCATGTACGTGTGTGTGTTTGTGTTGCTGCTTGTACTAGTCCGGACTGATGCCGATTTATAGTGCTAGCTCACTGAGATACCATGCCGCAGTTTAACATGAATACCCCACTCAGACACAGTATACTCACTCCGAGCCGACCAGTCCTTGTTTTAGCCCCTTAATGCCGAGCGCCAGACAGGGTAATAACAAGTACCATCTTTTAACGTCTTTTGGTATGACGCGGCCGGGGATCGAACCCCGAAACTTCCGCTCTCCGGGCGGACGCTCTACCACTAGACCACGGAGGCGGTCCAGTTGTTCCATGAAAGGAACGTGCTGCAGACCGTTGACATGACAGTTCGTGATGTAAGTTTCAACATCGTGGCTGCCAAGATTCATCACAGTTCTACCAACCTGTAGGTCATATAATCACAGGTGACTTCCCTATTGTTAACAATAACAATAACAATCTTCGTCTGTTATTCAAATATGGCCCAAAATATGTGAGCAGCCTCCTGTTTGTTTGGAGTACAAGCGAATCCCCCCCCAAAAAATCCCTTTATGTCGAGCAATATTCACCTGGTGTCATCACTATTTGAGAGTGATTCATAAAAAAACATGATATAGTAGGAATCGGCTGAGATTTCTTATAAATGTGGAAAGGGTTTTATCGTACACCAGCTCTTATATATTTCTTAGCTATATGGGGGCACGGGTGGCCCAGTCGTCTAAGGCGCCGCGATTCGCTGTGCAGAGTTGCGTCCCTTTGGCACGCCAGAAACCTATGGTTCGAATCCCGGTTCGCCCCGATTATGTTTCTAGGTTTGTCAGCATCATACCCGTGCTCGTGGGTTTCACCGAAGTGGTAAACGTCTGAGACCTGCATCACTTCGGGCTTTCCTCTCACATTAAGCTGACACGCCGTGATATAAGTGGAATATTGTAAAAAGTGGCGTAAAACCCAACTCACTCACTCACTCACACTATTAATATGTGTTTCTACATTCAAACGCGC